TTCTCCGTATTCGCGTTGCCGTGAGCCACCCGGAGCCTCCATAGCTCGACAACGGCCGCGATATAGGCGTCGATAGTGCCCCTCGTAAGCAAATACCCTTCGGTAAGGTCTACTGCAGCCGTCGCGAGGCCTGTGGATGGCACGTAGCCCTCGCGGTCGTCAGCGAGCAGCTCGGCGGCCTCGGCCAGGGGGACCTCCAAAGCTTCGGCCAGGCTTTCGGCCTCTGCCATGGCCGTGGCCTCGAGCTGCTCCTGTTCGCGCTGTTGCCGTACCTGTACGGCCTCGCCGTTGCCGTTGCCCCTAACCTTACCCCGCGCGCGCGGCTTCTTCTTCTGCGGCGGCACAACGCGTCGTAACAGGATATCCTCTTTGAGCCACGCCGCCAGCTTGTCCGGCGTTACGAGCTCGCCGTCGGGCCAGCTATAGAGCTCGCCGTCTTCTGCAGCCCGAGGCGCATGGCACCAGGCCTATACGTATCAGCCCGAGGCGTATGGCACCAGGCCTATACGTATTTGTCTGTTAGCCGCCTAGGGGGGCCGTACGTGACAGGGATCGAAGTGGAGGACCGGCCGGGGGACGCGCCTTCCACTCCCGCTGCTTCGCCGCGTAACTCCGCGCCGTGTTCGCCGGCTGTTCGTCCTTCTTCGCCTGGATGCCCGCCCTCCGGGCGGCACGGGCGCGCTCGTCAGCTGCCGTGTACGAGTCGTCCGCGGCCATCTCGGTCGATCGGGCAACGTTCCTACGGGCGAATGTCTGGGCTGGTGTTGGCCGGAAACCCGATAAGTTGGGTGGGAACTTATCAAATGCACTTATCAGGCGTCCTGCACACGATTTCACGGGCGGCGTTTTGCGGGCGATAAGTGGTCACGTGGCCTAAGTGAATTACGACGCAATTGCGGGCACCACCGATAAGCGATGTCATCGAACTTTCTAGATAACATTACTGTCGGTGAAATGTTATGTCAATACACATCGGAATAAGGGGGTCACACAGCTAGGTTCAAGATGCATGTTCTCTCTCTAAAGGGGCAGTCTGAAGGGGCTATTTGTACAAGAGGTCTTAGGGCCTTCTGGGGACCTCCTGAGTAAGGAGCTTTACTGGCTGTGTCCACGCATAAAGGGGTAGCCTTCCTTACTCAGGAAGTCTTCATGCGTTCCTGCTACATAGGCCAGGGATCCCTTCTCCAGGTCCCTCCCCAACGTGGCAGCCCTGGTCCGCCGACACACCCCCTTTTGTAGCAGGCTCTGACGGCCTGGTGCAAAACAGAAGAAGACAACTAGCGGCAGATAAACAAGTGAGGCTATTCGTTATGTTGGAAAGCCGTGATAACGCTATTTGTATGGTGTTGAGACCATAAAGTAATGATGACTCGTGAGATCATATCCTTCAGTGTTGTGGAATTCCTAGGCCTTCTGCACACCTAGTCATCCCCCGGCAAGAGTGCCCCTATGTCACCCCCTAAGGGAGTCGGTCGCTCTTGCATTCCGAGTTGGCGGATGAAGGCATCGTGTTTCTGTCGGGGTAGGGCCTTCGTCATTCCGTCAGCTGGGTTCTCGCTTGACTTGATCCACTTGACACGGAGCCTTTCTTCCTGGACCGCTTGACGGAGCCAGTGCCTGTGGATGTCAACGTGCTTGAGGCTTGTTTTGAGCCTAGCACTCAATTCCGTGAGGAGCCTGATGGTCTGGAGGTTGTCACACCATAGCTCGTCGGTCCCTTCCACTTGGATGCCTAGCTCGTTAATAAGGCGACCAAATTGCATTTGTTCCTTAGCCGTACTTGTCAGGGCTAGGAGCTCTGCTTCCGTGGACGATGTGGTGACTGTAGCTTGCTTCGTGGCCTTCCAGTCAACGGGGGCCCCGAGGAACAGGAACACATAGCCCTGTGATGACTTCCTCGTTTCTGGGTCGTCAGCAAAGGAAGAATCCGAGGCACAGACGAATCGGCGAGTGGATTCGGAAGCAGTAAAGCAGAGACATCGATTCCTCGTGTGATAGAGGTATGCGAGGCACCTCCGAGCTTCACGTTGATGCCTTGGTCCAGGGTTGTAGCCAAATTGGGCCAGCTTCCCGACTGGGAAAGCCACGTCAGGTCGTGTGTGTATAGCCGGGTGTAGGATTGAGCCGACGATCGATAGGAATTTGTGTACTTCTTCCCTGGTAGCCTTCTTTTCGTAGGGCCTCAATTCGTCTGTTGTTACGGGAACGACCGGTATCCCTACGACGTTATTGTCATCGTTGATGTGGAATTTCTGAGCCATCTTCGAGATGTAGGAAGCCTGTGAGAGCCATAGCTTCCTCTGAGCCCTATCCCTAATAACTTCAATCCCTAGAAACCAGCGTAATTCACCCATGTGGTTAATGGTGTATTTCTTCATCAGGGCATTGTGAACGTGCTCCCAGCTAGCCTTGTGACTAGAGGGATACATCATGACGATGTCATCCACGAAGAAGAAGATTATAATCCCTTTATACACCATAACACAGGCGTCTTCCACGAGCTGTTGTGCTCCAAGGCTCTTGAAGAATCCCGTGAGCTCTTCATACCATAGTTTCGGAGCTATTCGTAGCCCGTAGATGCCTTTGAGAAGCTTTAGGCATAGCCCGGGCTCATTGAAGCCTGGTGGGAGCTGGCAAAAGACTGCTTGTCGAAGCCTATTGTAAAGGAATGCGGTTTTCACATCGTATTGCTCGGTCTCAAGGTCCTCAAGGCAGCAGAGGGCCATCATAAGGCGGAAGGTTCGTGCCCGGAGCGTTGCGGCGTATGTGTCTTCATCGTCTTCTGGCTGCTGATCCCCACGGACCACAAGCCGGGCTTTGAAGCGTATCACATATCCTTGTGGATCAAGCTTGTAGGCAAAGACCCAACGCATAGGGATAAGGAACTGGTCTGCCACATCTTTCTTGAGGAATTTGACCCATGTGCAGAGCTTCTCTTGATCCCTGATTTCCATAGTCATTCCTTCCCTCCACTCACGGGCATATACCGAGGCCATCGCTTCCTTGTAGGAATTTGGTACTGGTGGCATATCCTCTATGTGGAGCCTGTGCTTTGAGGCATTGGCAATGACATTGTTGATGAATGGCTTCTTCGAGCGGCGCTCTCTTTTTCCTGTGAGCATATTGCTTGAGTCCACCCCCTGAGACGTGTCCCTAGCCTTCCGAGCTCTCCGTGGCTCGGGCTCTGGCTCGGGTTCCAAGGCTGACTCCGCATCTTGTGTTGTGGATCTATGACCACCCCCGACGGGCTCACCCTCTGGCTCCGACTCCGATAGCTCTGTAACCCGGTCACCCCCCAGGTCGGCGAGGGGTTCATTCAACTCGTCGGGAAGAGGCGTTCCCAGTGTGATAACGGGCTCCTCGTCGGACTGCCTAGGTGAAGAGCTTGAAGTGGGTGAATTCGGTTGCCTGTTATCCCAACTGTGGTACGGGACTGGCTGCAAGTGGGCATTAGGGCTTACACCCTGTGGTGGCGGGGATGATACCGCGGCGCTCCCTTCCGTGTGGGGAGGTGAGACATAGGGTTCTTGTGTAAACCTGACCTCTTTGCTCTGCCTGGTCGTTGCGGAGGGTTCTGCGGATGGTCCTGGCGTGGCTGGCTTTAACTCATGGCATTCCTCTTCATCCGAGTGCCCGTATAGGTCGGATTCGTCAGGGTCCTCATCGTCAGGGATGTCCACAGCGGCCATTTGGCGCAACACATCGTATGTGTACACACAGGCGGCTTCAGCAGCTTCTTCCCTTGCCGGGTCATACATTGCTGACTCGTCAAAGCGAACGTTCGCTGAGACTAGCAGCTTCGTTTGCCCGATCGAAGGAATCCATACGATGTACTGTTGGCTGGATTTGTAGCCCACAAGATAGCCGATATGTGCCCTCTGTTGCATGGCCGACTGGCTTTTGTGGGACTTCACATGTTCCAGTGCCTCTATCGTCATAGGATAGGCCACACAGCCGAAGACTCGAAGGTGTGAGATATCGGGGCGGATTTCCTTGATGTGTGCGTAAAGGGGATTATGTTCCTTCATATAGGCCCACCAACGCTCGAAAGGACTTCGCCACGAGGTATCCTTGCCCTCAAAAGGGGTTCTGTTTAGCAGATAAATGGCTGTTTTGTAGGTCTCTGGCCAAAGCTTCTCAGGAAGGTTTGCATCAAGCATCATAACCCTTCCTTTTTCTTTTACCACAGCCCCTGACCTTTCGGCATGACCGTTCTGTGTGGGCGTTGATGGGGCTGACACAAAGACCTGTGCCCCCAGCTCCTCCACGTATTCTATCAGGGCTTTCGTCATCAGGGCCTTCTCCCCGTCGCTAACTAGGATGATCATCTCTATCCCATAGCGTGCCTTCATCATCCTGATCAATTTCTTGAGGGCTCCTCGGACCCCTGTTTTATCCGTGACCAGGTAATAGAAGCGCATGCCTGTTGTCATGCAGGTAAAGAGGGCAAAGTGCTTGAAGCCGCTATAGCCAGGAACTGGCCCTGGGTGCAGGTCAAAGCTGAATTGGACCCCTGCCCCTTGTGGCCGGAAAGTGGGCTCTGCTCGCGAGACTTCCCTGCGTGCCTTGCCTGTGGCACAGACTTCGCACTCGCATCCAGATGGTCCATTCAATCTTGTGCCAAGGCATTGACTCGAGAGCTTCTCAAGGGCCCCTGGACCAGGGTGCCCAAGGCGTCGATGCCACAAGTCACCCGGGCCCTCCATTCGGGGCCTTGGTTTCCGGCTTGTAAGGAAAACACTATTGCGATCCTTTCCAAGACTCGCGATGACGTATTGGTCCTCGAAATCTTCCAGTTGCGTAAGCTGACGGCCCGTAGGCTCGTAATAGAGCGTGCCGTTGATTTTATCTGTGGCTTCCATGCCAGAGCCTTTTCCTTCTCGTGAGGATTCTCTTTGAAGCGCTTAGTGATACGAGCCTTCTGATCTTGGGTTGGATTCCAGCCCTCAGGGGGGTCCTTGTTGAACATCACCCTGAAGGTCCAGCAATTGATCCACCAGTCATCTTTCTTGACGACGTGGCTTCCACAGGCTGGACACTTTTTCCGGGTGGTCCCGGCCCCTGTTGTTGTTGTTGTAGGCGTTTGGCCTGCTTGATTGACGGTCTTTGTTGGCTTCCCCTTTTTCCTGATCCCAACCTCCCTTTTGAAGTCTGCAATGACTGTTCGGAGCGGCGTTTCAGGGGCATTTAGGCGTTGAAGCAACAAGTCATCAGACCGTACGTTCGAGGCCCATGTGACATCCCAATCCTCGAGGGCCTTGAGGAAGTCCTGCCTAACTTTCGTATCGTTGATCGTGGAGACCTTCAGATCCCTTGAATCAAGGATAACTTGGTCCAGCTGGTCGGCCCAAACCTTCCAGTCGCGGACCCCTTTCTTATTGATAACCTGCTGATAGCGGTCATCGATGAGGGTCTTCTCTTCCTCAATAGAGGGGAGAACCTTCTGACGAAGCTCTCGAATCTTGTCTCGAGCTGTCAGCTGTAGGAGGGTCTCCCCTTGGAGTCCCTCACTGATTGAGTTCTTGATAGCTTCCTGAATCTGCTGTAGGGCTTTATTCCTAGCCTTGTACCGATCGTATTGCTTCAAGTTGACTTTTTCCTGGTGGCGGAATTCCTCCCTAGCTTCCTGGAGACTTTCGACGTAATCTTCCTTGGCCTCCCTGAACCTGGCCTCATTCTCGAAGGCTGCTCTCAGGGGCTTTGGCCCAATGGACTCAACAGCGTCGCTCCAGCTAAGGTCTGCGGGTTCCTTCAACACCGAGGTTCCATCGGGATCAACGTAATCCCAGACCTCATGCGTGACCGCAAGAGACTTGATTCCCCTGATCCAGGGGGTCCAGTCCAAGCTCTCCTTGAGCTTGGTGATGTACACCTCCTTGCCTTGCGCCGGGAGGGTCATTTTGCTGGAGTTAGTGATGACCTCCTTTTCTTCAAAGAAGGGATGCAACGAATGCCTGTATGACCTAATTGACTAGGTCCTCACGTCAACACCACAGGAGAGGGGTTATTGGCCGCGTTGGGGCTCGTGATAGCCTCAAATGGGTTGTTGCCGAGTGAAAGATGCCCTAGTCATGCAACCGGGCTCATAACTGTCGGTGAAATGTTATGTCAATACACATCGGAATAAGGGGGTCACACAGCTAGGTTCAAGATGCATGTTCTCTCTCTAAAGGGGCAGTCTGAAGGGGCTATTTGTACAAGAGGTCTTAGGGCCTTCTGGGGACCTCCTGAGTAAGGAGCTTTACTGGCTGTGTCCACGCATAAAGGGGTAGCCTTCCTTACTCAGGAAGTCTTCATGCGTTCCTGCTACATAGGCCAGGGATCCCTTCTCCAGGTCCCTCCCCAACGTGGCAGCCCTGGTCCGCCGACAATTACAAAAGCACCCTGGGTGGCAAGTGGCAATTCGCCACCGCAAGGCAGTCATATTCCCTCAGGACTATAAGGAGACAGAACTTCTCACATTCATTTTAGATAGACGACAATGAACAAGATTGACTCTTACCTTCCATTTTTTATCCCTCCGAGACTTAGCGTTTGAGAGCCAGTCCGGGCTCATAACCTGTCACAAGTAACTGGAAAGATGCCATGCATGTGAGGGTTATTTTGAGTCAAATTGGCCTTGACCACTGCCCAAGTCAAGGGGACAAAGGTCCCAGTTATATACACAAGAATGGTGCCCCTGTAGGTTGGGACGCCTCCTCGGCTGGGGCGGAATATCGCTTGACATAGGTGACATCGTCATCTATGCTGCCTAGGTGGCGACATCGCCACTCAGCCCAAAATCCCAAGTATAAGAAGCCAACTTTTCACCATCACTTAGATAGAGAATCAAGAGTCTTTCGTTGCCCGATACACAGAGAATCTTCTTCCCGATCGTTGTTCAGTCATCCACACCAACCGTGCCTCTTGTTGTGTGACACAATGCCTACAGTGAGGAGTGGCCACAACGTTGCCAGTTGGTCGATGCCCGTCGTAAAGCGGCCCATCAATGTGATGATTCGATCGGCAGCAGTCTTTACTTCAGTGTTAAAGGCCGCGCTTCCAATCCTGTTTGTGGTAATTCTTTCGAGATAGATGGTGCATGCTGGACCATAACACTGTACGCATGCTGCTGCCGTTCGAGCTTCGATGGCCTCATCGTTTTCATCAGTCTCATATCCCGGCACGTGGTTCAGCTTTTCCAGACTGAGGCATATAGGAGGTACGACTTGATGCCAATTTGCAATCTCATACTTAAGGTCCCCGTACGTGATTGCCTTTCGCTGGTCGTCAAGTCCAGAGCGGACTGAAGTCGCAAAAAGACTGATCTTTGCGAGGATAGACATGACCTTAGACCGTGAGCTGCGAAGTTGGGCCACGATGCGATCTGTCGATTCGGAAGCTGTAGCAAAGCTTGGGACGCCTAGGTTATATTCCCATCCACCAGCCCACTTCTCCCAGTAGTCGCCGTTGATGAGTGGTCCATTGCCCCTTGTGCAGGAGACCGCAACATCGAGAAAGGACATCATTGGAACGAGGAAGCGCCGTAATGGAACCGAATCGCCTTCACCGAGTCACCTACAGCCAACACGCAGCCGACACTCGCACCTGGCGAGCTTCTAGAGACTGGTCACTATTCCTCTGCAGCGACGGGAAGGAGAATTGTTCTCCTGGACTTGTATTCCAGGTCACTGTGTCGAGTGCCTGCCATCGAGTAGAGGCCCACGGTTCTATCGATAGCGGACAGGACGAAGAAGTTGAACTGGATTTCACTCTCCCTCATCTCAAGCCGGTTAATATCACCATGAGATTCTGTCAGTACTCTCTTCGAGGGTCTTCACGACACACCAGGCAACGCGAGCAGAAGGTCCATGATGGAGTCTCCGGGAGGATGGATGCGGAGTTTCAAGCGCCTGAACGAAGATGGCAAACCCTGGACAGGGGCACAGACGGCAACGAGCTTATAGGCCTCGAAGGAGCAAGCGAGGGGCCTTACAAGTCTTGCAGACTAGATGAACGTATTGAGTTTTAATCAAGAGTCTTCACCAACCCCTGAAATGGTATTGGTCCCCGGATGCCTCCTCCAGTAAATATCTGTTCCACGAGCCAGCATTAACGTCTTCGCTTGCCTTCATGTAAGACATCTTTGGAAATTGCCTCAAGTTCGGCGTATCTTGCAATACGTGCTGATGATTGAACACAGTGTCGATTACGAATGTCCCTTGCTGCCTTCCCGCACGAGTCCAAATCGGAGAGAGTCAGTCAACTCGGTCGTAATCATGCTACGACGAGTCGTTCGTGGCGATAGAGCTGCCGTGGCTTTCCCACGGTCGCATGTAGCTAGAGTGTCTTGAACGTTGGATCGTCTCACGAAGAGAGCATGCAAGTGGGCATTGATTGTTTTAATAATAGGTGTGTTTTTGTTGTATTCCGTCGTGTCTGTCCCTCTTGCAATGCCCTCTTCTAGGCTCCCTATTTATATCCCTTTTTCAGTTGCATAGGTACAATATCTAGGAGGCTGGGCTCCTTTCCCCAGCCCCCCCCTTTGCATACTGACTTTCCCTAGTCGCCGAGGGCTCTTTCAGCTTCCCCCGTATATGCAGTCTCTCTACAGCCTGTGTGGCTGCCTAATGCGGTCTCCTAATAGTCTTCTGCAGCCTCAGAATTCTCTGCAGGCTGCCTTTCTGTCTAGCCCGTCGGGGCCCTTAGCTGTATGCCCCTTATGGTCACCCCGAGCTCAAGATCTCAGACGTGCTTCGCGACAATCTGTACAATACCAAGCTTGCCGAGCAGCAACGCCAAGGCCGGAAGAAATACAAGAACCGCCACCTTCAAAGCGGTGGAGTACTGACTGTAGACGAAGGGAGGGCTATTGCGAAGTCAAAGGAAGATATTCGCATTGCAAAAGCAGAAAAGTTGGTACTGGCGAAGCAAAGAGGAGAAAAGGGCGATTGAGCTCGAGGAGCGACGGGCAGCCCGGGCGGCTAAGAAAGCCGAAAAAGAAGCCCAACGATCAGCTTTATAAGCTACAAAGGTCAAAAATAGGTAGACTATTGCGGCCAGTATTCAATTATCGTATGTGTTGGAATACTAACCTGCTGAGTAACCCGTGCAATCGGGATACCATCACGGTTCATGCACGACTCCCACGTGACACCCTACCCCGCGATCAGGGCACGCAGCCCCGGCTGCATGCCCCCATTACCGGTGCACATTCCGTTTCTTGTGAATAGCTTCCTCTTCCTAGTTAGTTACAATTGAAGTCATCACCGGTTACCCTACCTGTCGTGACTGTGACTCAGCCTACAGCTTGTGCGCATGCGTATCTGTAGGCACATAGGTGCCTACCATCACTGATCAGTGGTTCCAGGTCCCGAAGGAGCCACAGAGCAGCAAGGTAGACGAAGAGTCACCGATCTGATCCGCCTGCAATTCACCGTGCCGTTCGGAGAAAGTGATACTTTCTCTACGGGTAGAAGAGACAAACTCCGTGATTCGTTCCGCCGAGCAACTCACCGACCGTTCGAAGACGACAAGTTTGTGCTAAGAGCAGGAGACACTCCTTATTCCGATCCGCCTTCAACTCACTGTGCCGTTCGGAAGAAAGAAGCAGAACCTACGGCTAACCTATTGCTATTCCTAACTGCCGTTCCGCCGAGCAACTCACCGACCGTTCGAAGGAAAGGAAAAGACATAGCTTAGCTGCGTCAGCAACGCATTCCGACTCCCTCGCGATTGTGCTTTAATCAGTACAATTGATTACTAAGTCCCTGCACATAGAAATGGGCACCCCCCTGTTTTGGGCACCCAAGATGGGTGCCCAACCTAAACGGCTGCGTCAACTTCAACAGCAAATTTCACCGCGGAAACGCATCCAATCTGCTAAAAATTGACGCATGTGTCTTCAAGCCACTACTGATGAAATATACAGAGTCTGACATTCACAGCGCCCTTGAGGCAATCGCCAATGGCGGATCCGCCAAGAAGGCTGCTCGCGATTGGGGCGTCCTGAGGGCAACTCTTTACAATCGCATGCATGGTCACGAATGCAGAAAGGATGCATTTTCTGCTCTTCAGAGGCTTTCTCAGACACAGGAAAAGCAACTTACCGAATGGATTCTCATTCAGGACGCCTTGGGCCTTCCTCCCACTCACTCGCAGATCAGGCAGTTCGCGCAGCGCATGCTCGCCGTCAAAGGAGACCACACACCGCTCGGAAAACACTGGATGCAAGCATTTTTAAGACGAAATCCTGCAGTTCGGACCCAGAAGTGCCATCACAGAGACTCTGCGCGTGTCAACGGCGCTTCTACCGAGGTAATTCGGCCTTGGTTCAACAATTTCTTCCTTCCCGAGATTCTGGCTATTAAGCCGGAGAACAGGTACAACATGGATGAAGCAGGCATCATGGAAGGACTTGGGGAGAATGGCCTGGTCGTTGGCAGTGCTGAAAAACGATCTGTACAAAAGAAGACGCCTGGTTCTCGGGTCTGGACGTCGTTCATCGAGTGCGTGTCCGCTGCCGGCACCTTCCTCCCTCCACCCGTCATTTTCAAGGGCAAATCGGTCCAGCAACAGTGGTTCCCAGAAGATCTCAGTACTTTTAGTGACTGGCAATTCACTGCGACAAAGAACGGCTGGACTTCGGACCAAACTGCGGTGGAGTGGCTCGAAAAGGTGTTCATTCCAAGAACCCAGCCACCCGACCCTTCGGAGCGAAGACTGCTAGTATTGGACGGCCACGGAAGTCACGAGACGGTTGACTTCATGTATCTATGCTACCAGCATCAGATTCACCTTCTTTTCTTACCTCCCCATACCTCTCATGTGCTGCAACCGCTCGATTTGTCTGTCTTCTCGCTCTTAAGCACTACTACCGCAAACAGGTCGGATTTCTCAGCCTCCTGACCGATTCAAGCCCAGTCGGCAAGCAAAACTTTCTTTCCTGCTACCAGAAAGCACGCGAGCAAGCGCTCACTGTGTCAAACATCAAGGGTGGCTGGAAAGCGACGGGTTTGTGGCCGGTGTCGATGGCGAAGCCACTTTGAGCCCTCTTCTGCTGGAGAACAGCAACAGACGCAAAAGAACGCGAAAAATGTGGCCAATGCATTCAATAGCCACTTACCCACCAGTGACTGGCAATCAGACACATCCCAGATTGCGTGGTCGACCCGAGGCGCTCGCAAGATCTGAAGGTTCAGGTAGTTCAATTCAACCAGCTAGACGACGACGTGCCCACGAAGAGATTGCTGTTCAGGAAGATCACAAAAGGGTTTGACGAGAAGGATGGCCTTTTAGAAAAGCTCAATTGCAGATTCAGGCACTGGAAACACAATTGGCGGCCGTCAAGCCGAAAAAAAGGAAGAGGGTGGTCACGAGCCCGAATTCGAGGTTCGCCAATATTGAGGCAATACGACGGGCGCAGGAGGAGGTGAACGCAGCTGAGAATGAAGAATCTGATGAAACCGAAGCTGAGGTTTCAGAAATAGGTGACGATTGTATCGTAGTGCACGGTGGTGGGCAGTGAGAAGGGATTGAATTAATGGTGTTGAAAATGGTCGTGATTTTTTGGGGTGCCCAAAACAGGGGGGTGCCCATTTCTATGTGCAGGGACTTAATACCATTCACCTCCGACACTATGTCTGCAGGACCTAGCAGCAGTGCCCCGGGAGGCAGTAGTAATACCCCCGTCCCTACTATCTATATTGCTCGCGATCCCCCAAGCCAGGAGAGAGTGCAAGGATGGCTGGACAAATATACTGGCATACCGATCGACCTGTCAGACATTGACCTATCCTCTGGCATACCCTGTGAACCCAGAGGAAGAGCCAACGCCACGCCACCTGATCACACAACTCGCCCGTGCGTGGACCGACTATGAGAGAGCCAATGTAGGGAGAATCGACACTCTTATTATGTTCCAAGAGCACTTCGAAGGATGGAATAGTGCACTCTTCGGAAGGATTGAGCCAACGATTCGAGCTGCATTCGTCAACTATCTTCGTACGAAGGAAGTGATCACTGGCCCCTTGAGAAGATGCCGACATGACTATCTTCTCGCTTCCCTCGTCACCGAAGAATATTGGGAAACCCAGGATACCCCGGTCGCCTCCATCGACGAAGGAGCACAACCCACGCCCGCAGCGATCCCTTTGCCCCTCTCACCACCTATTCAACCGCCTGTACAACCTGTCCAGCAGGCCACTCAATCCGTCACCCCAACCGCTTTTACAAACGCTCCGACGAGCTACACCTTCCCTCACCGCACAAGGATAGCTCCCCAGGTAACACCAGCTCCCCCTATTACCTACCCCAATTCAGTGGCGATTCCCAAGAGCCAAGTCAGATCCGCCACAATACACCCCATACCGCACATTGCCACCACGAGACGTGCCGAACACCCCGACCAATGCCCAGACTCTCGCCCTCTTCGTCAAGATTTGGAATAAGGAAGATGCCTACTCAGGTCAACCTTACGATCTCCTTGACGATAAGATCAGAACTTCCTAACCACCTGCCGTTCGGTTGAAGTCCCCGAGAGCCAGCTACACGCCTTTCTCCCCGCGCCCTTACAGGTCGAGCAAAGACCTACTATGACCTTTATCTTGACCCAGACCTCACGTTCGCCGCCGCTTACCGACAACTTAAGCAACATTTCGATACCAACGTGAATCTGGAGCATTACCATACGGACTGGTCAACTATCACCTTCAACAGTGTCCGTAGCAAGCACAGTGACAAGGACCTCCACGCTGTGCTTGATATAATGCTTGACAAGCTCCAATTGTGTCAACGAGCGATTGGGCCGGAAATAGCTGGCGAAAGCAACCTCCGCAACGCAGTCATCCGCGCTTGCCGTGGAACGCCTGAGCTCAAGCAAGCCTTGTACAAAGCCCCGCCCATTGCGAACAACTCTTTGCCGACCTCCGCGCCTCTATTGAACTTGCGATCACGGACAACGGTAGCACCCAATGGTATACCGACCGCAAGTATCAACAGAATAGACCCCTTCCGCAACAATAACAGCGCGAACCCCAAACGACAGCCGCAGAGAAAGAAGGTGTGCTTCATCTGCGGCAAAGCTGGCTGTTGGTCTACCAAGCATACCATAGAAGAACGGAAACAATCACGGATGTATTTCCTTAATGCCCACAATGCCTCCGACACGACCCCGGACTTCGCCATGTTCCTCGCCGAATTCGAAGGTCATGAACTTGACGAGACCCTGTCCCTGACTATGATACTGCCAATGAAATTGACGATGAAGACCCAGCGATTGGCTCGCTGTTCTTCACGCAATCATTCCTCGCAGATTACGCTGTTTTACACCGTCTGACTAAGGAAGATGCCTATAGCGCTCCTCAAAAGGCCCCGGCACAACAATTCCTTGTCGATGACCGTTACACAACGCGTTATCAGGGCATCATGCTCGACACAGGTGCTTCCGACGTTTCAACCGCTGGCCTAGACCAATTCCATGCCTGGCAGCGCGAAGACCACTGCGCTACCCTCGATACCACCCGCGCAGGCCAGGCAGGCATCTCCTTTGGAGATGGACCCCGGATTGTGTCTGTCGGTGCGACCGCGATTCGCACGGCATTCGGGCCCGTTGATTTCCACGTTCTTCCCACTAAGACCCCGTTCCTCCTCTCCTAGCCGATATGGACCGGCTAGGCTTGTTTTTCAACAATCAGACCAACGAAGTCGTCCGCGATGACATTCGCGTTCCCGCAGTACGTAAATTGGGCCACGCATGGTTCCATCTAGGTGAAGAAGAGACTGCGAGTATTCCTGACCGAACGCGAATTGCGACGACTTCACCGACGATTCGGTCACCCGGCCACAGCTAGACTCCACCGACTGCTTAGATGTGCCGGGCATGATGATATTGATGAGCAGTCAATCCGTGAGATCACGAGGATGTGCCACCACTGTCAAATCAACGGCACCTCCCCAACGCTTCAGGTTTACCCTTAGAGACGACCGCGAGTTCAATTTCGAGATAACCGCGGATGTAGTCCAAATAGGCGGAAAGCCTGTGCTACACGTGATCGACGAAGCCACAGCGTTCCAAGGCGCCAGGTTCCTCCTCGATGACCGCCCGAGACACCTGGGAAACGCTACGGATGCTGTGGATAGACACCTACCAAGGCCCCGGACTTTATGCGCCACGATGCCGGCACTAACTTTGCAGCAGAGGAGTTCCAAAAGAGGCATCGCTGATGGGTATCACTTGCAGGCAGGTGCCTATCGAAGCCCACAACTCGATTGGAAAGGTAGAAAGGCACACGGCCCTCCGCCGCGCCTACGATATCCTCCAAGCAGAGTTGGGTGAGTCGAGAAGCCCAGATGCCCTCCTCCAAATGGCTGTAAAGGCAGTCAATGACACAGCCGGCCCGGATGGCCTTGTCCCTACCCTCCTCGTCTTCGGCGCATACCCACGAATCAACCACGATTCACCGCCCTCTCCCCCTATGATCAAGCGCGCAGAGGCTATTCGGAAAGCCATGGCAGCTCTGCACCGTGCTGCCGCTGCCCGTCAGGTTAGAGATGCCCTCAACACGAGGAATGGACCAAATGTAGAGCGCGCTGCAGAGCTTCCCTGCAGAGCGAGGTCCTCGTGTGGAGAGAGGCTGACGGCTGGACCGGCCCGTGGATCGTTATCGGCAATAACGGCCACGAAATAACAATCAATCATGTCAATGGCCCCAAACTTCAGGATCACAGCGGTCAAGAAATACCACCGTGATCCTCAGGCCCCTCATCACAACCCCACGACGACTCGCAGCCGTCCCGACGAGTCGACCCCAATGCACCCCTAACCCCGATCAAGATGATGCCCCTGCCCTGTGCTCCTACCTGAACAACGCCGACGAGGACGCCCCAAAGGCTCCAAGAACAAGCCCAAGACCGGCGTAGCCAACCTGTCAAAGAAGGAAGTTAATCACTATGATCACGCTGTTCAATTGCGCCGCGAAGGCCACATCACCACACCAGGTGCCCCCTTTGAACAGTCCGATACCCAAGAGATTAACAACCTAATCGCACAGGGTGTGTTTGAGTTCATTCGTTTCGACCCCGTGGCCCACAAAGGCCAAAGACTCTTTAAAGCACGCATGGTCCGCGAAGTTAAAGGACTCGGACCAACCACAAGGCCCTACGAGAAATCCCGTCTCGTCATTCAAGGCTATAACGATCGTGATAAAGAGAATATCCTTACCCAGTCGCCGACCGTGCAACGGGCAGCACAGCGGCTACTCCTCTCAATTGCCCCTCCTCGCAGGTGAAGCCTCCGTCTTCCTGCGTGATATCACACAAGCATATATTCAGTCCAAAACCCCTGAATCGTACGATACTCGCACGCCTCCCAGCGGAATTAGTGCCCGCTATCCCCAGACACCATCATCCATGTCATCCTTCCCTGTATGGCATAGCAGAGTCAGGTCTCCATTGGTTCGTGACATATTATAGGCATCATCGTGAGCGCCTCGGTATGACACATTCCACCTTTGACCCCTGCTTGTTGATCTCCATGATCAAGCCGCCGGCTTCGGCATGGTCGCTATGCAGACGGATGACACCCTCCTCCTCGCCTCCCCTGAGTTCGCGGCCGCAGAAGAAAGAGAGATCCAGAAGGCTAAGCTCCGCTCGAAACCAAGGAGCCAGCTATCGGCCGCGACTCCCCTCGAGTTTAATGGTTGCACACTTCTAGCCGAAAAAGACGACCTTATCATCCAGCAGAAGGGCCAAGGCCAGAAGTTAGCCACCATCTTTCTCTCTCCACGGATCGCGCGCAGCAATACGCCCAACAGCGCGCGCGCGAGCATATATCGCATCAATCTGCCAGCCCGAGGCCACGTTCGACTACTCAGTCGCAGCACAAGTGCAGCAGCCGGAAGCCCCGGACTACAAGACCCTGAACAAGCGGATACAATGGCAGACCGACAACCTGCAACGAGGACTCCGCTATGTTCCCTTGGCCTTTTCGACTGCGAAGCTAATGGTATTCACGGACGGTTCGTTCGCGAACAAAGACCTAAGCTCACAACTGGGCTTTGTTATTGTGCTCGCCAACGAGGAACAGAGCCCTGCTGATTTCACGATCAGAGGCAATGTCCTGCACTGGTCATCTACGAAGAGCAAGCGAGTGACCCGGAGCGTGCTAGCCTCGGAGATCTACGGCATGGTCCAAGGTTTCGATATGGCCATTGTCATCGCGACCACCCTGCAGGCTATTGTCAAGCAGCTGGACCTACCCCGACTCCTCATTGTCTGCACCGACTCATACTCGCTATACGAATGCCTCGTAAAGCTCGGGACCACGAAAGAGAAGCGACTCATGATTGATATCATGGCGCTAAGGCAGTCCTACGAGCAGCGCGAGATGGCAGAGATCCGTTGGATCAATGGGGATGACAACCCGGCTGATGCGATGACCAAGCAGCACCCAACCGTGCTTTGGAACGGTTGATTGAGACGAACAGGCTGACGATTCGAGTGGAAGGATATGTACAACGACCCGTGACCGCAGACACCACCTAACGACAAACGACTCCATGATGACGAGCCTCCCTTCATTGAGACCGGAATGAAGGGCAGGCACGGCAGTCTTCGGATTCCATCACGAAAAGAAAAGACTGCCTGTGTTGGAATACTAACCTGCTGAGTAACCCGTGCAATCGGGATACCATCACGGTTCATGCACGACTCCCACGTGACACCCTACCCCGCGATCAGGGCACGCAGCCCCGGCTGCATGCCCCCATTACCGGGTGCACATTCCGTTTCTTGTGAATAGCTTCCTCTTCCCTAGTTAGTTACAATTGAAGTCATCACCGGTTACCCTACCTGTCGTGACTGTGACTCAGCCTACAGCTTGTGCGCATGCGTATCTGTAGGCACATAGGTGCCTACCATCAGTCAGCATATTTTAATCCACTAGCCGCCCCCGCCAGTGGAATGGACAGTGGGTCCTCTCAGTGGATCCACGCGTGGATTCAGTTGAGTGGTTTGCAACCCTGAATATCATATTGAACCACACTGAATGACAAATACCGAGGTGAAATTCCTGACCTTGTAAGCCGAAGATATTTGATTCCAAGGTGGTTGGCTGTGTTTGAGGTTGTCATCTACGTTAACACAAAATGGAAGACCTTAAATGCCGACAACCTCAAACACAGCCAACCACCTTGGAATCAAATATTTTCGGAACGGGATGACTTACAACAATGCGGTTCAATATGGTACGAGGTACAACTGTATATGTCACTTGGTTATTCCGAAATTGTTTATATAAGGAGGAGTCTGCTCCCCTCTTATCGTCCAGCTTTTAGAATCATCACTCGGAGACAAAAACAAAAAAATAAAACTAAAACTGTGGGAATGTACATCATCAATAACAATGAGGTGTAGTTACAGACTGCATGAGGCCACATAACCACCGCAGTGGCTTCCCCTCCTCTAGCTAGAATAACAAGACGAATACACACACACCGGTTAACCACAACAATTGCAATTGCAAAGGCCTACCAACAAAAACGAAAACTGTGCAAACAGACCAAAAACGAAAACAACAGCCAGAGTTGGTTGGAGGAATGATCGGCATTGACGTCGTGGGCTCCACTATTCGAGTCGGGGTGGAGGGAGAGGATGGTAGCCCCATTATGGGGGGCGGGACCGTGAGAACTGTTGAGACGGGTGCGGGGAAAGATGTGATTTCTGCCGGGGAGTTGTCAGCTACCGGTCTTAGAGGGTGTCCCCGGTCGCCGCAGAACTTGAGTCGTCTCTGTCGTCTCGACTCTCCACCCGGCATTGGACTGCTCGGCTACCTGCTGCTCCTGTTGGCCTGTCTGGTATATCATGTTGCGACAGCCGACAGGGTGGCCAGTGTGGATATATCCGGAGTGGACCGCGCTTGCGTCCCCTACGGCAGGCCGTATGTTACATACGCCTGCTGGCCTGGTGGGCAACTGGAGTACTTCTCGGTATGTTCGGACGGGGGGTACGTGTACGTAGGCGACGGGCACGGCAACGCCGTCGAGGGGCTGGGGTTGTTCTACAACTGTTTGCCAGTCAGCGTCCGCTCCTTAGGTCGTGGCTATGAGTCCCACGGGCTTGGAACCAAACCGATTGGGTGGCGATGGCTCAATGTCATCGGTGGGCGTCAGAACGTCTGTGCTAACCCCCTCAAGGATCCTGCGACCACCGGTCAACCCGCCACGAAACCGGACAAGGAGATGGTAAGCCGACTGACGGTTCGTCCATGGGGGACTAGAGACCAAAGTGGTCGGCCTGTCACCCAGTTGAATGTCTCTCGGCAGCCGGATGGTGTCCCGGCTGATTGGCCGCCCGACGGACTCCCCCGAATCCGTTCATACTGTGATTTGCATGGTATACCCTCCCTCGTTTTGCTGTGCAACTTAATAGGCGTCGGCGAACTCATACACTTTTGCCGCGACACAGAACGCGGGTGGTGGTATGACATGTTCGGCAACCAGTTCGAGGACGACAGTGTGGGATGTTACTGTCGCCCGGTCGGGATCAGAGTACCCGAGAGGCCCTTCGAACCGGGCACCGCGGGGGGTAGGAAACAGCCGGTGCGTCGGGTTACTGTCGGGGCCGACTTCTCCACCCAACCAGCTGAGCAAAACTCGATGTCATTCCAGCCCGGACCAGCGAACCCATGGGCTAGAGGGGTGTGGGGGTTCCTGACGCGAGGGCCCCACCGCTCTGAGAAATCTCTACCACGCCGGACGGTACGGGTCAGCGGGACGGATGCGGACTCTAGCCACGTGGTGCTAGTGCCAGGTGCCATCGCGCCGCGGTACGGTCCCGAGCCGGAGTATTAGTTGGCTGGCCTTGGGTCGTCCACGGCGGATCGGCGTTCATCGGAACTGGGAAGATGGTGTTGGGTCGGGATGGCCCCGACAGACAAGTTCGGACAGACATATTGCAGGGATTATCGCGCTAAGCATGGGTTAAAAGCCATCGCGCCTCGACTACCTACAGCCTGAACAGGCATAAGTGCCATTTTCAGTCTGAAGGGAAATCCACTACCATCCTACCCCCCCCTTCAGCTCAGGTAAACGACACTAGCCTCACCAAAAATCCTAAACTTAAACAGCTTGTATTCCGATGAAATATTATGATATGTCGGGAGGTCTGTACTGCAGTAACGCAATGGGTTGTATTCAAGATGTCTAGCTAGGAAGGGAGGAAGGGAATGAGGGGGCACACTACGTGCCCTTTATACACGGATCCCCGAGGTCCATACACGTGACGCTAAGGGTCACGTGTGCGTGTGTGCGCACCTCCCTAGGCTCCCTTACAATCCTACTATAGCTATATGCTACATTCCCACATGATACGTATATAAAAACTATCTTATTTGAAAGAGAATTGAACAAATTACTCGCTTCTTGGTCTTTTGATCACGCGACCCAGCCGGGTGGTGCGCCGAGGAGGCTCAGGTACCCTGACTTCAATCACCGAAGCCGTCTCCGTCTCCGTATCCGCCTCCTTCTCTGACGAGCCGCAATCCACCACAACAACCCTTTTTGGGCTCCCAGTTGTTAATACAGACTCTCCAGCCGCCAGCGCTTCTGCGAGACCCATGAAGCGTCTATTTGGGTTAGGAATGGCCCTTCTCTTTCTTCCTCTCTTGAGCCTGTCCACTTCCTCCTCCAGCCTGGCAATTTTACTACTATGCTCTGTCAACGTCTGTTCTTGGGCTTCCCAGCCTTTGGCTCTCTTGGAATATCGTCTTCGAGTCGCAGGTGTCTTATTCTTGCCAAGATCACGAATATGGCGGCTAGTTTTCGGCGTGTCGTCAGATCCCAAAAATGGCCTATACTCAGGTGAGGCCATAACTTTGTCGTCCTGGATTTCTCTCACGAAGAGAGTATGCAAGTGGGCATTGATTGTTTTAATAATAGGTGTGTTTGGTTGTATTCCGTTGTGTCTGTCCCTCTTGCAATGCCCTCTTCTAGGCTCCAGTAACGGGCAAGCCGCTTTAACGGCGGCTGCGCCGCCTAGCTTCTAGAACCTTCCATTGGCTCGAAGCTATAAAATGCTATTGTGCTCTCATGTAGTAGATTCTCTTTCTTTCTTTCTTTCTTCTCTATCTTGATAGTAAACAGCATAGGGACTAGTTAGTTGTATCAACTCACTAGAGGCCTTTCACATACTATCAAGAACACTGAAGACACCGAAGACACTGAAGACACCGAAGACACCGAAGGCACCAAAGTAACTGAGTCCCGTCGAAATATTAGCGTTCAGCGAAGTCGCGATGGCCGAAGATAACAACAACATGCAGCCGGACGTCCTCAGCGCCCTGGTTGCCGAGATACGAAGTCTAAGAGAAGAGAGTTCCCGAAGAAATACCCAGTTTGAAGAACGTTTTATTGCCCTGGAACTCCAACAACACCAGCAAGCCCGTTCGTCTGAACTCCTAGAGCCAACGCCATCTGTCACCCCGGCTGTCCCCATCGAGGACACCCGTGTGGTCGCCACTCACAAGCCTCACCCAACCAAGCGCCCCAAATTACGAGACATACCGAAATTCGGCGGCGAAAAGGCTCAGTGGCGATGCTGGAAACTAGAAACCGAAGGAAAGCTACGAGTCGATAAAGAAGCCCTTGGAGATGCAGAAGGCCACTTTATGTACATCTTCATGAGCCTAGAAGGCAAGGCTAAAGACAACGTGACCACATTTGTGGAGATGCAAACCGAGAAGAGAACGTTCAATGTTGCTGAACTACTCAACCGCCTCGAATTGCTGTACAGGGAGAGGGATCGCAAGCAGAGAGCTACACGCAACCTGCATTCGATTAAGCAAGGAGAGAATGAACCGTTCACGTCCTTTTACCCCCGCTTTGAGAGGGAGATCGCCAATGCCAACGCCGAGTATTGGCCGGACGACAGCAAGATTTCCTACCTCCAGGAGGCACTAAACGATAAAATGAAAGCAGCCCTCATAGGCTCTGACCCCTCTACCATCAGCAGCTATGTTGGGCTGGCGAGGAGGTGCGATTCGCTGAGCAGCCAGATGGAACTGTTGGGTCAGTGGAAAAGGCCCCGAGGCAACACAAAGAGTTCGGACAACTATGACAACCACCAGAATCATGGAGGCAAGGCTGCCCAGAAACAGTCTGGCCAGAAAACCGAAGTTAGACGAGAGGAGATGATGGAATGGGAGCCAACTCTACAAGCATCCGCGAAAGTGAACGCTGCGCGCACCCGCAGTGATAAGAACACATATGGTTACCAATCCAAACGACCAGAAGACCAAGCGCTGCTGGGAAAGCGTGCCAAGTGGGTCGACCAGGCCGAGATGGACGCCCGTTACCGTGAAGGGCGTTCAGTGTTGCTAATAATATAAACAATACGTATATTGGCAATATGGACCCCTCGCAATATTATTGTATTGTCAAGAGGTGCGTATTGTATTGCGCAATATGGCATTGGTCCATATTGTATTGTATTGCCAGTGACCAAATATATTGCCAGTAAAACAATATATCCCGTATATCCCACGTGACCTCATTATTCAACCGTCGTTGCCGAAATATCGTCACCCTGAAAATCCTGTATCCCAAACCATGACTTCAAGCACTCCAATGCCTGAATTACATCACCCCAAGTCGATTTCGACGGTCTGTGATGGTTATTTTTGCCCCAGAGAAGAGTCTTTCGGGCTCAGCAGACATTGCGGGAATTGACAGTATATCCACCGCCATTTTGCTCAGGTATGGGTAGTTCTTTGCTGTGTTTCCTCCAGCCACCATGCGAGGGCGCTTGTGAACCCATAAACCCGTTCAGACTTACAATATCGCTCGTACTCGTCTGTGATAAGTGCTGGTTGTAGGTGCTTGTTTCTCCAATTCAAGAACTCGTTCGTGGTCGTCAACGGAACCTCAGATAGAGAAGGCGGCTCCACAGGTTTATAATCATCCCACAGTGTCTCCATCAGCTTCTTTGACGAGTCAGCCCACTCCTTCTTCCAGTTTTCGTGTATGTAGTGCCATTTATGCGAAGGGTGAAGCACAATCGCAGCGACGTAGGCAGGCGATTCGTCAGTAAGACAATAGTACTTATCCATCTTCGCCCAGCCCGAGTTATACATTGGTGCCATAATCGGATCGTCGATATGTGCCTCTTTTCCTGCTTCGAATTGCGCCAATACGAAGTCCATAGCCAAGAGAACATTGTCAAGAGTTGCAAACGATGACTCAAGGGCCTTTGTCGTCATTTTAAGCTTCTCCAAGAAAGACTTGATCTTCTCGAGGATGACCCACTCGGGAGAGAGCTCGTCTCCGGCACAATCTCCTTCCACCCATTTGTTGAAATATCCTCGACTGCGCCTCTAAGATGCAAGGCCGCTCGTAGCATGGTGTACCACGAACTCCACCTCGTGTCATTATCTCGCGCAAGCTTGCGATTATGGCTGATGGCCAGAAACTTTTGGCGACGCTGAACACTACTTTGGACGAAAACCACGAAGTTGTGGAGCTTGCCAAGGGGACCCTTTTCCGCCACGCCTCGATCTCTTTTAGTGTCACATTATGCCCATCACGTTCGTCGTCTTTGAGCTTCTCATTATCGGTAACGAAGAGGAAAGCTTTGGCGGCAAGGTTGATAATGTGACCTTGGCAGCGGAGTCGGTGAGATTTGGGATCGTATCGAATGTCATATCGACGTAGAAGGCCTGTAAATGTTAGGGCCAGTCAGAAAAACAGGGCACCGTACTTACCAAGGGAAAGAGATCTCATCATTGTATCGTTATTGCCTGCATTGTCCATCACAAAATATCCAAGGTTGGAAGCAAACCCCAGTCATCAACCACTTCCAAAATTGCCCTTGCCAGGTGATATCCGTCGTGCTCACTGTCGATGTCTTTCAAAGCCAAGACATGGTGTTCCAACTGACTGTCTTCTGCAACGTAATGAGCAACTACGCCTAAGATGGCCAAAGAGTTGGGGGAAGTCCATAGGTCGCAGCTGATATGAATTTTTGACTTTGCTGACTGGATGCGCTGCTTGACCTTCTCCTTCTGACCTTCGTACTGCCGCATAATCCATTTCTTGATGGTCTCGTGTGTATCTGGAAGCCAAGTATCGATATCGGCGTTGAGGTAGGCTAAGAATGCTCGGAATTCTGGGCATTCCACAAGCCTAAATGGGAGAGAACAGGACGTAATAAACCTTACGTATAAAGCTTCGAGCTGGTCTGGGTCGATCGAGTCTCCGGATTGATCGTTGAGCCGACGGCGTTTTCGGGGATGTTCTTTGGCCGTAACACGAGCTATCTCGAGAATAGTTCGTATATTCGTGACTTTGGCAGTTCGTGGCGCGCCTTTGGGAGGCCGTGACCGTCAGGAGGAGGATCCGTAAGGTGCTTGGCTGGGGCCGCAGTTCCACCGGAACAGCAATACGTTTTGTCACAGTGTTTGCAGCGCCATTCTTCTTTTCCGGTCCGCTGATTGTAGTATTTCGTCTCTATGTCCTCGTCTGGCATATGAGAAAAGACCCATGATGTTCTTGGCTTGGCCGAAGGGTTTATGGAGGCCGTGCGAGGTTGCGACGATTGGCATTCAGTGGTTTGGGTCTCATCTGGATCATGCAACCGTGGCTGGAATCTCCGAGTATTCGTCTGATATTGACGAATCCCGTCGCGGCGATGTTTGAACAAAAGGCAGGCGTTGTTGAGGCATCGAGATTGCTTGTAAGTCCTGGGGTGGGAAAGCGGGTTGAGGAGGAAAACAGTGTTTGGACGGCGAGCCGCTACCCTGTAGGTCTGGATTTATACATACATTTACGCGTTTCCGTGCGCCAATAGGAAACTTTTACGTCCTGGAGGTCCGCCAGACGAAAAACAATACATAGAACATGCTTATATTTACGCGTGTTTTTTGACGCGTCATCATATTGGCGCGAATTGGGGAACGGAAAGGCGAATGACTACCAACCAATACAAACAATACAAGCCATATATTGCCAGTATGGAAGGCGCTATATTGTATCGTCACAATATGACGGCGAGCATATTGTATTGGTACAATATGAGAAATCGCGTATTGTATTGTATATACTGCAGTATACTACTTTATTGTCATATTATTAGCAACACTGAGGGCGTTGCCTCCGTTGTGGAAGAGACAACTGCAGAATCGAGCGCTGTCCATTGGCTGCGCCTATCCGACCCGCAAACACGACCCGACGCACTCAGGTCAATGCCGTGGCTCCGACACGACCAGCGGTCACTAATGCCGAGATCGCCGAAGACGAAGCTTCGTCTCATAGCGATGAAGATTCAGATTAGGGACACGCGGCGGCTGTGAGAGAATGGGATGTGAGCGGAAAAGCAAAAATGGACGGAGAACCGTTCATAGCAGACGTCAGGGTGAACGGCACAGACTTTGTGCCATCTCTTGTCGACTATGGCTGCCTCTGCTACGGCGCGGTTAGCAAGCGCACATTTCACTCTCCAGTTGCCACATATACGCGTCCAGCCGCGCATCTTGGAGAATGCAGCGGAGACGGCAAGAGGTCAAAATCGACACACGTATGTGTCGATCGACCTCGATGGACATCAGCAGCATCGTGTTTTCATGTACGTCATCGACGATCTTAACTGGGACATGATCCTGGGTAAACGATGGATGGAAGACCAGGATGTTCACACCCACGCAAAGGAAGGATATCTCGAGATTGGGTCCAATGGAGTTCAAGTACGAGACCGACGACGTTACCAGCCTCCCCAGCTAGACGTCTCTAACGTCATGGCCGCAACCTTTTTAGCAGAGGCACGCCGTGACAAACGAAAAGGCGGCATTGGAGTTCACTCGGTCACGATGGCGGATATTGACAAGGCCCTAAGACCGAAACCGAAGACTGACGTAATGGAGAAGCTGCCACCACAGTACCACAAGTGGTCTCGAGCTTTCTCAGCAACTGGCCGACCAGCTGCCCTCATCGGCCAGGTGTGGACCTGAGGATCGAAGTGCTGAAAGACGAGCATGGCCGAGAGAAGCCCTACCTTGGGGACCGCTTTACAGCATGTCCCGCGAGGAGCTATTGGTGCTACGAAAGACCTCACAGAACTACTCGACAAGGGATTTATTAGAGTCAGCAGTTCGCCAGCCGCAGCACCAGTCCTTATGGTGAAGAAGCCCGGCGGAGGCATCCGCTTCTGCGTGGATTACAGAGGTTTGAATCACATAACGAAGAGGGACCGCTATCCCTTGCCTTTACTGAGCGAGACCTTGCGAACGATAGCCAAGGCAAGGTGGTTCACCAAGGTAGATGTTATAGCAGCGTTCCATAAGATCAGGTCGCCCTGGCGGCCTGGCGACGAAGAAAGACAGCCTTCAGAACGCGCTATGGATCCTTCGAATGGCTGGTAGTTCCATTCGGCCTGACAGGCGCACCAGCAGCCTTTCAGCGGTATATTAACAGCGTGCTCCAGGATTACCTCGATGATTTTGTGTCAGCGTATATCGACGATGTCCTGATCTTCTCCTCTGGAAGCCTGCAAGACCACCGCGACAAAGTCGGCAAGGTCCTCCAACGACTGATGGACGCTGGGCTGCAACTGGACATCAACAAGAGCGAATTCGAAGTCAAGGCTGTGAAATACCTTGGGTTCATCATCGAGGCGGAGTGTGGATCCGAGTCGACCCAGAGAAGGTTGAGGCTGTGAAGGGATGGGCAACCCGACGAATATTAAATCCGTGAGGAGTTTTATCGGATTCGCGAACTTCTACAGGGTGTTTATGCCAGAGTTCTCGGTGATAGCGGAGCGCTAACGCGGCTAACGAAGAAGGACGTGCCATTCCGTTGGGATGGATTGTGCGAAGAAGCCTTCGAGAAACTCAAGGACCTGTTGATCACGGCCCCGATCCTGCACACTTCCATCCAGAAAGGGAGACTATCGTGGAAGCGGACGCTTCAGGATTCGCGTCGGGAGGCGTGCTCCTGCAGAGAGATGATAAGGATGGACTGGTACGACCTGTCGCATACTTCTCGAAGAAACATTCGGCAGCCGAAGCGAACTACGCTATCCATGACAAGGAGCTACTCGCCATTCTCAGATGTTTGGAGCAGTGGGAACCAGAGCTACGGGCAGTAGAGCACTTCAAGATCCTAACGGACCACAAGAACCTGAGATACTTCTACTCGGAAAGGAGGTTGACAGAGAGACAAGTGCGGTGGTCGGAGTTCCTGTCCAAGTTCCAATTCAAGCTCGAATGGAGGCCAGGCCGCAAGGGTGGATTGCCTGACGCGCTCTCGACGGGACCAGGATATGCCGGCCAACTACTCCGATGAACGACTAAAGGGACGCATTATGAGGCTATTCCAAGATGATCACCTTAGAAGGATCCCAATATCGACATTGTCTACCAACACCGAGGGTGCCCAGGAAATCAACTTCGGAAAAGAGATTAGGATATTTGAAGATGAGGAGTTACAGCAGCTGTGGCACGCCGCACGCCAAGAAGACAAGCTCTATCAAGAACTCACGAAGCTGGTAGCAGATGGAGCGAAGAGTTTGCCAACAGGATTACAGAAGGAGAAGGTTGTCAGCATTTCAGAATGCTCGTTAGACAATAGGGGCCTGCTGTGCTTTAGAGAACGCGTCTGATACCCGGTTCGGAGCCGCTACGTACGAGGATCATCCAGGAAACTCACGACTCTCATATCACCGGACATCCTGGAAGGGACTCACGTACTCGACTCTGTCGAGACGCTTCTTCTGGCCGGGTGCCGCTAGCGATGTACGTCGGTTTGTGCGCAACTGCGAGGTTTGCGGACGAAACACCATCTGGAGGGATACAAAGAAAGGACTCCTAAAGCCGCTCCCTATTCCGCAACGCATATGGAGCGAAATTACCATTGACTTTATTACTGACCTCCCACCGTCGGGGAAAGACGGCGCGACGAACTGCATGGTGGTCACGGACCGACTCACCAAAGGCGTCGAACTCGAAGGATTACACGATATTTCTTCAGAAGCGGTTGCAAGAAGACTCTTCGAACGACACTACCCTGTCCATGGCATCCCAACGGCTATTACCAGTGATCGGGGTCCCCAGTTTGTCAGTGGTATGTGGAAACACTTCTGTCAGCTGCTAGATCGAGCAGCGGTTGTCAACGGCGTACCATCCACAAACCGACGGTGCAACAGAACGAATGAACCAAGAGGTAGAGAGGATTCTTCGGATATGGACAAACTATCTGCAGGAGAACTGGTTGGACTTGCTTCCAGTCGCGATGGCGACAATTAACGAGCGGGAAGCAACCTCCACCGGACTGAGTCCGTTCTTCAGCCAGTGTGGTTTTCGATCCAGTCAATCCTGATCAATCGATATTGACGGATTGATTAAATTGGCCAGTAAGATTGTCAATCCTGTCAATCCAGTTGGTGCCACAACTGCCATGGCGGCGCCACCGATTTAACAATCCATTTTTTTTGGCGGAACAACTAGTTAATTAAAATGAGATACCGTAATTTCCAGACGAGCGCGCAATTATCGATCCTCATTTGCCGATAATGGGATTGCCGGCGCTCGGATTGAATGAAGTTCAATCCGTCAATCCTTGCGACGCCATAATCCGCCGCTCTGAGGCGCCGCCCTAATTTGATTTATTGGCTGGATAACGGGGCTAGTAACCCGCACAAGCCAATGAGAGATAGCAGAGGAACGCCACGCGGATTGATTAGGATTGACAATCTGGTGGTCAATTCAATTCAATTCAATCCGCGATATTGATTGATTGGATTGACAAGGGTCCAGATTGAAAACCACACTGAAACTTCTTCTTCATGCACGGCTACCACAATGAGCCAATCCAGTTAGTTGAGCATCGAAGCACGGAAGACACAACACAGGAAGAAGCTGCAGCGGAGAATTTTATTCAGAGACTACAGGATGCCACGGAGTTTGCGCAAGCAGCGATAGCTATGGCCCAGGAAATACAGCAAGCGCAAGCCAACAAGCACAGGACAGCCGCACCGAGATACAAGCCTGGGGATTGGGTATACCTCAACTTGAGAAATGTCAAAACATCGCGACCCTGCAAGAAGCTCGATTGGTTACATGCCAAATATCAAGTGCTCGCCGAAGTCAGCCCACATGCCTATAGGTTGGATGTGCCTGGACGTATCCATCCAGTCTTTCACGTCGATCTACTCCGGCCAGTACCCGGAGACCCATTGCCTTCGCAGAAAATCGATCAAGAGAGTGCCCCACCGGTGCTGGTGGACGGCCAAGAAATGTACCTCGTCGAAAGGATTCTGGATGAAAGAATGGAAGGTACGCATAAGAAGGTGCTCGTAAAATGGCATGATTACTCGCAGCCTACGTGGGAACCCCTCCCACTATTCGACACACTGATGCATGGAAGCAATGGAAGAAACATAAAAGAGTGTCACCTTCTCAAGTCATCTTGACACAGATTGCCACGATCCCAAGGAAGAGGAAACGTTGGACGGGAGGGAGGTAATGTAACGGGCAAGTTGCTTTAACGGCGGCTGCGCCGCCTAGCTTCTAGAACCTTCCATTGGCTCGAAGCTATAAAATGCCGTTATGCTCTTATGTAGTAGATTCTCTTTCTTTCTTTCTTTCTTTTCTATCTTGATAGTAAACAGCATAGGGACTAGTTAGTTGTATCAACTCACTAGAGGCCAGGGTGGCGATCAATTCAATTCCATCAATTTGGCCTCATTATTGAGTTGCGTTGACAGCTTATTCATCATTGGTCCCGTTGAGTTGAACCACCTGCCTTCAGATGGGGGCGATGGAGTTGAATTGAAGACGTTGAACCACGTACGGCCCATGGGGTCGCCGAGGCCCCAGCCGGCAGCATGTCCAGTATCATCCCCTAGACTCCATATAATGCTATTCGCATTCTCCCTGACACGTCAACCAACGTATCCACGGCGTCGATTAGGCCATTCCGTACCCACGACCGTAACGTTTGCGTAATCCCTATCGTGCTGGCTTCCAATCGAGTCCGTAGCGGTGACACCATTTGCCCAGTGGTACTAAAGAGACGCTCGCACTCTGCGGACATGGGAGGATCGAGAGCAAGTCGAGAGCCATCCGCGACAACCGTGGGTAGTCTTTCCGCCTCTGCCACCAATACTGAAATGGGTTGGTGACGAGAGGATCATTCTCAGCGTCAGCACTCGACAGCCAGCGGTCATATTCATCATGGTCCGGATTCAGTGAACTTTCCAAAGAGGAAGATTCGTTGGGCAGCGACGAAGTCCTCTGGGCTCGGTGTCTCTCAAGCGCGCTCATTGCCTTCAGTCGCTTGTACGGACGCTCTTCGTCAGGCATCGGAGGGATCGGCAGCGATTTGTACTCCTCCTCACAGGTTTCTCACCATTCCTTTGCCTCCTGTAGCCAGGGAGCTGTGCTTGTCAGTCCATGTATTCTCGAAATAACCCCAACGCGAAACCGGATTTAAAATAGCAGAAGCATAGTATGCTGGCGTCTCGTCAAGCTTCGTATAGTAGTCGTTCAACTTATCCCAGCCCAGATTAATGTTAGCCTTGAGGTGCTCTGGATCGGGGAACTTCTCCGCTACTGCTTTCCACCTCTAGTCTGTCCATCAGGAATTCGTAGGTTGAGGCAACGTCCCACATATTTCCGTATGCTTCAATGCGGCCTCCTTTTCGAACTCGGCTCTGGGCGTCACCTTCTAGCATTCGGAGTGCTTCTTCGAAGTCAACAAGCACCCTATCCATCAACCCAATGACCTTCCAGTCTTTATCGCTGAGAAGACTCTCCTCGCGGAGAGACAAAGGCATCTCTTTTGCCCTTCTCATCCCATTGCGGCATTTTTTCCTGAACTCAAGCGTGACCTTCTCAGTCAGGTCTTCCAAGAAAGGCCGCAACTCAAGGCCGCGCCGTATCATATAAAGAGTCGAAAGCCAACGAGTAAGGTTATCAAGGACAACGTCCACAGGGTTCTTCGCTCGAACCTTGGGGTCGTCCGACTGTGAAAAGGACTCTTCCTGAAGCGCACGAAGCCGGTACGTCAGCTTATCGGACTGATGGATCCAATTTACTAGGTTGTGGAGCTTTCCGACTGGGCCTTTCTTTCGCCAGATTTCATGCTGGACCGCGTCAAGAACAGGCTCCCGTTAATCTCTGCCTCAAACGCGTCGGCCTTGTGTCCAAATAATAGCGCCTTGACCACCAAGTTGAGCACGTGGCCGAAGCATCGCACCCTCCGCTTCTTCGGATCAAAGCCCAGTGCCTCTGCAATCTCCTCTGTCGCCGTATCCATATTGCCAGCGTTGTCCAGTGTAATATAGCCCACCTTGTCGAGGATCTCATAGCTCTCTAGGATCTCGAGGATCTGGGCTGCAATGTTTTCTCCCGAGTGTGAGATCTTCAGCTCCGGCATGCCTAGGACAAGCTTTGATGGAACTCCATCCTTGTCGATGTAAAAACATATAATCCCGTATAAAGCGTGCCGATTCCTGGAACGCCAGCCGTCGAACGCAATGTGAATTTGGCCCGGGGTGCTCTTTAGATTGTCGATTACGCACGTCTTGTATCGGGTATAAAGGTCAACAATTCGCTTTCGAACGGTATCGTGCGAGATGTGGGCATTCGTCACTGCGACCGATGGATTCAGGTATTCGAAAATATGTCGGAGGCGACAGTGCTCGGGCTGGCGAAAGGAGACGTTGGCGTCGACCACCCACTCGAGAAGAAGTCTCTGAAAATGGTCCTTATCGAAGCGCTGGATGAGGGCGTTCGCGATACCTTGCTCTTTGGGGTCTGAAGCATTGAGGTTCAACATCTCCACAATATTCTTTGACGGGGTCTTGTCCCTGGTTCCTTTCCCAAGAGCGGGCGCCCTCTTCCCGGACAGATCGACAAGCCTGTGCTCTTTGAACAGATGATTCTCGATGTTCTGAGTGCCAGCGGCAGAGAAGTCTGATGTTTTTTGCTTCGGCTTCTTGAGGCAGGGCTTGCAAACCCATTTTCTTTTCGTGGGAGAATCGCTAGGTTGAATGTCGAAACCATGCTGCCAGACCCACGAAGTCTGCCTGCCAGCACGCTCGGAAATCGTATAACCTGGAAAATGGTTCCATGGGAAGATGCTCCATTCGTCTTGCAAAGCATCCATGTTAACAAACGACTTGCTGGATGAGCCTCCGTCTGAAGCACGCTGGGGCTTAGTAGGAACGTCGGTTTCCATTTGGCCGCAGGAAGGGGATGCATTCGTTTGGGGAAGGTTTCTCTGCGACGCGACTCGGGGAACTTCAGCCCAAACGCGTTCAATCGCCCAGGTACTTATACATTCGTTACATCTGAAAACAGTATGGAATGGAAGTACTACAACACTCAATACGGTAACTAAGGCTAACCTTGAGGGTGATCACGCGAATCACGCGCGTCAGACGCGACTCGATTAGGTACCTAAGTGTAGATGCTACCCTAGATCACCTCCTGCTTCAACGGCTTCAACGCGTGGTCAACGTTCGAGGCGGAGGCGTGGATTGAAGCTCTCAATGTGCAGGTGATATTGAATTGATTGAATTGAAACACGTGACTTCCACTTCAATATTATTGAAGACGTGGAGGTGGAGGTGGAATTGATCGCCACCCTGCTAGAGGCCTTTCACATCGCCCACCTAAAGCCGAGATGGCCCATCCGCATCGGCAATCGAATACTGTCAGACAATTGGCTCCACACGGGTCAGAGATGGCATCAGGCAATTGATGAGAATTATCTAAAGAACAAGAAGTGAATGAACGAACGCACGGAGTTGTGCAGCTCTTTAATCTTTATACACAAATGAAAGGTCCGTCGCGTGATTACGCAGTAGCGGTTGCCTAGCAGGCAAGTTGTGAACATCATGCTGGTGCGAGGGCAGCAGTACAAGTATCGGGGGCATGTCGTTCACTTTCTTCGCGAAGTTGGCTTGGTGTACAACCAGCTCCCGCTTCTGCCGCGGGAGTTGAACACGGTGTTGCTGCGTCCTGCCAACACGTCATCACAAGCCAATCTGAGCCGGCAATTTACCCGTCAGTTCCGTGTGCGCCGCCAGGCGGTTATGATATGGCTTGACTACCTCCGCCATCATCATCCTGGATATCGATGCATCGTCATCGACAACGAGTGACTGAGCCAACTGCCCGAGGACGGCAACGTGGTGGACGCCATTCGCCGAATGGAAATAATTGTACGCGAAATATGGTAGGAAGAGACCAGGAGAGATATCAAACTGGAAAGTTGCGGCGGGAGCGCAGTTTTTATGGAGGGTCAAGGATGGTATTCAGTTGATGAGTTGGACAGCAATAAGGGCAAAGCTCTTTCGGAAAAGGCGATGGAAAAAGTTCCTCAGGAGATGGAACAGGCCGAAGGAATTGCCCAAGTAACTTGTTTTCTCTCATTTCAGTAACTATCTTATGGTCCTTTCAGTCCTGCCCGACAATCCTGCTTTTTTCCGATGTTCACGACCAACAGCCACGACGAGGCCGAGATCACGCAGGAACAGGTGAGAGTCAGGATCTTTGTTCTGCAGGCCAGTACGAAGCTCGGTCTGCGGCTTGTCACAGCTAACGGTAGAGTCACGCCTTCGTACGAGTGGCGCCGTACGAAACCCAGTGTAGAATGGAGCAACGGTCCGACAATGGGCAGTGCGACATATCACCCATCCAGTCAGAATCTGGAAGCTCGAAATCTCGAAGTTATATGACTGGGCGTTCGAGAGCCGCCTGACGCAGCGGCAGAGGTGAGTGAGAGTGTCTTCCCCGGGCTGGTCTCGGCCAAATAGCACTCGATACCGGAGACTCGATCGGCGTTACAAGTCGTACGCCTTCTTGAGATGCAATCGAGGGACTCGGACGGGAAGTAATCGGCGCCAGAGCGACTGCTCCTGTTGACGTGGCAATTGGTGTTCCCAGCAGAATAGGTTCCTGTAACACAATTGGTGTACCTAGTTGCAAGTCTAATAATGGCAATCCTTGTCGACGTATCGGGGATAACTCAGCTTGTTCTGCCGTACGCTTAGAGGCGCGTGAGGCTCGCCGATTCTTGCAGTCGAGACAGTGAGCCGTAAGTCCTCCATATGATATGGAAGATTTTTTCTTCGATATGAATTGATCTGCCGGCTTCTTCTGCTTGCAGTTCTGCAAGTTTTCGTTGAAGGAATAGAATCAGCCATGAGTGTGTTGGATTGGAGGGATGGTTTGATGAGGAAGAATGAGAAAGGACTGGCCCCTGGCGACATGCGTCGTTGGCAGGCCGACAAACACCCTTCAATCCGGGCGTTGAGTGGAGACTATGGAGACACATCTGACTAATGATAGTAGAGTTTTCGAATTCAAGTTATCGTCGTAATAAAGTCCTTCTGTTGGGTCGTGGGTATTCGTGCTGTGCACAGGGGTGATAGAGAATACGAATCAAAGGTGCTAAAGAGCTATGCCTGTGACTGTTGTATTGGTAATCTATGAAGAGAAGAGAAAAAGATGAAGAAGAATGAGGGGAAGGAGGAGAAGAAGGAAGGAAGGGAGGAATGAAGGGAGGCGTGTAACCCCGGTCCGAATGTCTTCCGAGACCCTCCTATAAAGCCTCCTTCTCGCGTAGGGCCAGTAGAGCCCATGTCCCCACATAATGAAGTCCTCCGCATCTAGACACCTTCGGACTGAATAAAACCTAGCGCCTGCCTCCCCCGCCCCTGGTTAGGGTTCAAGGCCGCAGCCGTTTGGGGACTTCATTTTCCAATTCCTTCCTATGCTTGGCAAGGAGCTTGTCGGTCACTTCCAGAGTCGTTGTCGTCGTCGTAGACACGCCCGAAGGCGATTGGAAAGTGACACTGCCATCTTTCTCAATGACGATGGATGTGTCGTGATCCCCCTCCCGTACCGGTAATATGTGCTGCTTGAACCCAGCCGTTGTTCTCACGAAGAAAGTCAGCAGAAAGGTCATATTGTATTCCGTGTCTCTGTTCTCCTCCCTTTCTGCCCTAAACCCAAGCCCCTATTTATATCCCTCTTTCGTAGTAAAGGTAATGTGTTCAGGGAGGCTGGGGACCTGGGGTTCCCAGCCTCTCGACTGAGATGTTCCAGTCTTTAAGAGGAGCTTTCCAGCCTCCTCGTTCAGACCTGGTTATCAGCTCCCTTGCTGCCCTAGCTACCCATGGGTGACCTGGTTGACTCGACCATGGGCCGTTCTTCGCGACAGTTGTCGCTTGATTGGCTACAAGACCCGTGATGACCTTGCCGACTAAGAAGCCTGCAGCACCGCCAGCTGCTGAACCTGGAATGCTAGGTGCTCCCCCTGCCACTGCCCCTAACCCCCCTCCGAGCATCCCTCCTACTCCCCAGCCGACGAACGGTATTATATCCGAAATGGATTTCTCAAACCAATCAACGGCGCCGCGAAAGTTATTGGGATCTGTATAGGTAATGGTAGTGGCATTGTTGCTTGTCCAGCAGATTTTCCACCAGTCTCCGCCGGTAGTCCAAAAGCCCGTATGATATTCGACCTTTAAATCTTCTGTCCTGCTCCCTGGTGCAAGCCTGTTGATGGTGTATTTGTCAACAAGGACGTCGCTATACTTATGCACGACTGATAATCCCTCGAGCGGGTTCTGGCTTTATTATCGACATGGACAGTTGCACTTCTCTTCGCAGTACCGGTAAGCCCAGGGACACTTGAACGAGCAAGAGCAAGGCGAAGAAGATTGACTTGATTTCCATCACGGAAGAGCGTATAAGGTCTCGCGAAGGAGAGAGCAAAAGTGGGCATAAAAGTGGATAAAAGGACTTTTCGAAGGTCGAGTATCATACCGGTACGATTAGATGGTATGTGAAAATGCATGTGTTCATTGCTCTCTTCGGTTTCCCGTATCCGTCTAGCCCTCCCATTTTATATCCCTCTGTGCCTTCCCTATGTTCATATCCCGTGTTCAGGTACCGGTATAATATACATTCTATCAGGAAGAGGGCAAGGATAAGTCATCTACGCCAGCACATTCAGCTCGATCTCCCCGATCAATAGCTTTCCAAGCTATTAGGTCGATAGTTCAATCTCTTGAGGTCCCCGAGCCAGTAAAAGATAATATACCGGACTCTTTGGATCCCGTTCGAATAGGAGATCCTCCGGACCCCTCAGTGGACCACAAACCTCCCTCCTTACCTGGTTTCGAGCTGTATTACCTAGAGAGACTTAGAGGCCTCTCGCTTGGTTCGGACCTTCTTCTCGACAATGTACGGAGGAAGCTTTCAAAAGTCCTGTCCCGGCAGGGGGGCGGACAGGGGAGCTTGCAGGGAGGGGGGGGGTTGATATGACATGGGCCCTGGCTGTAACGGTTCAGCAGGTTCAATTACAACATGCTACTCGTGCCCGCCCCACCTTTCTGGATTCGGTTCAAGTATGTATGTGTATTTCACCCGGAGGATTTCTCCTATAGGGCCTAGACGTAAAAGCTACTGACATTTCAATACATTAATGCATAACACCTTAAGCCCCACGGGTCAGCATACGCTACACCAACCTCGCCGCTACTCGCTCCGTGACAGGCCTGCTTGAAGGCCAATTTCTCCAAGTGTTCAGCGTCCTACCTTCAGCAGCTGAAGCGCGGTCTGTCGAAACCGAAGTCGAATACCTGTGTGTTAGTATTGTTGAAGGTTAGTGCCATAATCGATCCTAAGTGGATTCTCACTTCCGCTGCTTAGCCCGAAGGGCCAGACGCTGCCTGCGTCTCATCCCCAGGGTTCCGCGCCCGACAGTTCCGGCTGTACGATTCGTGTGGTCCACCGCAGGGCACGCACTTTGGCACTGTCTCCTTGCATTCTCTGTGGTGATGTTCTGCTTTCGCGCATCTGCCACATCTTTGCGGCTTCTTGCATGAAAACGCCTTGTGTCCCATCTCTGACAGTTGAAGCACTGAATCGGTCCTACGCGGCGTTCAAAAACATTGGTGCAGGCGGACTCTCCCGCAACATCGAACCACACGCCGTCCAGAAGTCTTTGCGCGTCACTCTCTTTAGTGACATAGATCACCATTGACCCGTACGCTTTGGCTTTCTCTGTTGCTAAGCCAGGTGATCTTGGCAATCGTGACGTAATTCTCGGCTCCGAGCGCCTCAGCTGCGCCCGGCAGAACGTTGCCTTCGGCGTCCAGCACTGCGGTACGCTTGGTGTTGTCGACTTTGACAGGGTAAAGCTGATCTCTCAGTACCCTGGCTCCCGAAGTTACCGTCTTCTGCGCTGCTTCCTTGACCTGCTTCAACTCGGTTTGGTCTCTGCATAAAATTTTGATCCGGTCGGGGTTTCGAGCGTCTGTCACGACCGCTGCGCATTTCCAAGTCTCCTGCCTCTGACTCTTCTCATGTCGCTCTCTATGGCCTTTCGGATGTTGCCGATCTGCGTCTGGCACCTGTTCGCTTCTTCGACTCGTGATGTGTCCACCGTACAGTAGAGACTATCGCTGACGGCTGTTCGTGCCGATTTAGCTGCTGGTACGGTGCCCCGGTTCATTGTCTGGATCGTCGGCGATGACCCTGCAGCGCTCGCATACGACATCTGCGGACTGCTCTGCAGAGAAGATGCGGGCGTAGCCAGGGTCTCTAACTGCGCTCGGATGTGACGAAGCTCATCTCTCATCTCTTTCCCTTGTTGATCCATTTCCTGGATCATCTGCTGTTGCTTGATATGATCTCGTTTTGCGCATCTATCGCTCGGCTGAGCTTTGCGTTTCTTGACGTGACTCGCTCAAGAGTTCGAGAACTTTCTGGAGCATGGCTCGGCCTTCGTTCGCGCCACTGCTGCTGCTGGCAACTTTGCGCCGCTCAGTCGCGTCACTGATGGCGACATCATCCGAGGCAATGCGTGTTGCAAGCCTAGTTGCGCGTGTTGTCTTCTCCGCCAGATCGTCGGGCTGTCGCGCGGCTTCTCGAATTTTGGTGCTTGGCCTCACGACGCGTGTCGATCTTTTCGCGGGTGTCGACGCAGGCGACGCGCTTCGCCCCACCATGATCACGGCCTCAGCCGGCGTCTCCATGATGAGGCCCCTCAATGCCTAGCTGGCGTTCGCTCAAACTCGCTCTGTTCAATGGAGGACTCTCGTTCAGTTTGGTATCACTGCTCCAAAATATGTCGTGGTTATTGTGCTCGGTTTGTCTTGCCATAAGTGTGGGTCGGTTCAAGTAGCAGTGTGTTTATCCCTCATATTGTTGAAAGTGGAGCTAGTGCGTAAATTACTCGCCACTAGGGGGTTTTGCACGACTCAGGAGATAAAGACCCACTACGGAGTACTCATTTTCTATCGCTCACATGAGTGGTTTTTCATGGAAAATATGTTCGGCAAGGACAGTGGTACCCGTTGGCTAGTGCCTTCGTATGCCAACTTGGGGCCCCTTCCCCTAAGTTGGCTAAAAAAGTCGTGGACATGCAGAAAACCCGTGGACAGCCGCGCACGGGCCCACTATCGTAGCACCGCGTTTTTAGTGCATCTTCCCACCAAAACTCGCGACCGCATGATACTCATGACGTATTTCTACGTCGCCAACACGCAATGTATTCCCAAATCGCTATTGCAAGGGCTGTAAAGCTTGTTCTTGAGTCTCGCGAGAGCTTCGAAACAGGGAGCCGCCGCCAAACGCGCAAATCCGGGCAAGGGGCGGTCCAGAAGCCCGTATCAGTACGTCAGGCGGCAGCGATCTTGGCGTGGCCAAGTCCACGGTCCAGAAAGGCATTGCACGGCGGCACGGAGACATTGGCCGCATTGGCCGGCCAAGACTGCTCTCTGACGACGAAGATGACGCTATCGCCGCCTATGTGATTTGGCTACAGCGAAGTGGCTTCCCAGCGAGTAAGGCGCATGTCGAGTCCGCCGCTTTATCGCTCCTTCAACGCCGCAACCCTGACGCCAAGCCGCCCTCTAGAGCGTGGTATTCTCAATGGCTTCAAGACCACCCAGAGCTCCGCGTCACATATATCAAGGCGGTTGAGAAGTCTAGGAAGACGTTTGAAGCTGGCGATATCTCCAATGTTAAGAGGTTCTTCGAGAAGCTTACTGGTATCCGAGGGTTTGCTGAGCGCCGCTGATCTGGTCGGGTGGGGCAATCCGAGAATCAGCGACCAGGCGGGCCAATCGTATCTGCGGATATCCACCCCACCCGAACGGCGCGCGCCGTGGATATACGCAGATATCGGTGCCCCGCTGATTGCGTCGCTGATTCGATGGAGAAGCCGCTATTCACGTTCGCTACGGCGCCCTGTCCACTGGAATTTTAGCGGGCGACCCGACCAGGCGGTGCGCATCGTGATCGCTAGATAGGGCATCTCTCGTCGCCGCGCGCCACCCCGCTCCAACCCGGACTGGTGGTCACTGCAGGCTTGCCTTGGTCTTCCCGTCACGATATATCCCATGGCCCGGACGCCAAATCGACGGAAGGCGAAGACAAAGGGGGCCTGCCGAAGCTCGCAGGAGCAGCGGCCGGGGCAGGGGCAGGGGCAGGGAGTCGCGCAAAGCCGTCGAGCGTACGAGTGGACCAACGCATCCGGCAGAACGCGATAAACGACGCGGAGCTACGCGCCAATGCGCAGACGATCCTCTCTGCGATCCACGAGTCTCGGCCAAGGAATACGACCTCGGCGTACGCACCGAAGCAAGAGGAATTCGAGCAATTCTGCCGCCACAAACAGTACTGTGACGGCGCTACGGTCACAGAGGAGAAGCTCCTCCTCCTCGTCGAGGAGGTGGCCGGTCGGCCCTTGAAGGTCAGGAGCCGCAAGGCCGCCACTGATACTCCGCAGGACGAGACCCGCCTGGCCTGGCGGTCGGTCCGAACTTATGTCACCGCAATCACGGATCTTTACCGGACGCAGAAGGCCCTCGGAATGAATACGCACCCGTCGCCGCGCGAGGACAACGTACGAGAGTACCTCAAGTCCCTACAGCGCCGGGACGCCCAACGAGACAGGGAGAACTATGCCGATAAAGGCCGCGATACTCTGCTCGATGGTTACTCGGAGTCCGAGTTCGAACGAGTATGCCACGAGCTGTGGGCCCACAGCGGCACATCGCCCGAGTGTCATTTTCGGACCTCGTGGATCTCCTCTTTGGCCATTATCTTCTCACCCGTGGCGGCGATCGTCGGGCTGCAGAGATCTCAGACCTATTCACCTTTGAGTTTGCCGGGGAGGGCTCGACCCGGTGCATGCCGCTCATCTTTACGACACGAGCCGGCAAGCAGAACCAGCACGGCCGCCTCGAGACCGCCGGCGCGTATCGGAATAGGAACCCGCTAATCTGCATCTTGGGTGGCCTCGTTCTACCTCTTGTATCGTTGGGATCTCGGTAGTGAGCCGTTTCCGATTTCAGCAGGCGGTCCTCGTGGTACGACATCCGGCTAATCAAGGGTAACGGCACCGGCCGGACGGCGGCTTTCTCGTACAACTCACAGCGCGAGTGGGTTGTCAAGGCCTTCGCCTACGCCGGCGTCACGTCGCAGAAGAAGACGCATGTCGGCCGCAGCTCGGGGGCGAGGACGGCTGAACTAAAGGGGATTAGCGAAGACCAGATCCGTCGCGCGGGTCGTTGGAACCAGGAGCAGATGGTCGGCTGTTACCTGAACTCGTTGCCTCGCAAGTTCATGCGTACGATGGCCGGGCACCCGCCGCAGGCCGGATGCTTCGAGATACGCCGTGCCGGCGTGACGCCGCCGGAGGTCCTGCTCTCGATGATCTGGCCCGAGCTGGACCGTTGGCGAGGCCGGTTCGGTCCCGGTACCGAGCAGGAGAACGACCTGGCAGCGATGGGTTCGACGAACCTCATCTTCTATTTACGGGAGGTTGTCTTGCAGGATTCCGTTGTCCTGATGAAGAAATACCCCGGCAGCCCCGTTTGGAACCACCCGGTCTTCCGGCATCCGGCCTACGCCCCGTTCGCGCACCAGCTATCGGACTTCATCCTTGAAGAGGAGCGTCCAAGCCAGCTTGCAGTCCTAGTCCAGGCGATGCCGGTCCTCGCGGACTATCTTAAATCCATCGACGCGCGGAACGAAGCAAGGACGATCCAGCTTAAAACAGAGCTAAGCGAGCAGCTTCGAGCCACCGAAGAACGTCTTGCGGTAGCCCAGTCGTCCCTTTTTTCGAATGGTTTCAACTTCCAAGTTACGGCCGCGACGACCACCACTGCCACCACGGCCCCGGCCGTGGTTGATGTCGTTGGGCAGGAGGACGAGGAGATGGAAGCCGATTCGTCTCGGCTCAGTCGAGCATTGTTGATAGCCGTGCCACGAGCCCGACGGCGACAGATACGATCACGGTTAAGACAGAGCCACCGCCACGGTATCAGATGTGCCGAGCAGTAAAATGGTCGAGGCGCTCTGGAGCGAGTGGACGGTTGGCCTTCGAGGCGGGCCAGCCATTGCCGACCTCGACGGTAGATGGGGAAGCCGGCAGGAGATTCGCAAGGTGGCGAAGGCCCACAGGTGTAGCGAGGAGGCCGCGATGCACATTGTCAACTTACAACAGCAGCAAACCGGCTGCTCGCTGGACTTATTTTGCAAACAGCTCCGAGCCAACAGAAAGGCAAAAGTTGTACAACTAAAGAGGTAGAAATACACTATTTTTGTTTCCCCTCCCCCTCGTAATTTGACGAGCTCGTCGAGCCTTGAGAGCCCTTCAAGACGCGGCGTTCCGGGCGGCGGTCGGCCGTCCGGCCGACCGTGGACAAGGGTGGGTATGTGTCGGTGGACCAGGGTAGCCCTGTTAGGGAGGGACCCGGAGAAGGGATTCCTGGCCCATGTAGCAGGAACGCATGAGGACTTCCTGAGTAAGGAAGGTGTTAGATCCGGTAGAATCCGGGTAGATGCAGCTACGATAGCGTCAGGCTACTAGTGGCAGCGCCAACGGTAGCGCAGACGACAGCGCACCAGGTAGCGCAGCTAATGAGGCCACGAGGACATCTATGAGACAGCTACGGGGATATGACGTGATGGCATGTCATAGAGATTGAGGCCATCGCCCTTTGATATAGGGCTTGGGCAGAGCACCCCCGGATGGGGTGCACAGACAGACACAGACATCATACCTCACTTCATCCGATCGTACCATTCTTGCTGTGTCCGTGACCTATCCGACGAGAACCTCATCAAGGTTGTCACACATAGGATATCAGCCTCCAACAGTCTGACCCCCTATTCGCACAGTCCGTTTCCACATTTCCCCACAGAAACTTCTAGGAGGCATCATCAACGCATCAGTGGCTTCCAGATGATCCGATCAGATGCTTCCATTCACTACCATTCCCTTCCATTCTCATATTCAGGCAGTCTATAAAGATCTCGCCTCTTTCCCACCTTAGATAGCAGAATCAAGAGTCTTCCAGTCCCTGATCTTTATGCCCACTTGCTCATCCTCCGTGCGATAAAATCACTTTCAAGCTGTCGGCAAACATGAATGATTTGCTCCGCGACTCTGACCTCCCTCGCGCTATCACGAAGCTGCTAGATGGAGGTGAACTCATTTATCAGGGGGCAGGGGCAGCCTCTGCAGTCTTCCGAGTGAGCCAGGACATTGTTGTCAAAATCGAGCAACAGTGCTTAGACCGACAAGGCACTGCCTTGTCCAGCAGGGCCTAGCCCGTTACATGGATAGGCACTTGCATTTTGGCAATGTGGCCACCTCAAGGTAGTTCGCTAGGGTTTGCATCATGATTCAAGGCTGACGTTTGCTTCCTAGGGCCGAAGGAATTCACTCATTTGATCAAATCATACATCAAGACATCCACATTCGACCTCTTTGACTCTTGCCGTACCGTACTTGCGTTTTGGCGAAAGGTTTCTACCCCCCTGTCTCTCACGATCTGTGACTGACTGACTCACTCTGTTCCGTCCCGCAGGCCCTAACGGCCATCAGGTGCACAGCCTCTGATGCAGCTTGGCGTCACTTGACCAATCATACGCGCAGCCCAGAGTTATTGATGTTCTAAGCTCCGGTTCTCATTGGTCAGAATCGGTTCTACTAAGAGGACAAGACGGCGCCATCCAGACGTGCGCCGTCACTCGAGACATGCATGAGGTTTGTGCAAGAGCCCCTGCCCGGCTGAATTCTGCCTCCTGGTAAAAGACCAGCTCAAACGGAAATAATACCGTAGTGTACACTATGGTCAAAGCCTTGAGATGTACCTACGGCAAGCAACTGGTAAGTTAATTTTCTCCTCGATGCGTGATACTGTAATTTCGCGTCTCGAATTTTTGTTATTTGAAGAGTTCAAAGAGCATGAGAGGGGAGTATCTGCAGATCATGGAAGGGCCGGAAAAAATTACACGATATGTATTTCGCGCAGCATCGAAGACTGTGAAGCGTAGACCGGTACACCGGATTCCTAAATACGCTACAACTTGGCGACGTGTGTAAGCTAGGATATCACAAGTATTGCGGCAGCGAAAAAAAATGCAGCGGCTGTACATCTCGCGAAGGAGAGATCAAAAGTGGGCATAAAAGTGAATAAAGGGGCTTTTCGTAGGTAGATTCCCAGATGATCTGATAGTCTGTGATGTGCATGTGTTGATTGCTCTGCCCCAGTTGCCCTTTTCACGTCCAAACAGCCCCTTTTGTATCCCTCCAAGCTTCTCCCAAGTTGATATCCCGTTTTCAGGTATAATATACATTCTATCAGGAAGAGGGCACTTCTTGCCACTTACTGAAGGCCACGTAAGTCATCTACGTCAGCAACATCAGTTCCATCTCCCCGATCAAATAGCTCTTCTAGCTTTTAGATCGATAGTTCAGTCTCTCGAGGTCCCCGAGCCAGTGATAGTTATGCCGGACTCCTCAAGGGTCCCCGTTCGAATAGGAGATCCTCCGGACCCTCAGTGGTCTAGGAAGAAGAAACAACAGTCTGCAGACTTCCCTTCTTATGATGTCTGACTCGCAGTTGCGGCGGGTCACGGAATCCGCTAGATCATCGGAAAACCCCTTAAGTCGCAGTGGTGTTTATAAGTCGCAGTGCGTGTTTAATTACTCAACTTTACGGTCCCCCTAATGCGGGGACTAAGGCGGAACGACAGGGGGGTGCAGCCCGTTCCAACTGTCGGAAAGACACGATCGTTCGCATGTTTCCACCCCATTGCCCCATTGGGTGTGGCACGGGTAGTTACGCCAGACCCACGTCTTGGAATTTCGTGCACCTTCCATGCGGAAGTCTGTTGCTCCCAGCACAGGATTGTGTTGCATATCAAGCCTGCCTAAGATGATTACCCGTTGGTCAAAGGCAGGCGCGGCTGACCAACTTAACTGCCGTTAAGTTGGCCCAAAAAATCCGGGACAGCACAAAAACCCCCGGGACAATCTTAGAATACCGGTAGTGGAAATTACTAATACAACTGTTAAGAATTAAGTACCTCAGGTTTTAGCGTATTTTCGAAGAAGTACTAACTTCTTAACACTTTTTCTAGTATATTTCTAGGCCCCAGGATTGTCCTGGGGGTTTTTGTGCTGTCCCGGATTTTTTGGGACTAAGGCTGCTGTGGCCCCACACCTAGACCAACGAGTACTCATGAAAAGGCGATATCACTACGCAAAGCCGTTGTTGCCTGCCAGGCAACAGCTAATGCGTAGGCAGGCAACAAGCCTTTCTTTTGTGTATAAAATAGCTACACAATTCCGTGCGTTCATTCACTCGCTTGTTGTTCTTTAGATAATTCTCATCAATTGCCTGATGCCAACCCGTGTGGAGCCAAATGTCTGACAGATTGTTTTCTCTTTGCTTTTTCTTTTGCACTCTTACGGAGAGTCTCCCTGCAGTGGTGTGAGACAAGATTGTAGATTGTTATATTCGCGCGACAGGCGTTGTTTGTCCTTCATGAGACGCGTTATGGAGTATTTTATGGCTTGAGTGCCCATAGGTTTGTCGTCATTTGTGCCGGACACAAATCTTGTCCTTTTCACTCCACCCAGCGGCCGGGAAGCGCTGTCACGGTCTTCCAAACCAGAGCTTCGACAAAGAGTCGTCCTCGTGTTGGTCAAATTTTGGGCAGGATGAGCTTACCACCTCTCAATGGGACGATTTCGACCAACTGTCCTTCTCTATCCGCGGCAAGGGCGAGTGACTGCTGCTGCTGCAGTCATCCGTTTTGTTCTCTCTCCGGATCGAGCGCTTCTGCGAGCGGTGGCTTCTCATCTTGTCGGTGACAACACACAAGCTTTCGACTTCCTCTCTCGAAAAGACTCTAAGGGACTGTCTGGGTCCCAGGGGCTTCACATATCGCGCGGCACAGCGCGCACAAGACGGCATCTTCTTCAGCAGGGTTTTAATGCATGCTGGCCCGAGTGTCAGAGGGTTCAGTCGCGAGGATCGCTGCAGGCTGCAGGCTTGGCTTGGACCTCCTCTTCCTCCGCTTGCTGTTAATGGTTCGGCCGTTTCGGACTGCATTGTTATGCCAGTGTCTTGCTGCCTGAAGCAGATGAGGGCGCACTTGCCGTTTTGGATGTCTCACATGGTCATGGAAGGAACTGTGACCTCTGGTTGTGAAGGACTTCTGAACAAGCTCCTGGATGAGATACAGGGTGAGAGGTGAGGTTGACAAAACGTGCCAGCTGGGACAGGGTGCACGGCTGTCACGCGCTAGGAGAAGGAATACCTCCGAGATGTCTCGGAGTAGGCCGTCAGGAAACGGAGGACGCTATCGGTGTGTCGTATTATGCTATGAGGATTTGTCTATCGAAAAGGGGGAGGAGGCCACGAAGCTAGCTTTGTGGCCTCAGCCGTACACGTGACTGTGTACGTAAGCTAGCTAGATGAGTACAATGGACTAACGTAATCTACCCCCTTCCTGGTCACACCCCCTACCTGCTCAAAAATTCCCCACCCAAGCGACCCGCACCTCATGGCGAGACAGGCCGACCACCATGACGGAAATTCGAGACCAATCGATTCCACGCGAAGAACGGGTCCTGCTCGCCGTGAAGGCCTATCAGCAAGGCCAATTCGACAGCGCCCACAAGGCCGCGACGGCATACGATGTCCTCAATCGACAGTCTCTGCTCGACTGCGCGGTGCCCGGCCCCGACGCGACGCGCAGATGAACAACCGGAAGTTGACGGCGACGGAAGAGACTGCCCTCGTACAATGGGTCTTGTCGATGGACGAGCGAGGGATGCCGCCGACAGTGGTCTACACTCGCCGCATGGCCAACTTGTTGCTTTCGGAGCGCTGCCAAGAAACTGTCGGCGAAAATTGGGTGCGGAAGTTCGTTGGCCGCCACGACGAAATCAAGGCGAAATACTCGTCGATACGATTACCAACGTGCCAAATGCGAAGACCCGAAGATGATGCAAGAATGGTACGATCGGGTGGCAATGGCGAAACAGAAATGGGGGATTCTTGATGAGGATGTCTACAACTTCGATGAGACGGGTTTTCAAATGGGAGTCATTGCGTCGGCAAGAGTCCTTACTCGGTCTGACCGGCGAGGTCGGCCTATGGTCATGCAGCCAGGAAATCGAGAATGGGTTACCGTAATTGAATCTATTAATTGCCAAGGTTGGGCTTTGCCGGCGATGGTCATCTTCCAGGGCAAGGTGCACCAAGCAAGCTGGTACGAGGCAGATGTGCCCAAGGACTGGCAGATTGCCGTGAGCGACAAAGGTTGGACTTCCGACGACCTTGGATTGCATTGGTTGAAGGGAGTTTTCGACCCATACACACGGCGCCGTACCGTTGGAACACGCCGACTTCTCATTCTCGACGGGCACGGCAGCCATGTTACGCCGGAGTTCGACAAGTACTGTACGGACAATGCCATCGTGGTACTCCAAATGCCAGCTCATTCCTCACATCTCTTACAGCCTCTGGATGTCGGGTGCTTTTCGCCTTTGAAAACGATATATGGGCGGAATGTTCAAGAGAAGATGCTCGCAGGGTCAACCACATCGATAAAGAGGACTTCCTGCTTCTGTACATCGAGGCCCGCCGACAAGCGCTCTCCCGTCGAACATCCGAAGTGGATTCATGGCCACAGGCCTTTCCCCATTCAATCCGACCCGGGTTCTGTCACGGTTACTAGTTCAGGTTGACAGGAATGGCAACGACAATGCCAACGATGACGGCGACAAGCACACTCCCCCCAGAAAGCTTGAAGCCCACAAGACACCTTGCAATGTTAGCCAGCTTACCACTCACGTGGAAGGACTTCTTCAGCGCCGGCCACAAAATGCGGGCACGCCGGTCTCACAAGCCATAAACCAGCTCATCAAAGGATGTCAAATGGCCATGCATAGTGCCGCGCTGCTCGCCGACGAAAACAGACATCTTCGGTCAGAAAACCAGCGGCGAAAGAGGAAGAGAGAGCAACGACGCGAGTATATTGGTGATGGCGGTGCTCTGTCTGTCGCAGAAGGCACGGCTAAGATAAAGCGACGGCGAGAAAAGGAAGAGGAACGTGCTAGGCGACTGAGGGCAAGGGAGGATGAGCAGGCAGGGCAACAACTTATCGAGGAGCAGGCCCGACGGCAGACAGAAGAAGAGCTGTGCGTCCCAAGACGGCGTGCACCACCACGGTGTAGTAAATGCAGGTCATTTGAACATAATGCCCGGACGTGTAATAGATAGACAGGTCTGAATTTACTTGCTTGTTTGTCTCTTGGAATCAATTGCCGTCTGTTGTGTTCGGTTGGTCGCGCCATGAGGTACGGGTCGCTTGGGTGGGGAAATTTTGAGCAGGTAGGGGGTGTGGCCAGGAAGGGGGTAGATTACGTTAATACCATTCCCACACTGGCAACTTTTTCTTTTTGTGGTTGCGGCTGCTGTAGTGACCGGGGCAAGAAGATGTAACGACAGTGAGGAAAGAGGGGTTCTTGACCAGGGCTCCGTTAGGGTCTTAATGAAGTAGCTTTGTTAAGACTGTAACGAATTCTTCCCATACTGGCAATTTTCTTCTTCTGTGGTTGCTGTGATATTGTTGAAATAGTTACCAAGACGGTCCGTATCAGCCAAAGAAAGCAAGAAAGGGGTAGGGGTCTGAAGGATGTGGAACGTTATCCCTCTGACGGGTGTTTTGGGGGCGATTGAGCCGATTGAGTGAATGGCTTCGCCGTTGCCGAATTTGATGGTAGCCTGGCCGGATGTCGAGCTGTCTAGGGCTACATTTGGGTCTTCTCGCTGTAAAGCAATGTACTGGGAATGACCAGCTGTAGAGACTTTTGCTGCACCTGTGTCAATCATGATGCCTGGGAAATTGTCCACTGAATATTGATCTTGAATGACGAATTGCTAGGCGGGAACAATGGTTTGATCCGTCTGGTAGACTTCTCCATTGTCTAGGGTGATTGTTGGTGCTATTGTCAGGTTCTTCCCATATGTCGTCGGTAGTGAGTTCATCAAGCTCATGACCTTCGTAGTCTATAAGATAGGCTATGAAGTTTGGAGGTTGTATGCCTGTGAATTGACAACGTGCGACATATTGGTCCTTGGCCTCTTGTCGTTCTTCTGCAGAGTGTTTGGTTGACCAGCAACCTTCTTGTCCACAAACAAAGCACTTTTGGTCCAATTGCGATTGGTGTGGCTAGGGGTGTAGTTGCTATGGCTTGAGGGCCTGTAGCTTCCACGGTTGTAGCCTTGTCCATATCCGCGATTGGGTCGTTGTCCTGAGTATCCGTATCTTCCTCGTACGCGATTGTTATGGTATCGGCGATCGAGGTAGTACTGATTGTTCGGATTCGTTGGTCCAAATGATCCGTCAGGGCTTTGCAAGTACTGAGGGTTTGTCTGTCGGGCAAGGTGGGTCTCAACGGAAGATCGTATATCTGCAAAGAGGGTCTCGATCTTTGCTGCAGGTTTGAAGAGGGCGTGTTCAAGTTCGGGTACACCACGGCATGCGATGATAAGCGTAGTACGCAGTGGAATGTTTCCTGCGTAGTCAGGGCCAAGGGCTCTCTGACAGAGTTGTAGCTTATCGAAGAGTAGTTGAAGGACTTCATGGAGGGATTTGGAAGCATCTTGGGCACGAATCGAGTTGAAAGTGGTTGTGGTCCAATCTGTATAGTAATGGACGTGGTTAACTTCCGTGTCAAAGTGTTGTTTGATGCTATCGTATGCCTTCCTAAACGTGGTAGTCCATTCGATCTTGTCAATGTAGAACGTTTGTGCTCTTCCGGCGAGGATTCGGGAAAAGGGCGTGAAATTGTGACGGTTTCACTTGGATGTTGTAGCAGATGCTCATGAAGATTCGGATCTTGTCATCGAGGAGGTCGTACGGCTCTCCTGTGTAGTTCTTGTCTTTGTCCCAGAGTTTCATGAATTTCTGCTGTGTGTCGCCATCGACGGTGGCGTTCGGGATATCATCCGGTGGGAGTTTTGTGTATGCCTCGAGGGACATAGGCTCGGATAATAGTTCGGGTTGGGGGGTGTGGACGGGTTGGACGAGTTCGGGGTGCTTGAAGCGGTGTGTTGTCGGATGAACTGTAAGAGAGGTTGGGTCAAGGGCATCTTGGGTCAGAGCGGAAGTCGTGGGAGGTGATGTTGTTATCTGTAGTGCCTCAGTGATGGGTTCCTGGGCAGGTGGCTTCGTTAAGGTCTTAATGGGCTGTTGTTCGTTAAGACTGTAACGAGGTGTTGCTACCGGTGGCGATTGGGGTTCTCGGGGAGAAGTTAGGGCATTTGATCCTGTTGCTCGTAACTTATAAGCGGTCGTCCCAATGTCAAAATCCATCTCCATGTACTCTCGTTCTGGCCATGCAGGTCGGTCCTCCACAGTTTGCAACATGATGAATTGGGGTGCAAAAGGGCCATTTTCCCGTCCTGAATAGATGCCACGTCTCCTTAGAAGTAATCTAAGGGCTCTCTTGTAGTCCGTATGTACCCGGTTCCATATGTCTTGGTTCCAGCCTTCGAAGTGTTGTTGAAAATGGTCAAGGATGTCGTCTCCTTCTAGGCGTTCGAATTGGGCATTGGACATGAACCTAGCGGCGTACGTCGTAACTGTGACGGTACAAGGCACGAACGAGGTCGAGTGCGGCTTGGACAAAGTGATTGTCTACAAGGAGAGAAAGGGGAAAGAAAGAGCTTCGTAAGGAAGGCTCTCACTTTGGCTAGTTGTACATTTTCATAAGTGAGACATGCATAATCTTCCTTCACATATGGTCTCCCCTTACTCCCTCTCCTCCAAGTTCCTTCAGTCCACCGCTTCTGATTCAACCACGCCTCGGGCAGCTTGGCGATGAGCATTTCGCATTTCTTGTTTCGTTGGCCGTGGTTTGGTCCTGTGGAGCTTCTCGAACTCTTTGATGGCTATGTGTGCGTTAACAACGTTGTGCAGCGGCTCCCATGTTGCTTCTTCGAGGTCATAGCCCCTCCATTGTACGTGGTACTGGAAACCATTCTGCCTTGTGCGCTTTGAATCCAGAATTGCTTCAATCGCCCACAGTTTTTCTCCGTTTGCATCTAGTGCGATTGGCGGGGGGGTTGGGTTGTATTGGCCCGGCAGCGGGTCGTTCGGTGCTGGTCGCAGGAGGTTGGTATGGAACGAGTTGTGAAGAGACTGTAATTCATGTGGCAACTTTAGCTGGTAGGCGTGAGCGTTGAGCACACGCTCGACTCGGAAAGGGCCAATGAATTTGTGATCAAGTTTGGGGATGGGCCTGGCTGAACGGATGTTTCGTGTGCTCAGCAGCACCATGTCGCCAACTCGATACGCCGGTGCCGGGGTCCTGTTTGCGTTGGCGAATTGCTCTTGTGACGCCTGGGCTGAAGCAAGGTTTGTCCGTAGCAGATCGGTGATCTCTTGCATCTTGATGGCGAAGCTGTTGCCCTCGCTGCCGCGCTCTGCTAGGTCTTTGGGTGCTGCGCGTGGTATTGGTCGAGGAGGGCCAAAACTCATCCGAGGGTGGTAGCCTGTGTTCGCAAAGAATGGGGACATCCCAGTTGAGTCGTTTACAACGTTGCGGGCTGCGAATTCGGCTAGTGGGAGCCACTCGTCCCAATTGTCCTGAGCGAAGCTAACGTACTGGCGAAGATATTGCTCGAGGAATGCGTTGGCGTTCTCCGTCTGCCCGTCAGTTTCGGGGTGATAAGCTGTAGAAAGGGCGATGCTGATTTGTAAACAGTGGCACACAGCTTTCCAAAATTCTGAGACGAACAGTGGTCCTCTGTCAGAGACGATGGAATCCGGGAGTCCATGGAGCTTCCATACGTCTCGTACGAAGAGCATTGCCAGGTCATCCGCTTTCATGTCGGTTCTGCAAGGCGAGAAGTGCCTGTCCTTAGACAGTCTGTCGACAACGACCATAATTGCGTTGAACCCACGGGCCGTCGGCTGAATTGGGCCAATGAAGTCAACAGACAGGTCTTTCCATCTTTGCAGTGGAATTGGAAGAGGTTTCAGAGTCCCCTGGTACCGAAACCGGGAGCTCTTGTTTCTCAGACATCCGTGGCAGTTCCGTGTGAATCGTTTCGTATCAACACTGAGCCTCGGCCACCAGTAGGAGCGTGAGATGAGCTCGTATAATTTGTTCCTGCCGGGGTGGCCAGATTCGACACTGTCGTGAGCGAGTTGGATGAGGAGTGTCCGCAATTCGCTTTGGGGTACGTATAATCTCTCTCGGAAGTATAGTCGGCCATCATTTATCGTGCATTCTGATAGGGGGATTTCTTTGGAGTGAGGCACGCCGTGGGGCTTGAGCATCTCGTCCCTGATTTTCATCCACCATTCGTCATCTTCGTAGCCTTTGTCGAGAAGTCGCGTGATCTTGTGGTCGATTGGCTCTGGACCTTGGATTTCGTCGAGAATTACGGGGCAGAGAGAGATCTCTTGCTCCCAGCAAAGGTTTGCGAAGAGTTCTGCCAGTTCAGGGTCAAGCTTCAGTTGTTCTTGTACTGAACGGTCAATGTTGTGGGGTTTGAGCAGTGACTGTTGTTGGTACCGGATGCGGTCGTCAGTTTCGTTTTGTGGTAGGTCTTGCGATCTTCGCGTGAGAGCGTCGGGCTTCCCGTTCTCTTTCCCTGGTATTGACTTGATGGCGAATTGAAACTGTGAGAGGAACTCGCTCCACCTAACCTGACGTCTTGAAAGCTGCTTGGTCGTCATGAAATATCGAAGGTTGGCATGATCAGTGACGACCGTAATCTGATGGTGTGCGCCTTGTAGTTCGGGTCGCCAGCATTCGAAGCATCGCAAAATGGCGAGAAGTTCTTTGTCGTAGATCTCGTAGTTGCACTCGGCCGGGTCGTACTTTTTGGACATGAAAGCCACTGGGTGTAATACTCCCTGGTCGTCTTCCTGGGAGAGGATGCCTGAAGAGACAAAGTCGGACGCGTCACATTCGACAAACACTTCTTTTGCGGGGTCAAAGTGTCTGAGGATTGGCGCTGAAGTGAAGCTACTTTTGAGCGCGTCGAATGCCTCCTGGCACGATGGAGTCCAATTCCATTTGACGAACTTCCGTGTCAAAGCAACAAGTGGCCGAACAATGCGTGAAAATCCTTTGATGAATCGTCGGTAGAAGTTCGAAAACCCTAAGAAGGCTTGGACGTCTTTCACGTTGACGGGAGTCTCCCAGTTAACGAGACAGTCAACTTTTGCAGGGTCCATTCGTACGCCAGTGGTGGAGATGATCATGCCGAGGTACTTTACTTCAGTGGTCTCGAATTCGCACTTCCTGACATCAAGCTGTAGGCCTGCGGCTTCGAGTGCTTGCAAGACTGATTTGACGTGTAGTCTATGGGAGGCAAGATCGTTCGAGTAAATGAGGATGTCGTCGATGTACGCCGTGCAGAACCTGTCGAGGAACGGCCGAAGGACTTCGTTGATCCGGGATTGAAAGGTAGCTGGAGCATTGGACAGCCCAAAAGGCATCACCAGACTCTCGAAGAGACCGTATCTTGTGTTGAATGCCGTCATCCACTCTTGGCCCTCTTTGATTCGTATTCGGTTGAACGCCGCGACGACATCGAGTTTGGTAAAATACCTGGCTTGGCTGAGCTGGGAGAGGGTCTCTTGGATCAGTGGCAGTGGATACCGGTTCTTGATGGTTATGGCATTGAGCCCGCGGTAGTCCACACAAAAACGCAGGCCGCCCCCTGGCTTCTTCGCGAACAGCACGGGCGAGGCTGCTGGAGACGTGCTGGCCCGAATGAACCCTTTGTCGAGGTTTTCCTGCAGAAACTTCCGGAGAACGACGAGCTCGTCCTCGGACATGCCGTAGAGGGGCCCATGCGGTGGGGTTGTGCCTGGTTGAAGCTGAATTTCGTGATCGCAGCCCCGGTGGGGAGGAAGTTTGTCTGCCTCCGACTAGTCGAAAACCTTTAGGAATTCGTGGTAGTGGTGGGGTACCTTTGTTGCGGGATCGACCAGAGTCTTGGGTTCGAGGGCTTTGTGAATATCCTCGAGGGACGCTCCTGAAAGGTACATGTCGGCTGCTGTTTTCCGGCGGGCTTGGAGTTCGTGGGCTTGTTGGCTCTCCGGGAGATGGGCCACCATTCCGTCCTGTCGCTCGAGTTCTCGGTTCATCTTTTGTAAGTCTGTAAGTGCCTGGCCGAATCGAGGTGCCTTTGGCTCTACGAATGTGGAGGCTTCAGTGATGACGCCGAGCTCAGCCAGCCTTTTGTCGATCTCGTAGAGCGATAGTGAGAATACGTCGACGTCGCGCTTTTCGGCCAGCATGTAGAACGCGGCTGCGCCGACCCTTCTGGGGATTGGCGGGGGTGGCAGTGTCGTAGTGGTTGTCGAAATGGCCAACGGACTGGCTCCAAAGACTGCCAGTTGATATTGTCCTTTCTCCATGCAGCGTCGGCGACAGTGGTCAGAGTTGAAACTGACCATGTTTGTGCTCCAATTAATGATGGGGTTGTGATCTGTCAGCCAAGGCTTTCCGAGGATGATGTCGTACTTCCCAAGCTTCGTTACGTAAAAAAGCATTTTCTCCTTGTGTCCCTTGATGTCCATGTCAAGTTGGGCTACGTGGGTGATGTCGCCAGCTGAGGAGGGTCTTCCGTCGACCACATTCAACCGGCGACGGTTCCGTAGTTTGTGAAGCGTGAACTTGTGGTCATGCGCGAAGGATTCGTCTACGAACCCCTTTCCTGTGGCACCCGAGTCAAGCATTGCGTTCGTTTTGATCGACGTTGATTTGTCGTCAACTAAAGTACATGGTAGTAACAAATGGTCTTGCTCTGTGTCCAGGGAAGAGAGTAGGAGGACGTCCTTTTTCTTGCGTCTCCTGCGGCGACTTCCGCTGGAGACTACTCTTTTTCCGTCCTCCAGGGCGCAGTGTCGCAGTTGAGGGAGCGATGTTTGTCTGAACTGCACCAATGGCAGAGTCCATGTTTTGTGCAATAGGCTTTGCGTGCTGCCCTCTCCGCGTCGGTCTTTGGCCTGCGACCCGAGGCAACGTCTTCCGCTCCCCATGTGATCGCGCTTAAATCCATGGAATCTCCCGAGTCATTGGGGGTCGTTAATGGCGTTACGGCGGGGGCCGGTACACGGCCACCGTGCTTGGTTGAGCCACTGGCGTTCTCTTTCTTGAAGTAGTTGGCGTCGAGTTGTCGGCATTCGCTATCGCAGGTGCGGACGAGATCCATAAACTGGGTGAGATCGGTGGGCGTGTCCTTGCTCTTGGTGAGGGAAAGCCTCCATGTAATGTCGTCGTGGAGAGCGCGCCGGAGGTGCGCAATGAGGGCCTCACTATCCCACTCCGTGAGCTTGGCGGTGGCATACCATTCAGGGAGGAATACCGTGAGCGACCTATGCCCTTGCCTCATGTCAAAGATCTTGCGCTGGGCGGTGGCTTTCGCGTCGATGTCTCCGAAGGCTGATTGGAGGACGGCCTTAATGGCGTTGACGCTGTCGAAAAGGACCATGCCATCTTTGATGTTGTAGCTGACTTGGTCGTGCGCTTTGGCTTTCAGGCATGAGACTGCATATCCCATGCGTTGCTGTTCCGAGTTCCACCAGTCCTTGTTCATTTCTAGCTTCAAGTCGAGTTGCTGAAGGAAATTCGGCAGACGAGAGGGATCTTCGCCCGTGAATGCTTCAGGGTCGGGGTGTTCTGGTGAGCGGCGCGAAGCTCCCCCTGATTGAATGACTCTTAGGTATGCTTCGTTCTCGGCCATCAGACGGGTGATCGTCGCATCTCCATCGTTCTTAGTGATTAGAGTATTTTCAAGGCGATTTTGAAGATCTTCCACTTCTGCACTTGTTGTTGCGGCCGAAGCACGCAGAGAGTCGATGACGCTTTGCATGCTGTAGGCAGCATTGCACACGAGGAAGACTTCTTTCATCAGATCGGAGGGCTTGGCTGCGAATGTGCTACGGAAAGTCTCCTCAGTGTTGCTGGCGTTGAGCAGTGGGCAGGGTGGTACCCGATCGACGGCGCTACCCATGGCTTCGGTAGGGTTAGCTTCGTGAGGCGTCGTTGGGATCGTTCGGTTCGGTTCGTTCGGTTCGTTTGGTTCGGTTCGTCTGGTTCGGTTCGTCTGGTTCGGTTCGTTTCGTTCGTTTCGTTACGTTTGGTTCAATTCTTTGCGTTGCTTTGGTCGCTCTGGTTGATTGCAAACGGGTGGAATTTTTGCCGGAAAGAGTCTTGGGGTGGTGGGATTGAGGACGGCTGGTGACGTGTTGGCAATATTCACGTCGAGGACGGTGATATGCCGTATTGTGGTATCGGTAGACAATATGTGACGGTACAAGGCACGAACGAGGTCGAGTGCGGCTTGGACAAAGTGATTGTCTACAAGGAGAGAAAGGGGAAAGAAAGAGCTTCGTAAGGAAGGCTCTCACTTTGGCTAGTTGTACATTTTCATAAGTGAGACATGCATAATCTTCCTTCACACCCTGAAGGTCCAGCAATTGACCCACCAGTCATCTTTCTTGACGACGTGGCTTCCACAGGCTGGACACTTTTTCCTGGTGGTCCCGGCCCCTGTTGTTGTTGTAGGCGTTTGGCCTGCTTGATTGACGGTCTTTGTTGGCTTCCCCTTTTTCCTGATCCCAACCTCCCTTTTGAAGTCTGCAATAACTGTTCGGAGCGGCGTTTCAGGGGCATTTAGGCGTTGAAGCAACAAGTCATCAGACCGTACGTTCGAGGCCCATGTGACATCCCAATCCTCGAGGGCCTTGAGGAAGTCCTGCCTAACTTTTGTATCGTTGATCGTGGAGACCTTCAGATCCCTTGAATCAAGGATAACTTGGTCCAGCTGGTCGGCCCAAACCTTCCAGTCGCGGACCCCTTTCTTATTGACAACCTGCTGATAGCGGTCATCGATGAGGGTCTTCTCTTCCTCAATAGAGGGAAGAACCTTCTGACGAAGCTCTCGAATTTTGTCTCGAGCTGTCAGCTGTAGGAGGGTCTCCCCTTGGAGTCCCTCACTGATTGAGTTCTTGATAGCTTCCTGGATCTGTTGCAGGGCTTTATTCCTAGCTTTATACCGATCGTATTGCTTCAAGTTGACTTTTTCCTGGTGGCGGAATTCCTCCCTTGCCTCTTGGAGACTTTCGACGTAATCTTCCTTGGCCTCCCTGAATCTGGCCTCATTCTCGAAGGCTGCTCTCAGGGGCTTTGGCCCAATGGACTCAACAACGTCGCTCCAGCTTAGGTCTGCGGGTTCCATTAATACCAGGGTTCCATCGGGATCAACGTAATCCCATATCTCATGCGTCGTTGCAAGAGACTTAATTCCCCTAATCCAGGGGGTCCAGTCCAAGCTCTCCTTGAGCTTGGTGATGTACACCTCCTTGCCTTGCGCCGGGAGGGTCATTTTGCTGGAGTTGGTAATGACCTCCTTTTCTTCAAAGGAGGGATGCAACGAATGCGTGTATGACCTAATTGACTAGGTCCTCACGTCAACACCACAGGAGAGGGGTTATTGGCCGCGTTGGGGCTCGTGATAGCCTCAAATGGGTTGTTGCCGAGTGAAAGATGCCCTAGTCATGCAACCGGGCTCATAACTGTTGGTGGAACGTTATGCCAATACACATCGGAATAAGAAGGGGGTCACACACGAAGGTTCAAGATGCATGTTCTATGTCTAAAGGGGCAGTCTGAAGGGGCTATTTATACAGGAGGTCTTAGGGACTTCTGGGGACCTCCTGAGTAATGGGCTCTACCCACGCATACGTGGCTGTGCCCACGCATAAAGGGGTTGCCTTCCTTACTCAGGAAGTCCTCATGCGTTCCTGCTACATGGGCCAGGAATCCCTTCTCCGGGTCCCTCCCTAACAGGGCTACCCTGGTCCACCGACAGACCCCCATCATACCAATGGATTCCACAATGCACTTTCCCCATTAGGCACGCCACAGAACCACCGTTCTGACAGGAGCAGGGGTTCGCCCCGCGCGGACATGGTAACTTCGAAATCGGCCGCCCTTGCGATGACATTCTGCGTATTTACAATTATGTTGTGTGTGTTTCAGTTGGATTCCGTCGTCGACACTCCACTGGCAAAATCCCAGTGGGTTGAAAGTGGGGTAGTTGGCGTCCATATATGTTGGTATAACGACCCTAACAGTGAGTGCCTGATACGCCCGCCGTTTCAGCAATCTTGCCACCCTATACGGAGTATCAAAAACACCATGAAGCTCGTGAACAGTGACATTTTATAATGCACACCATTTAAATGTAGTGCCACTCGAATGTTCTGGATTTTCTCGTTCGGGTGATATAACTCTCGATATCTGTGCTTAACATTTGCTCCATAAATGCCACATCATCCTCAAGTCAATCAATAGATCTGTGGATAGGCTAACTGAGGCTCAGTTGGGTCTTTGATCGGTGATCATGTTGTTATTGTTATTCTTTTTCTATCTAGACCATGCGGTGAGGTTTGATAGGTTGTGTGTGTGTGTGCGGGTAATCGTTGTTCCCTGATGACGCACGTGATATCCTTCTGCGATGTGCGCTCTATCGTACAAATGATCAGACACTGGCAGCTCTTTTAAAGTCGAAGCAAACGCATCAGATAATAGGGGGAAAAAAAAAATTAACCAAGGGAAATAGTCAATCGTTAATCGCCTCTTCAATCGTCATATCTTCCTTCCTTTGAACCCAACCTTCAAGCCGGATCGTGATCTCGTTGTCGTTGACGAATCGGGTCAAGGCTCCGTTCGGAGATAGCTTCGTCATTGCATCAGCCGGGTTGTCCGCACCATTGATCCAACGGATGCTTGTGATGTCTCTCTGTTTGTACGCTTGCCTCAACGCCATGATATCGATCATCAGGCGTTTCTCCGTCGTAGTGCCAAGCTTCACGAGGCACTCGTATAGGCTATACGAATCCGTACACACCACGAGCGGGATTTGCGGCAATCCAAGGCGGTTTGTGATCTGGTTGATCGTCTCTGTGATCACATATGCCAAATCGAAGCCTGAAGCTAATCCATATATCTCAGAAGCCAAGACGCTGCGGGTGACTCTCTTGCACTTCGTCGAGCTCCAATGGATCAGGTTTCCGTGGATCGTGAATGACTCATCTGACTTAGTCTCGGTTGCAATGATTATAACGAATCCGATCTGAGAGCTTAAGTCCTTGTTGTTGGCGAATGATCCGTCTGTGAAGACGAAGACCTTGCTGCTTCTAGACCTATTGGGACGAATCGAAGGCCTCTTTGTGGATTGTCGATCTGCCATTGGATCCGTTTATTCAACGCCTGAAAATCCTCCGCGGTTGGATCTTGTGATTGTGCCGCGATTGAATAATCGAAGCTAGCCTCTGGTTGACAAATTGAGGCTATATAGGCGCCACGGGCACTTGGTGACAGGTTATTCCTAGCAGCTTCGCTTCTGCTTGGAACTCAGAGGAGGCAAAATTCGTACCAGCGTCGTGCGTGATAACATCTGGAGGGCCTAGGTATGTGTCAATCCAACACAATTTGAGTGCTTCCCACGTCTCTTTAGCCGATATATTCTGAAGAAATCGTCCGGCTTGGAATGTAAGGCGCACACACAACTAAACAGAGAGTGAGGAACGGGGGTCAATCATTTAATTCATTGATCTCTGAAGATCCCATAAAATCCCGAGAATAGGCACCCTTCTTATATTATAGCATCCTCCGTTTCCCGACGGCCTACTCCGAGACATCTCGGAGGTATTCCTTCTCCAAGCGCGTGACAGGTTGCCCTCCCTTCCGAGGAGTTCGTCCCGAACTCTTAAGCTCCCCTGCCGACAGATCGATCGTAGTCCACCAGGAACTCCTTGTCGACGAAGTCACTTCGGGACACCCAGGAGTTCTCTTCGTCTTCGTGGCCTTTCCACTTCACCAGATATCTTCGGCGACTTCTCGGTCCGCAATGATCGAGGATTTGTTCCACGTCGTACGTAGATTCTATCATGAACGGGTGATCCTCAGTCTCAACTGGCTGCTGACCCCGGCTGCGGTATGGTTCCAAACTGCTGATAGGCAGGACATTATGGATCTTGACGGTCGATGGTAGGCGAAGACGATAGGCTAGCCTGTGCCCTCCGACGATTTGCTCAATCTGGTAGGGCCCGACATATTTCTCTGTTAACTTCTTAGTCGGACGCCGCAGCGGAAGGGTTTTTGTGGAGATTAGAACCCAATCGCCCTCTTGAAAGGACATTGGTTCCCGTCCCTTATTGTAGTATCGCGCCTGGCGCTCTTGGGCCCTCGTGATGAGGAGCGCCGTACGCTCATGAAGCTCTCCGAGGCCTCGGACACGGTCTCTCGCGCGAGTGCTGAAGGTTTCGAGTTGTCCCTTGACATGTCCCTTAGACCGCGGCTGATAGCCCATTAAAACCTCGGCTGGAGCTCCTTTCACCGTGTCATGGTATGAGGTGTTATAGGTGAACTCCGCTAATGGCAACTTGTCCATCCAGTCGGACTGCTCTTTGTTGCAGAAAGTGCGTAAGTACTGTTCGATGGTCTGGTTGACCCGCTCGGTCTGACCGTCAGTCTGAGGATGAAAAGACGTGCTGAGGCGTCGCTTGCAATGAAGCAAATGGCAAAACGTGGCCCAGAAGTGCCCCGTAAATAGGCTCCCTCGATCGCTGACAATGCCATCAGGCATTCCATAATGCTTGAAGATTTCCCTCAGGAACACATCCGCCAAGCCATCACTGGATATGCGCGACGACACCGGAATGTATCGTGCGTAGCGGGTCAGGCGGTCGACCACCACCAGGATACTGGAGTAAATCTTCTTCTCACATCGGACCGGCGGGAGGTCCGTGATGAAGTCCATCGAAATCTCTTGCCACGGACGGCTTGGCGCTGGCAGTGGCGCTAGCAGCCCGTACGGCTTATGATGCCTCGGCTTTGCGAGCTGACATTCGCGGCAGGTAGAGACATAACGACGCACGTCTCGACGTAATCCGGGCCAGTAGTACTGCGCCTGAATCCGCTTGCAAGTCTTGGTTCCGCCTTGATGGCCGGCAACTTCGTCGTCGTGAAGCAGCATCAGGATTTCGTTTCTCAAGCCCGCAGGCACGAATATCTTTCCGCGGAAACACAACAACCCCTCGTCATTGGTGCTCCAGACCTCTGACGAAAGTTCCCCGGCGGTGGCGCCATCAGAGACCCCAACAAGCTGCTTCTGCTGGGCAACAAAGGCGTCCCCTTGCTGTGCCGCCAGAAGAGCGTCTTGCAGTGGCTCCTGTAACGCCGATGCCGTTACAGCGGGGCCCTCCTCCTGAGACGTCGTCCTCGACGTCCTCAAGACTCGTGCAACACGCCTGAGATGTTGGAGCTTAGCTCTTCCATCAGCGACAGGGACAGCCAGGTGCGACCCGGTCTGATCGCGTAATTCGACAGCCTGTCTAGAGTACACACGGTCCCTACCCGCAGACTCACAGGGAAACAGCCGATCAATCTTTTCGAGGGCGACGGGGACAGCCGGTCGCGAACCGGACTGCTCGCCAAATCCGACAGCCTGTCTTGAATCCACACGGTCCCCTTCCGCGGGTTCACAGGGAAACAGCCGGTCAACATGTGCATGGGCGACAGGGACAGCCGGTCGCGAACCGGACTGATCGCCAATACCAGCAGCCTGTCTTGAACACACACGGTCCCCTTCCGCAGGTTCACAGGGAAACAGCTGGGCAAACTTCTCAAGGAATGACGGAACGCACGGATCTCGCAGCCCGGCTGTTCTCAGCGCCCTCTCATGGTCCGGCCGTCTTGATAATCCATCCGCAGGATTCTTCAAGCCCGGTCGGTAGACGATTTCAAAGTTAATGTCTGTTTGATGTTTCAAGGTTTTGTGGTGGTTGCGGCATCACTGGCACGGAAAAAATCTTTCCCGCAGTAGCTTGCATCGCGCGACGGGTGATTGGGGGCGAAGAAGATCGGGCGCCAAGCTGTCAGTCATGTCATGCAGCAATACGTGTGAATAAAAAGCAAGGAGAAGATGAGAAGTGATGGAGGAAGAGGGGATAAAATAAGGCGTCGAGAATTCGGCCTTGAGTGGCCTACTTGCTGTTCTAGTGTTCTTCGCATCATATGCGTCAGTTAATCATAAAAAAAAAAACTACAGAGTATCTAAACATCTAGAACACAAATTATGGCGATGTCTACGGTCCGAGTCGAGTTCATATGCCAATTTGGCGCCAGGCAACTCATCCACAACCATAGCATTCCTCGGAGCCTTGTGACGGAGGCAAACGGGGCCGGCGGAGATGCTGAATACAACGAGCGATTTACACAGTCCATGATGCCTCTTATGAAGGAGCACGAATCAGCATGTCGCAGTGCGTCGGGTGCTTTCTGCGAATGCTGCGGGCGGTTTGCGACAGACATCTTACAGAGTCCGATATCGATGCTGCACGCAGACGAGGCTCGCATTGTGGTTTGGGTCACATCGTTATGTGGAAGAGGGCAGTGCGAGGTAGAAATGAGACAGGAAATGCAACTAGTAATGGGGGAAATGCGGCAGGAGGAGGAAAGGCGAGATAAGTTTCTAGGACGCAATAGGTGCATGGAGGTCAGGCTGTGCAAAATATGCGGGACGACCGTGGGAGTGAAGCGGTGCAGTAGATGTCACGCAGTGGCATACTGCGGCACGGAGCATCAAAAGGCGGACTGGAAGGTTCACAAGAAGGCGTGCGTGCCCGAGAGGCTCAACAGACACGGAAAGTGTGGAAGGAAACGATGACTAGAAGCGAGGTCGTAGAGGGGTGGTGGAATATAGCAGTTCGGTTTTTATATGTGCTGAGAAGTAAGAGCACATAGTAAGACAAAGGGTAAAATTGGGTTGTTCTCTGCATAAAGAATATATTAGCAGACTTTTATTTCACATAACTAGATAAGATATATAGCTATTCCGTTTCTGCTGTTTTTCTACTTAGGTGACGGTTTCGAAGCGGCCTAGTCGGCGAGTCTGATGTGCAGGCGACAATTGAATTAAGGGAAGATGCCGAGGCATTCTCCGAGGCAGGAGTCTGACCGGCTGTTTCCGGATCGCTAATATGGGAAGCCGCTAAGAGGAGCAGGATCGGGTAGCAGAGCCCCCAGTATCGGTAGAAGACGAAGGTTTCGGGGTCGTCAGGCGCGGTCTCTTCGTCGGCGTGCCGGCAGGGTCAGGACAGGGACGCTTCTGCGAGGGTGTAGCTAGGTCGGCCAAAGTAGAAGTTGAAGCAGAAGTTATTAAAGCCGAAGGTGGAGGACTTGGCGGGAGGGTACCAGGTGTTGCCACGGAGTAAGAGGCAGCGAGTATATCCCGGAAAGCGGCCGAAGCGGAGGACGGTTTTCCTTTAGTGGTGTCGAGATAGCCGAGGACGAGGCAGCCGCAGTGCTGGTGGCCTTATCGAGAAAAGTCCAAGAATCCGGGACGACGATAAAGACATAGTCTCGGTCGGAGCCTGGGGGATGAATCATGACGCGGTGACTGAGCAGGCCAGCAACTTTGCCTGTGCAGGTAAAGGGGATGCTGGGCTGAAAGTAAGAGTCCTTCCTCTCGGCCATCTTCTTACATAGTATAGCCCAGGGGTTAGCGTGAATGGGGAAGATAACGAAGACCTCGAATTGGTGGAAGCCTCTGAAAGGGATCTTGTCGGGAATGCCAGGAGCTAGATACGTAGAGAGCTGGACGAAGCCGCAGCAATTTAGCTGGGCGGCGTCTAGGTCTGGCAGAAGGTCTTGTCGTAGCAGGAGTGACCCGGGCCAAGGATGAAGCCGGTGAAGGAAACGATAGGCGGGATGCAAGGGAAGTTATCCATAGAGGCGAAGAGTCTAGGGAGGATGCTAAGAGGACAAATCAGCCGGACCTCTCGCCCGAGAGCCGAGAGCGGTACGCGCTAGGGTAAATGGCACGCCTTACGGCTGGTAACCCTGGTCGCGGACGACGAGGGCGGGCATGGTGTAGATAAGGGTGTCGCCAGTTTCAGACTCTAGGCCGTCGCGCTGCTTAACCTCCCAGGCAAGGGCGTAGGGTGGACGCGGCCGTTCATAAAAACCATTCCTCAGACCATTCGGAGGCGATAACAGGCTGGTTGTAAATAGAGAGATTGAGACTGAAGAAGATGGATGTCGGCGAGTCGTCGGTATCCAATCGGAGCGGCGCATATTCCGCGGTGAGCAACCATGAAGGAGGTGGCAAAAAGATGCGGGCAATGGTCTCGGCGTTGAGACCTCTAACGCGATGCTCGTCCTGATGGGGAAATCTCGAGGGGCAGTCGGGCTGGACGAAGAACATCATAGACATATCACCACCCGCGCCTTTCTGGCTATCGAGCGGCTTTCGAAGGTGTGGTGGAGGTAGCGGTGACGAGGAAGACATCGTGCATATCTATGTTGGCTAATAAGTGGTTTGTGCGCCTAGAAAAATGATCGGTATAAGTCGTTAAGAAGGAAGTAAGAGGTGGAGAATAAAGCGGCCTTTTTTATAAATCCAAGGTATTATAGAACCAGTGGGAGAGCGAGAAGCTTTGCCATGGCAAGTTTGAATTTTGATAAGGATGCGTGGTGCATAATAGCTCTTGACCCGACGAGTAAGCCAACGAGTAAGCCACACGAAGAGGCGGTGTGGAGAAGGTTGCCTGTTAGAATGGAACGGAAATTTAGGGAAGACTGTCTTGGGAGCTATCGTGCCGGGTGAGCTGAATCAGATGGCAGGGCTATTCCTTTTTCCGTTGCAGCATAGGTAGCGAAGAAAAGAAAGTCTAATTTGATGTTCCTTGAAACGCATACCTGCAACGACAGATTCGGAAGATGCGGAGGAGAGCAGAGTAGTAGAAGGCGGCCTTAGATGGAGTTGCGGTGTGTATTCCTATGCATGGGCTGGTCGAGGCCGTCCGGAAAGGATGGACGGACGGTGGTAGGGTGGTGAAGGGGGGAGAAAGGGGGCTCGCGGATAAGCATTGCCGCGTCGGCTCAGTGCTAAAAGATCACAGGGTTTAGTTATAGGAAGGGATTGGTAGGAAAAACGCCAACACGGCGGACCATTATTGTTAGGAGGCGAGATAATATTGAAGAAAGATCCGGGGGCAAACTTTTATGGTCCATCATCCGTGTGCAGAGCCGCGGCGTTAAGATAGCATCGACATGGGAGAGAGTTCTCGCTGCGAGGTTCGGTCGGTAGAGGGGAGAAGGTGAAATGGTGATGGGAGCAGCGGCCGTTGCTGCGACGAGAAATGTCGCTGCGGCGAGATTGAGCGCAATGGATGATTCGCTAAAGCGGGTGTCGGGATATAAGAGACAGGCAAACGTGGCATCCAGGTTTCGGCCCATCATGGCCAAGCAGGGGCTGGTCGAGGAGGTCTCGCGAGGAGAACAAGCGGAAGCGCTTAAAAGAGCGTTGCCCAAGAGAAGCCGGCGAGGCGGTCGGCGGCCAAAGGGAAAATCAGTATTGAACGATGGCATTTCGAAGGCGGCCCCATCACGACTTTCAGCACCGATAAACGTGGGTGATGATAAGCTAGTGAGCATGGAGACGGACGTTGCCATGCAAGGGTTGGGTGCGAAGCCGTGTGGAGGGGAGTCTTGTGCCGTCCGTCGGCGGTGTGTTGCAGCGCGAGGGTAACGACCCGATCACCTACCGGCACCTCTTGCCCAAGGAGGGGAGGGCTGGGGATGATGAGAGGAGGGCAGCGACCACGGTAGGTCTGGAAGCACCATGTCCTCCGGAAGCCTTAGTCGGGCGAGAAGACGGCCTAGACAGTGGGAGATGGTCCGGCGTGGCCGTAAGTGGCTCTGAGACGGTTAGGCGACCCAGCGGTAGCGAACTGACGAGGCCGAAAGGTCTCGTCGAGCGGACAGGTGGTGTGGGGGGAAAACGCCGGGTTGGAAGACCGATAACGGTGATGAGATTTCGGCTGGAAGGCGGGAGCCAGCATTCGCCAAGGCCCATCCGATCCAAAGAGATGGAGAATACGGCCGGACCTGCGCCTGCTCTTATGAGATTTCGATTGGAAGGCGGGAGCCAGCATTCGCCAAGGCCCATCCGACCCAAAGAGATGGAGAATACGGCCGGACCTGCGCCTGCTCTTATGAGATTTCGATTGGAAGGCGGGAGCCAGCATTCGCCAAGGCCCATCCGACCCAAAGAGATGGAGAGTGCGCCGGGAGCTGCGCCTGCCCCTGAGGCCGGATTATCACACGCCGGGATCGCGGAGGGCGTGCAGATCGGCACGTCTGGAAAGCGGAACGATAGGGCGCGGACGAGGCAGAAGGGGAGCGAGGGATACTCTAGCAGCCCGGGAAGGAAAGGTCGGCCGGCAACGGTCGACAGTGTCCGGCCTATCGAGGCGAAGCAGGCGCTGGCGGCCGAGGAGATCTCACGAAGAGAACAAGGGGATGCATTGAAAAGAGCGTTGCCTAGGGGAAGTCGGCCAGGTGGTGGGCTGCGGGAAAAGGCGATGCACGTGAATGGCGCCGCCTTGAAGGGAGGGCGAGCGCGACGCTCGACACCGATAAATGTGCGTGAGAGGCGTACGGACGAAGGACCGAAGCGGGTGTTGGGCGACGAAAGTCAAGCGGACCCGGCACCTAGGTTCCGGCCTATCCAGGCGAAGCAGGCGCCGGCGTCCGAGGAGGTTCACGAAGAGAGCGGGTAGAAGCAGTCGAAGAGCGACGCCTCTAGGAAGCCGGCGAGGCAGTCGGCCGCGGGATAATAGGACGCGCGTCCATGGTGCTTCTTCAAAGGGAGGGCAAGCGCGATGTTTAACAAGATTTCGGCTAGAGAATGTAAGCCAGCACTCGCCGCAACCCACCGTCGCCCGGCCAATTCAAGCGAAAGCGATAGGAGACAGAGCAGGAGATCTGCAGTCATCCGGGCGGTTATTACCACGGCCGTCACGCCTGGCAGGGCAGGATCGGCCGGCAGGGGCGGTCGGGATTTCGTCCACGGCCGTCAGGGAGCCCCTCGTTCAGCCAGTCGAGCCTAAAGAGCCGGGAGATGGAGCCGGAGATACACAATCACCCGGACGGTTGCTACCACGACCACCACGCGGGGCAGCGGTGGGAGAGGAGGATCGGCCGAGGCGAGTCGAGGCGGTAGCGAGATCTTCGAGTCCGTGGAGCAGAGAAGAGGATCGGCGAGCCCGACCGAGACGAGCTGCCAAGAAACGTATTCGAGGCGGCCGTCGGAGGCAGAGGAGAAGTGAGCTACAGGCGGAAGATCTAGCCAGCGTCCTACGTTACCTGGAAGACGAATTTGCCGCCAAGGAGAGGCTGTCCAAGGAGCAGACTTGGTGCACACCAGTGCCGCATGAGAGGAAGGTATCGACGGTGCGAAGTTTTTATCGGGCGTTCCACGATGCGGCCACCTTGCCGATACGGGCATGTATGCTGTGCTACCGCAAGCGTTCGAGGACGGAGCTTAAGGAGATGCCGTGGGATCGGTGGCTGTCGAGCCCCGTCCCTAAGGGTGAGGGCTCGCCGTTCGCGTGTCGGAGTTGCTTCCGTGAGGGCGAGTCTATCGTGGTCTGCGCGGAGTGTCATCGAGGGCTGGCGCGTGGGGTGCTGTCGCCGGCGGCCCAACTTCATTGTCGCCTCGGTTGTGAGCATATGCTCCTGATGAGCTCAAGGGCTCACGCCAGTGGAGGAGAAGCTGATTGCGCTAAACTCGTGTTACGGGTTCGTCACGAGGTATAGCGTCCCGGGCGGCCAGAAGCAGACGCTGAGGTACCCCAAGCACGTCAAGGGCCACATCACGGTGTTTCCGAACAATGTACAAGAATTGGTGACGAAAGTGCTGCCGCACCCTCTCCTGCAGGTGATGGACGAGATCCACATCTCGTGGCAGGGGGCGGTAAAGCCGACACCGAGCGACCTATCGAGTCTCTTGTCTGTGAGGCGGCGCGTTGTCGAGAGGGCTCTTGTTTGGCTGAAGAGAAACAACCCACACTATGCCGAGATCGAGATCGACGCGGCTGAGATGGAGAGCTGGGGAGAGTCGGCCCACGGGGTGCCGCCGTCGGTGTACGGGCGCCTGGAGCGGAACGAGCCGTCGGCATGGGAGAAGACGCGGACGGCGCATATCGTGCCGCCCACGGAGCGGGCCATGGACGACGAGGGCGCGGTAGAGATCGAAGAAGTCCTGTCTCTGCTCAACCAAGGGAGGAAGCGCGACGATTCTCGAGGACGACGAGCCAGAGTCAATCGAGGTAGACGAGGCGCGTGGTCAGAGCGGCGACGAGGCTAATCACGATGCGGAGACGATCAACGAGGTAACCTCGTCGGGAATGTTTGCGTTAGACGGGCCGCCCGACGTCGCCGACGTGGATAAATTGCGCTTCGCATGTGATGCCGTCCGCGAAGGGCGGGCGACGACGGCGGCGCGGGTCCGAGGACGTGGGTGGAAACCTCGGCAAGGGGCAGCCAGGGCACGCCGATGGTTCCGAACCGTATATAGGCGTTCGCCGCGGCGATGACTTCGCCGACTCGTTCGAAGCCTCCTTTTCGCGAAGACCTTTCCCACGCTGTTGCCATTTGGCGTCGGAGGGCCGCGACCGGTCGAAGAAGCAGCCGTACAACTAGGCAGAGGCACCGCCGACATACGCGAGCGGGAGGCCGCGACGCGAGAGCTCGTGTCGTCTCGGAACATGAGCCTTCGGACCTGGGCCGACACGGTGTTACGACGCCACGGTGGCCGGTTCGCGACGCACCACATCTTCGCCTTCCTCGTCTTTAATATAGGCGTGCGGTCGAGGAACCGCCGCGTCAGCATGCTAAGCGTGACGAGGAAGAACTTCCGCAAGGTGGAGCGCATCGTACGGTCGCTAACCGCGGACGGATTGGCGGCGGCCAGGGCCGAGCTAGAGAGCAGGCAAGACGACCGATGATGCGGTGAAGGAGCTGCTCAGGAGCCTTTCGCTGTATGGGTATCGTCAGCCCATGTCGAGGGAGGTCCGTCTCGGGATGCGGCATAGGATCCTGGCGCTCATCGTCCGTTACGGCGTGCCCGCCATCTGGTTCACGATCAACCCAAACGACATCACGAATCCGGTAAAGCTCCGACTAGCAGCGTACCGCGCGCGCGACCCGAAGCGGCCGAGGAGTTCCTACGAAGCCTCGATAAGGCGTTCAAACGTGTGCGGCTGTCCGTGTCCGACCCGATGAGCTCGGCCGTCTTCTTCCACCGCGAGATGACGCTGTTCTTCGAGCATTACGTCAATGCCGGGAGTCGGTCTTCGGCCGCGTCAGCCAGTATTATGGCGCCGTGAAACGAACGAGCGAGGCTCCTCCACGTGCACGGGCTGCTCTGGCTCGAGGAAACGCCCACCTCAGCTCGATGCTTGCCGACTCAGACGGCGGGGAACAAGCGGCATACCGCGAGCGAATCGTCCGCTACGTCGATAGTGTCTTCAGCGAGGTAAGGAACGGCGGGGCGTCGTACGAAATAGTCGTGGGAGAAGAGGACGCGGGCTGACGCGGGAAACTAGGACCTGGACCAGGAAGGGTTCTGCGCCGTCGAGGCAGAGCGTTCGGTGACGTCCGATATCTCGTCCCTGCTGAACAGGGCCGATCAGTTCTCGGCCTCGTTCGAGGAGGAAGCCAACTTCTGCGCCGGCGCGACCCAGATCCATACCCACAGCCCGACATGCGTCAAGTACTCCTCGGCAGCAAGGGGCGGAAGGGCGCCGACCTCTGTCGCTTTAAGGCACCGTGGGAGCGGGTCGAGGAGACGACCCTGTCAGCGGACGGCGTGCTGCGGATCCGCAGAACACATCCCATGGTGAACCGGTGGAACAAGGCCATCGCCGTCGGGCTCCGTCACAACCACGACATTTCCTTTATAGCGACGCAGCGGAAGACCATGGCGCTCGTCTACTACGTGACCAATTACGCGACTAAGGTGGAGGACCCGACGTGGAAGCGCGTCGCCGCCGCCGCCGAACTGCTGCCCGTCGTGTCGGCCGGTAGTCAGCCGGGTGCCGGGGATGACGTAAGTAGCGGCGTCGTCGGCGACGGCGATGGAAGGAAAAACAAGACGCGGCAGTTTCTCATGAGAGTGGCGAATCGGGTGTTCACGGAGCGGGCGCTGTCGCAAGTCGAGGTCGTCGCCCATCTGCTGGGACACCCGAGCGAGTTCTCGGAAGCAGCGCCTGGGCGTACCTGAACGTGTCGGTGCTATACTGGCACGTCTCGAGGCTCTGGCGACACCTTCGGCAGCAGAGCGGCACCGCGGCGGTCGAAGACGTGTCCGTCGCGGACGAGTCGGTCGTCGTCGAACAAGCAGGCGAGAGGATCAGTTTCGCCGAGGCCTATCATCATCGCGGACATGTCCTACGAGGCTTGTGCCTATACGACTATGTTTCGCTCGTCAGGCTCCAACGCGTCGGCAAGGCCGGCTGCTCCGGCGGCTGGGGAGAGGTGCCGTTCGAGAGCGGCTGGGTGGCCGGTAAAGACTGGGTCCAGGTGCTAAGGCGGCCGGGAAAGTACGCCGTCGTCTGCCTCGACGGCTACCTAAGCAAGGATTTCGAGCAGGACGACGAGGAATCGGCTCATCGCAGGTAAGTGCGGGCGGGCAAAGTGGCCGAGTGAAGAGAGGTTGCGACGCCGCGGGGGCTGGCTGACTTACACAGAGCTGCTTCCGCCGAGAATCTCGTGCCTCGTCGACAACGTTCAACTGCTCCGGCGGTCCGCCGAGGACGCGAGGCGAGACGCCAAGCAGTGGGCGGCCTCGGGCGGCGCCGGGGATTGCGCCGGCGCTCTCGGCGGGGGGGGGGGGGGGGGGGGGGCGACACCCGGGGGACGACGACGCGGCCTCGGCGTACCAGGCCGACAACGTCGGAAAGGCAACGCGACTAATCGACGTCGTCCGAAGCGCGGCCGGGGCGAACCAGATCACGGCGGGATCGCGCGAGCTCTCGGGTATGATACAGCAGCTGTGCCGCTTCCAGCAGTCAGCGCTGGCCTCGACCGCCGAGCTCGAGGCCTCCATCGTCAGGGAACGGGGCGGGAGGCGCATCGACTTGCCGGGGCGGGTCTTTTCCGGGGCCGCGGTGCCGCCGCAGGACCAGGTCAAGGCCATCAAGTCGCAGCAGACGAGCGCCTCGAGGGAGAGGGTGAAGATGATACAGGGTATACAAAGCATGGCCACGGCCCACGGCACCGATCGTGGCGCGGCGGAGCGGAGTGTGCTGACCGGCTTCGGCGAGGAAGGCGTGCAGATAACGGCGGCGGAAGCCGAGGAGACGGCGGGTAACGCCGAGGCCGGCATGGAAGTCCGCCTCGGCCCGTCGACCTCGTTCCTCGAGGCCGGAAAAGGCTTGACGAGACGCTTGACGCTAAACAGGAAACAGGCCATCGCCTTGTCCATAATATGCCGCCACCTTGACTTGATGCGGCGAGGAGACGGAGGGGGCGACGTCAGCCAGCTCTGTCAGTTCGTCGGCGGCGAGGGCGGTACCGGCAAGTCGCGCGTCATCGAAGCACTCGTCGGCCTCTTTGCCGCTAAGGGCATCTCGAGCCGGCTGCTGATCACGGCGACGTCGGGGACCGCGGCGGCCCGGGTCAACGGTATCACCATCCACTCCGCCTGCGGCTTCACCAGGACCAAGGGCCGGGCGCGAACACGGCGAGGAGGTCGACGGCGTACGGCTGCCGAGGCAGGCGGAGCGGTTCGTCGACGGCGAGTCCCGCATGGACTGGCAGGACAAGGAGGTGCTCGTCATCGACGAGGTAAGCATGCTCGGCGCGCGCACGCTGCACGCCGTCAACGAGCGGCTCTGCCAGCTGCGGGGGTCGCAGCGGGACTTCGGCGGGATCCCCATCGTCCTCTTCTGCGGGGACTTCCACCAGTTCCGCCCGGTCCAGGAAAGGTCGATCCTACTGCCGAGCTCGGCCGTCTCGTGGGACGAGGACTACTCGTTCAGGGCCGAGCAGCGCCACCAGCACGACAAGGCGCACGCGCTGTGGAAGCGGTTCACCACTGTCGTCATGCTGGACGAGCAGATGCGCGCCGCCGGCGACCCGGAGCTGCAGAGGCTGCTAAAGCGGATCCGACTGGGCGTGCAGGATCACACCGACCTAGACCTCCTTAACTCAAGATGCTACCGGGAAGGCAGGCGAATCCCGTGGGAGACAGGCATCACCGTGGTCACGCCGCTAAATAGGAACCGGTGGAATCTCAACATGGAGGCGAGCTTAGCATTCCAGATGCAACGACGTTTGACGATACGCATCTTCATCTCCGAGCATAAGTGGAAGGAGGGGCTGCCGACCGAGGAAGAGGCCATCATGATGCTAAACCAGGGCGACGACAGCGCGACCCCAGTGCCGGGCGTCTTTATGTTTGTGGCCGGGATGCCGGTCGTCGTGAACCACAACACCACCAGGGGCTGAAGCTGGTGAACGGCGCCAGCTACACGGCGGCCGAGGTCATCGTCGACAAGGTGCACCCGGCGCATCGCATCTCGGCCGATATGGCGATCCACTTCGGGCCGCCGGCGGCGATCATACTAGGGTCGGAGACGACTAAGGACTTCCACTTCGTCGGGATGCCGCCCGGCACGATCCTGCTGACGCCTATGAGCGTCAGGATCCAGTGTCACCGGAAGCGACCGTGGCAGCAGAAGGAGGTCACCCGCAAGGGCCTGCCGTGCGCCGCGGCCTTCGCGTGCACCGATTATAAGGTGCAGGGCGGGACGCTCGAGCGTGTCGCGCTCGAGCTGCGAGGGACGAGGACGACAAACGTCGGTGGACGTGCCGTCCCCTCGCAGTGCGACCCTTACAGCCTATACGTGCAGCTATCGCGGTGTCCGACGCTAGACGGCATCATGCTCATATCGGAGGTGCGAGAGAGACTGTGAAACCGGGTCCCCGGGAGATGACGGCCGCACAAGCGAGGCTCGAGGAACTGAGTGACAGAACCGTCCGGGAGGCGCTGCGCTGGCTCGGCGACGACTTCGAATACGCGTAGGAATAGTGAACCCTTCGACAGGCACAAATATGAATGAAATGACATCGGACGTTAGACGCGGGAAACGGTGCAATTGTCTGGCTACCCGTTGATCTTGGTGTGGGGCCACAGCAGCCCAACTAAGTGTCTTCGCCACTTAGTTGGCCCAAAAAATCCGGCACAGCAGGGTCCTCAATTTGGGGTGCAAAATCAAGGGAAATTCTACGCTTCGCTTCATGGTGCCGTCAATGCGACTTCAAATAGCTAAAATATACATGTGATCAATAGCTGCGGATCACCTAAAGACGCAAGTAACAACGAAAAGTGAAAAAATCACGTCTTTGGGCCTATTTAGAGCTGCCGCCTTCCAGTCGAAGAGATAGGAAGACCGCGTTTGTGAGTCCAAATAGACGTATTATGTAGTAATTTCGCCTGTTGTGCGTCTCTGAGAGCTATTTTATCCATACCTGTGTTCCTGGAGCGTCTGCTGTATCTTGTTGGACGATCGGGTGCGCGGTCGAGGGCATGGTGTATCGACTACCGCTTCAACCGCTGCTAACGGCGGCGATGAGGTATATTCTCTTGCGTGTCGAGTAAATTGTCCTCGTCTTCATCGTCGGCGCCATCCTCACTATGTTTGTCAAGATCGAGGCCTGTGAAATAGACGGTATCGTCACTGCCGGGCAACGACGACATATCTGTAAGTGGGCGAGGTCGGGTCGCTGCGCGCCCTGACATCTCTGGCGGAGTTATTTCTCTTCGTGGTATCATAGAAAAGGATTCCTTGGATGGCTCTTTGAGCTCCCGCATGAGGGTATCGCAACTTTGCTCCAGAGTGTAGAACTCAACGTCTCGTCCCGTAAACTCTAGCCAGGGCTTAAAGTTCAATGTCTTGACTCTGCCATTGACTAACTGCTTCTTCCCGACTTTATAGTCTTCTCGGATCTTCTGCATCTCTCCACGAACTCGTTTAAGATGCATCCTTATCTCCTGGCGCGTTTGAAGCCGGGTTTGCTTTGCCTGGAGCTCCTCATACTCCCGGGTGATGTCGGCCATGCTGGAGCTCGTGATAAACTCTCCGCGCGGCCTGACAATCTTGCCTCTCTTCATTCGATTCGCATACGCCTGGGTTCGGCTATTCTTATCGCTGACTATGCCCTGGGAATGTGACGCCATCGCGATAGACTCGGTGTTCACTTTCGCAAGAACCCGCAAGTTTTCGTGATGGCGAGCTCATGAGGGCCCATACCGTTGCCGGATATCATTGAGGGCATCCGCGGCGACTTGGAAACGCGTCTCCGAGGGTAGGAGCGAGGCGTATGCAGGATTGATCGGCTGCTGTTGTCGTAGCTGCTCGTGGAGGATCTTGGTGATCACCGGCGCTGGGTCGACAGGAAAGAGGCCTGTTTTTCAAATGCCGCCATAATGTTATGCCGCGTGAAGCCAGCCTCATATACGTCCTGAAAAGCTGTGAGGAAGTTGACCCGCGAAAATGATATGTTGCCTTCTGCGAGCGACTTCGAAGCGCTTTCTGATGTGCTGACTTTAGTGGCTGGAATACCCCAACATCAAGCGGCTGCATGAGGTGGGTGGAATGTGGAGGAAAATAGCAATGATGATATCAAACTTGATACAATACTCAGCAAAGTCAAGGGTGGTATGCCCTGTAAAGCCATCCACAACAAGCAATCGGTAGATCTTCTCGTCGTCAGGCCGTTGGTTTGGCGGCGCCTCCACGCGACTCATCCCCATGTTGGGGCGCCGAAGATGCTCGTCACAGCCGAACCACTCTTCCAGCGAATTTCCTGACTGTTTTGCTTGCGCTGACGATGCCCAAGACCAGCAGTTGAAATGCCTTGCCCACTCAAGGTGTATCTCTGCGTTGGAAAAGCCAGTTGGCGACTGGGCAAACCGTACGCCTGTCATGATGTCGATGCCGGCCCAGTTGGTGGTAGGGTAATGTTGGAAAACAAGCCAGGGTGGAAGAGAGTCCCCCACTGCGTTAACTGAGGCAATTACCGTGCAGGATTCTCGGTTTGCTGGGTCTAAAACTCGGGGCCGGGTGCTCTTGACTCTAGTGGTGCGCGTGATGAGAACTTGGATGCGTTCTCGCAGGCACCCAATGCGTATTCCGGCCTCGTCTTCATTCCAGATCTCTGAACTGCCAATACGGTAGCTGGTGATGATTTCTCGAAGCTTTGAGTAGAAAAATTCGACTTCTTCTACCCGTGGGCTTCAAAGGACTTCCGGGCTCGTTCAACTGCTTTGAGATACGTCTTCGCGATCGCAGGATGACTTCCACGCCAATTGTCAAGCCAACTTGACGAGACCGGGCGGGCATTGGGATCTCGACGCATTCTTATTGCATTTGCAACAGCTTCAAGTTGCTCTCTCGTGGCGGGCATGCCGGTGCGTTCCATCCACTGTACATACGCAACCAGGGCGTCGTCTTCGTCCTCCGTCAGCGCCAATGGACGCCCTGGAGCACGGGAAAAGGGTTTCTTATGAAATTAATGGCTCTCTGTACGGATGAGCTCTTCACATTGTAACGGATGGCCGCATCTCGCACGGAAAGAGGCGTTCTTTTGGTGTTGTTGAGCGACGAACATCGGCTCTGGGGTCGCGACGAGACGCCAGAACGGCTTTGCTGCCTCCAGGGTAGCCATGTTATCTGTCATAATGTATTCCGGCAAAAAGATACGTAAATAAAGTCAAGTTGCGCGAGAAAACGCGGTTGAGATGCATAGGGTTGACGTTTTGGAGGTGGGCTGCTGTGCCGGATTTTTTGGGCTGTGCCGGATTTTTTGGGCCAACTAAGTGGCGAAGACACTTAGTTGGGCTGCTGTGGCCCCACACCAAGATCAACGGGTAATCGGAAAGCGCAATTTGAGCGGGAGCGGGAACAGTGGGAACAGCTGACGTAAATAAAAAAGAGTGACTAAGACGAGAAAAAAAAAAGGGGGGGGGAGAGGCGACGACTTTCATATATGGCCAACAGGAAAGCGGGATGAAAAGGACACAAAGAGGGGGAAAACAGGGGCAAACTTGTAGGCCAACCGAAAAGCAATCGTTCAAGACGAAAGAGGCAATTTTTCTAGCCAACGGGAAGCCGAGAAAGCTAGCGAATCAGAGGCGCGGATTCGGGGGGCAAAAAAGCGCGGCATAGAAATCCTTTCGTTCCTCAAGGCACTTTCGTTCCTCAAGGCAAGAACCTTTCGTCACTCGTTCCTCGTTCCTCAAGGCATACCCTCGCTGTGCGACTGGGAGAGAAACCGAGCTGTCTTCCCACCCCCAAATTCCAAGAAAGACAGGCCCGTGAATGGCTCAAGGAGCTTGATAGAGACAACATGGTAGGACGCCCTGCTAGCAGTTAGTGTACTCTTCTTTGTCGCAATGCCGTTGCACCAGGCAAAAGTAGAATGCACACTCCAACAGGTGCGCTGATGCATTGGCTGATATGTCGTCTGTGTCGCTGCTCTGGTTGCAACTTTCTTCCAGTCATATCTTTCGTCCTGGACTATAGTTGTCGACCAGGGATTCTGGGCCTCGAGATAACGGCTTTCTCTCCAAACGAACATATATGTATGGCATGGGCGTACACAAGCAAACGGTGGACTCACATCAAGCATACCCAAGCTGGTACAACGGATGTTTGACCCTGAAACCGTTGCGATTTTGACTCCTTCCATTGTAGCAAACGACGATATAATATCTTTGCACCAAGATAATCTGGTACTGGACTTAAACGGTTGTCTTTGATAGCAGGCAGAATCTCGCGCGCTAACCAACTAAGCTCATGCTCGGCCTCAAGGGCGTCGTTATAGTACGACAGCTGTGGCTGTGTCGAAATCGGGTGAGGGATCCACAGCGCATCGATCATTTCTCCTTTTTGACAACGGACTTCATCTCGAATGCTGTTGATCCAAGGGATCCGAGAGGGAGGCGTCGCAGGAGCCACGATTAGCTCCATCTTACTGCGGTGCGGCAAGTGTCATTAAAATTACCCGGCGCTTGGAACTCTTCAATTGGCAATTTACACGTCCAAGTAATGGAATCCGTTGGAAATGAAGGCAATTGCTTGTTGAAGTTTGTTTGCTCTCGGGCTTCCGTAGTTGTCGTACGACAAAGGGACATCAAGAATCTCCGAGGTTGACCGTAAAGTGTACAGGGTGTCGAAAAACAAGCTGACCCCCCTGAGCGGGTCGCCAAAGGCTTGCTCATAAATTGACATTATGGCAATTCCTTGCAGCAAGGGTAATTGCGCTGCATGATCTTGCGACGCAAAGAGTCGGAAAGCCTCGTCCGCGAAATCCCGATGGGTTGGAGGCTCGTCAAAGTCGGTACTCTTAAAAAAAAATCCCTAAAGAGAGGCGTGTCAATGTTACGTCTGTTTGATGTCAAGGTATGATTCACTGTTGTTGTTGAACCACATACCATAGAGACTGCTAGCATTGAGTTGATCAAAAAGTCTGAACAGAACTGTGCCTCAGCTTCCTCGGCGCGCTTGAAGTGGCATCCCGCTCTGCATACAAAGTGTCCAGAAGCAGCTCGCGATGCAATATCGTCGCAAGGGTGCTGTCCCAAGTCCAGAACATTGTGAAAAGATAGGTGAGCAGACTATCGTCATTGCTGATGTTCGTCCATCGAGAGAGGGGCAGTTTGACCAGTGGGGCAAAAGAAGGACGACAGTTGGGCATAGACTTGAACATGCTTTCATTCATTGCCGATGCGTGAAGCCCGTCTTGTCTTGACTCCAGTTGAGGGATGATTTGTAGGTAACCGACAGCATGGGTATCCCATATTGGAACTGCTGGGCTTTGACTTGCTCTCATATGTTCTGCCGACTCCACAGCACTCTGCTTTGTGGTGTCACGCATTGCGTCAAAAGATTGCCTGATATCTTCAATCGCAACCTGTAACTCTTCGAGGTGTTGCCGCATGTTGGCTTCAGGGAGGCGATATGTACATTTCACCTTTGCCGTACTGCACGAACGACATGAGGGGCTTCGACCGTCGCACTGCACTTTGTTAGCATGTCGTCTGTTCATGACGCCCTTCTGGGGGGTTAGTGTCGACCTTGGCCTTCCGCTTCCGACATCCTATTGAGGGATGACTTAGATATTTCTCCCCAGAGGTGCGATGAATGGCTTACTCTCGCAGGCCAACTTTACCTGCTGACGCTTCTGCCTTGCAAATATTTCAGATGGCTCAGTCGAAGCTGGGTTCAACGGTGCTTTGGGTAGAAGCTGCCTGCTGGGCAAATTCGACCTTGAGCGTCCATTTGGACGATGCATTGTAGTTGAAGTGAAAAGGCAGATCAGTAATGGGCGTTTTCTGACTTCTTTCTAGATTATGACATCAAGTGGATGTCACAGGTCTGGTTTTGGTGGGCGGTCAGAGGATTACCCCGCAGATTACCGCCGATTACCCGCTTGCCCTTGACATCACCTCTGCCGGGTTGATGTCATCTTCGGAGCGCCATAAAGCGCGAAAGCCGGGACCGACGACGAGAAAAACTGTTCGACTGGATAGCCTGTGTTCGTGCGATCAGAATGCACCCTGTCTAAGGTCCTACATCCTGTCGGTTGCGAGGTCGCGGTGATTTGAAGCATTTTCTAGCCTTGACGCACTGGAGCTACAGCGGCGATAGCGAGATACACCCTATCTACAGGCCACTACCGCTAACTGTAACGACGTAGCCCTTGGCGGCCTGGGGGCACTTTCGCCGCCAAGGTCCTCGTCATTCTACCAGGCGGTGTTCAAATCCACTGCGCCATCGTCGTTTGCTCATTACCCATAGCAAAAGCCCTACAAAAGGCAGTGTGGCTAACAGACAGACTGTCTGAAGGTGGTCTGATAGACCGCATAACGACCGACCGCCAATTCTCATCAGACCGACCGACTGGATGGAACTGGTGTTCCTGTGATGCCATTGGTCCGTTCCGCCTAAGGTAGCACCTACCGGTAATGTCAACAAGTTACGCGTCTGCACTGCCAACTTTCGCGTCTTCCCATCCATCTACGATATCATTCGGTAAAAGGGAGCCAATTCCTTTGAGGGCGAAGCAAACAAAAATCCAGAGGCGTTCCTGCCGCCAATGCCTTGAGGAACGATGCCTTGAGGAACGAAAGGACTTCATTAGCGCGCGGGGAAAAAAGGCCCCAGACTGCTTCACCCCCACATCCTCCGCCTCTGATTGGCTGATTTATTTCCTCTTTCGGAATAAAAGATCCCGTGTGATTGGTCGCCGACCCTTCCGTCCCTCCCTCATCATTGGTCGCTGCCGCCTTCTCTTGCCCCTCTCATGCCTTGCCCTGTTTCCCCCCCGTTTATACTCCTGTTTACCCCCTTGCCAATGCCAATGCCAATGCCAACCTTTTTCCTTTCGTCCGCCGGTTTTCTTATTGTGTCTAAAACTTGCGTCTTTTGTCTTTGCCCTTTTCGTTCATGCCTTTCTAGCGGGTTCTTCCTTCAAGTCTAAAAGTCGCCCTCGTTGATCGCTGCTGCCCAGTGCCCTTGTCTTCTTGCCCGCCGGCGCTCCTCCGTCTTCTCCCCTCGTCACCTCACCCTGACAACTCTCCTTGACTCTTCAGCGTCGCCATCCGACCGACGCAAAGCTTCCTCGACAGTCCTCTCGCTTAGCACCTCCAGCCTGGCCTGCGCGGCGGTCATCTCTTCGGGGACTCGGTTGCCCACCAAGTCTCTCTCCGCACCTTGGACACGAGCGTGATGCCGTCTAGCGTTCGACAGCGCGATAGCTGCACATATAAGCTGTACGGGTCGCATTGCGAGGGCACGGCCCTTCCATCGACTTTCGTCGTCCGTGTCCCCCGCAGCTCCAGGGCCACGCGCTCTAGCGTTCTGCCCTGCACCTTGTAGTCCGTGCAGGCGAAGGCTGCTGCGCACGGCAATCCCTTCCGGCTGACGTCGTTCTGCTGCCACGGCCGCTTTCGTTGGCAGTGTATCCTGACGCTCATCGGCGTTAACAAGATCGTGCCCGGCGGCATCCCGACGAAGTGGAGGTCCTTTGTCGTCGCCGATTCCAGTAATATCCCCGCCGGCGGCCCGAAGTGGATCGTCATGTCGGACGAGATTCGATGCCCTGGGGACGCCTTGTCGACAATGACCTCCACCGCCGAGTAGCCGGCGCCGTTCACCAGCTTCAGCCCCTGATGGGTGTTGTGGTTCACGACGACCGGCATCCCGGCCACGAACATGAAGACGGCCGGCACGGGGATCGCGCTATCGTCGCCTTGATTGAGTATCATGATCGCTTCTTCCTCGGTCGGCAGGCCCTCCTTCCACTTGTGCTCGGAGATGAAGATGCGCATCGTCGACCGCTGCTGGACCCGGAACGCCAAGCTTGCCTCCATGTTTAGGTTCCACCGATTCCTGTTCAGCGGCGTCACCACGGTGATGCCAGTCTCCCAAGGGATCCGCCTGCCCTCGCGGTAGCACCTGAGTTGAGGAGGTCCAGATCCGTGCGGTCCTGCACACCCTGCCGGATCCGCTTCAGCAGCCCCTGCAATTCCGGATCCCCGGCGGCGCGCATTTGCTCGTTCAACATGACGACCGTCGTGAATCTCTTCCACAGCGCGTGCGCTTTGTCGTGCTGGTGCCGCTGCTCGGCCTTGAACGAGTTGTCTACGTCCCACGAGATGGCCGCGCTCGGCAGGACGATCGACCTCTCTTGGACCGGCCGGAACTGCTGAAAGTCTCCGCAGAAGAGGACGATGGGGATCCCCGAAATCTTTCTGCGATCCGCGAAGCCGACAGAGTCGCTCGTTTATGGCGTGCAGCGTCCGCGCTCCGAGCATGCTCACCTCGTCGATGACAAGCACGTCCTTCTCCTGCCAGTCCATCCGAGACTGGCCGTGGATGAACCGCTCCGCCCGTTTTGTCAGCCGCACCCCGTCAAGGTCCTTGGCTGTGTTCGCGCCGCCCGCCCTTGGTCTTTAGTGAACCCGCAGGCGGAGGATCGTGATGCCGTTGATCTGCGCCGCGGCAGTCCCTGACGTCGCCGTGATCAGCAGACGATTCGAAAGGCTCTTCCCACTGAACAGCTCGACGAGTGCCCCAATGATCCGCGACTTGCCGGTGCCCCCCTCGCCGCCGACGAGCTGGCAGAGCTGGCCGGCATCGCCCTATTCGTTTGTCGCATCAAATCGAGCTGGCGGCATATTATTAGGAAAGCGATCGACTGCCTCTTGTTCAGCGTTAGCCGTGTTGACAACTCCTTGCCCGCCGCGAAGAAGGAGGTCGATGGGCCAAACTGGACGCGCATTCCCGCTTCTGCGTCGCTAGCCGTCTCGTCGGAGTCGGCTGTCGTCATTTCGACGTCGTCCTCCCGAAGCCGGTCATCACCTCCGCAACGCAGCTCGGCGATCGCTTTCCCGGACTGCGACTGTGGTTTGTACGCCTTGGATCATTCTCTCCCTCCCTCGACGCACTTATCTGCTGCGACTTGATAGCCTTGACCTGATCCTGCGGCGGTAGTGCGGCCCCGGAAAATACCCGCCCTGGCATGCTTATGCACCTCAACCCTTGTTCGGGAATCGCGATGGCCTCGAGCTCGGCCGTTGAGCAGAGCGCCGATTGCTGGAATCGACAGAGCTGCCGCATCATTGCCATGAGCTCCGGCGACTTGGCCGTCACCTGATTCGTGCCCACTGCGCCTCGGACGACGTCGATCAGGCGCGTTGCGTCTCCGATGTTGTTGGACCGATACGTCGCTGCAAATTCTGCGCCCGCCTCGCCTGTCTCGCCCTCCTCGACGTGGGCGACCGTGGAATCGCCATCGCCGGATGAGGCCGCCCATTGCTTGGCGTCGCGCTTTGCGTCTTCGGCTGATCGTCGAAGCAGCTGCACGTTGTCGACGAGACATGATATTCTCGGGGCCAGCGCCTCTCGCGCCCGCTCCCAGATGCTATTGATCTCACCTGTTTCTTCGCACAGAAAGGACTCCCACGGCACAAATAGCGCAAGATGCTGCACGGCTGCCCTTTAAGGGGGAGGGGGGGGAGGTTAGCCACTCTGATGATGCCTGCCGGCAGGGCGGTTGCTATACACACCTCCGGTGGCACGACTCCTCGTCGTCGTTGTGGCCGAAGTCCTTGCTCAGGTAGCCATCGAGGCAGACGGTAGCATGCTTGCCCGGCCGCCTGAGCACCTGGACCCAGCGTCTCCTGGCGCCCATCCATCCTCGAAGGGCACCTCCCCAGGCCGCACAGCTCTCATCCTTACTGGTGCGTTTTAGTCTAACGAGCGATATGTAGTCGTATAAGCATAGCCCTCGCAGGAGCTCTCCCGGTGCTGGTACGCCTCAACGTGGGAGATCCTCAGGCCTGCTTCTTCGACAACGACCGACTCATCCAGAGTATCATCTATGGCCGCCGCGCCACTTGCTCGTCGGAGATACGGCCACCGTCGAAAGACTTCCCAGTACAGCAGAGATGTGTTCAGGTACGCCCAGGCGCTGCTGTTGGTGAACTCGGCCGGATATCCAAGAAGATGAGCGACGACCTCGACCTGAGATAGCGGACGCTCCGTGAACACACGATTCGCCACCCTCATCAAGAACTGTCGCGTCCTGTTCCCCTTGGCGGCGTCATCGCCAACAGCACCTCCACCGTCGTCCTGTCCTCCGTTGGCCGTGCCGTCACCCGTTGAGGCGGCCAGGAGATCGGCCGCGGCCGCCACACGCTTCCACACCGGGTCCTCCACCTTCGTCGCGTAGTTCGTGACATAATACATAAGGGCCATGGTCTTGCGCTGCGTCGCAATGAAGGAAATGTCGTGGTTGTGCCGGAGCCCAACAGCGATAGCCTTGTTCCATCGATTGACCATGCTGTGAGTCCTCCGGATCTGCAACACCCCGTCTGCCGTGATGGCGGTCTTGTCGACCAACCTCCATGGAGACTTAAACCGGCATGGATTCCTTCCGCGCTCCTTTGCCCAAGGAATACTTGACACAGGTCGGGCTATGCGTGTGAACCTGTGTAGCGCCGGCACAGAAGTTGGCCTCCTCGTCAAATGCGGCCGAAAACTGCTCGGTGTTGTCCAGCAGGAGGAAATATCGGACGTCACAGATCGCTCCGCTTGCACGGCGCAGAACCCTTCCTGATCCAGATCCTATCTTGCACGTCAGCCTGGCCCCGTTTGTCCATCGGACGAGCAATTCAGGTTCTCAGTGACACGTCTTAGCTATTCTTACCTCGGAGAAGACACTATCGACGTATCGTATGATTCGCTCGCGATACGCCGCCTGATCCTCCCCGTGGATGTCGGCAAGCATCGAGCTGAGATGCGCGTTTCCGTGCAACCAGAGCAAGCCGTGAACATGAAGCGCCCCTCGTTCGTTGGTCTCCACAGCGCCATAGTACTTGCCGATGCGCCCGAATACCGACTCTTCTCCGACCTTCACGTAATGATCGAAGAACAGCTTCATCTCCCGGTGGAAGAATACGGCGGCGCTCATCGGATCGGACATGGCCAGCCTTGTCCGCTTGTACGCACTCCCAAGGCCTTCTAGGAACTCCTCGGCCGCGCCGGGATCGCGTGTCCGATATGCCGCCAGTCGCAGCTTCACCGGGTTCGTAATGTCGTTTGGGTTGATGGTGAACCAGATGGCCGGAACGCCGTAGCCAACGATGAGCGACTGGATTTTCCGCCGCATATTGAGCCGAACCTCTCGACATGGGTTGCCGGTGGCCGTACAGCGAGAGGCTCCTGAGAAGCTCCTTCACGCCCTCATCGGTCGTCTTGCCCGAGCTCTCCAACTCGACCCTCGCCGCCGCTAACCTTTGCGCGGTCATCGAGCGGGCAACGCGCTCGACCTTGCCGAAGTCCTTCCTCGCCACACTCAGCATGCTGACGCGGCGGTTCCTCGACCGCACCCCCATGTTGAAGACGAGAAATGCAAATATGTGGTGCAACGCAAACCGGCCACCATGGCGCCGGAGCACGATGTCGGCCCAAATCCGGAGGTTCAAGCTTCGGGAGGATACGATGTCTCCGCTGCCGCCCCTGCCTCAGCAGCTCTACCGGTGCCTCGCAAGTTGGTAAGGGCCTTCCCGCCTCGGCTATGGCCTCTTCGGCCAGCCTTGGTCCCCAACGCCAAATGGGAACAGGGTCGGGAACGTTCTGGCGAAGAAGGACGTCTCAAAGGAGTCGGCAAACTCATCCCCCCGCGAGACTCGAATGTATGGCTCACTGCCATCGTCGCCACGCCCTCGACCCCACCGAGGATCCGACCCACGTTCTCGGGCCCGCGCGGCCGTCGTCGGCACCTGCGCCAACAGCGTCACAGGCAAACCGCAGCTTCTCGACATCCGCCACGTCTGGCGGTCCGTCCAGCCCAAACATGCCGGAAGACGTCACCTCGTTGATTGGTCGAACGTTCTGATCGGGGCTAGCACCAACTCCATCACGACCCGCGCCTTCTTCGTTGGGCCCGTGCCCTTCAGCCTCGCCTCCCGTTTCCTGCCTTTGGTTGAGCAGAGCGAAGAGTTCCTCGATCTCCACCGACCCCTCGTCGTCCATGGCGCGCTCCGTGGGCGGCACAACGTGCGCCGTCCGCGTTTTCTCCCATGCGGACGGCTCGTTCCGCTCCATGCGATCATACACCAAGGCCGGCACCCCGTCTATCGGGTCTCCCAACTCTCCATCTCCGCCACGTCGATCTCGATCTCGGCGTAGTGGGGTTGCTCCTCTTCAGCCAAACAAGAGCCCTCTCGACGACCCGCCGCCTCACCGACAAGAGACTCGACAGGTCGCTCGGTGCCGGCTTCTCCACGCCCTGCCACGAAACGTGGATCTCGTCCAGTGCTTGCAAAAGGGGGTGCGGGAGCACCTTGGTCGCCAGCTCCTGCACGTTGTTGGGAAACACTGTGATGTGGCCCTTGACGTGCCTCGGATACCTCACGGCCTGCCTCTGCCCGCCCGGAATGCTATATCTCGTGACAAACCCATAGCAGGAGTTGAGCGAGACGAGCTTCTCTTCGACCAGCGTGAGTCCCTTGAGCTCGTCAGGAACATGTGCTCACAGCCAAGGCGAGTGTGAAGATGGACCGCCGGCGACAGACTCCCGCGCGCCAGGCATCGGGCACACTCCGCACACACCGACACGGGCTCGCCTTCGGGAAAGCAGCTCCGGCATGAAAATGGTGAGCGGCCGCCCTCTGGCACGCAGCTTGACAGCCATTGATCCCATCTGATCTCCTCAGCTCTTTTCTCGTACGCTTGCGGTACATCATGCAGGTCCGTATCGGCAACGTGCTCGCATCGTGGAACGCCTGATAAAAATCCCGCACCGTCGACACCTTCCTGTCGTGCGGTATTGGCGTACACCACGTCTGATCGTTAGACAGCCTCTCCTTCATGGCGAAGTCTTCCTCCAAAAAACGCAGCACACTCGCCAGGTCTTCGGCCCGCAGCTCCCGACTCCTCTGCCTTCCGATTCCACTCCGAATCTGTTTTCTCGGGCGCTCGTCCGGACCAGGAAGACGTTTTCTCTTCTCCCGCCTCCGGGGCCGCCTCCGGGCCGCCTCCGATCCATGATTTCTTCTCTCCGTGGCTGATTCGCTTCTTCGCAAGCCGTCGGATGCGGCAGCTTTGGCGACGACTGCCCGACTACGTGCGCATCCCCTGACACGCCATCCGGCCCTTTGCACTGGACAGGCACCGGGCCGTGCTGGCGAACGTTTTCCACGCCGAACCTTGACCTCAGTCCTTGCCCTTTCCAGCACTCTCCTCGTTCTTGCTGCCGATCAAACTGCACGGGCTCCCCAGCCGCCACCCGCGATGAGCCGCCCACCTCCCTTTGCTGCAGCCTCCGCCCGCTCAGCGAAGCGTCCGCTGGCTCTGCCGCGGCGTCGCCCACCCCCACAGGAGACGGCCCCGGATGCTGCGCCGTACCTGCTGCGTTGGAGACACCCCTGCGGCCTGGTACTCCTTTACCCGCCAACTCCGTCCCCGACGGCGCTTGGGCAAACCAGACGCAATCGCTGCTGCTAATTGCCCGTTTTCTCTTAAGTTGTCGAATACCGGTTCCCTAGGCTGGATGGATCGAAGCTTCGGTACCTCCTTCGAATGAACACTCGGGACATCGCCCGCCGCCGCCGTAACACGTTGCTCCTCATCTTCAGGATCTCCCTCCTGAGGCAGAAAGTGCCGATGAGGGAGCGGACGATCAGAGTCCGCTACCCCCATATCTCCACGTTCCCTAGGCAACAGGGCCTCGGAAGCTGACCCGGTGACTGATGTTGCGCGGAACTTCCGCTGCTAACCATATTATGGAACTTCCGTGCTCTGTTTGACCGCAAACCGCCTCGCGGCGGTCTTCTCGGCAACGACCTCGCAATTGCTTCTGCGTGCTGTCTCCATGCGGTGTCTTCAACCACAGGTTTCCTAGGCTGAATCGGCCGGAACGTTGATGCCGCATTCGCCCGTGATTCGTATCTTCGTAACCGTCCCAGGCTCTCCCCGTGCTCTGCGGCCCTCTCAGAAGCTGCCACCACATCTACACCGGCTCCTGTCGCACCATCTCCGAGCCCCGAACCCGACCCGCTCACGTTCTCACCCTCTTCTCCATCCCCGACTGACAACGAACAGGCTTCAGGGTGAGCAACCGCCTCGCTTAACTTCACTGCAGGACTGTCCGCCATGCTGCTGCCTCCTCGACGTCGACTGCCGTAAATTGGCAACAGGCTATAAAGCTTTGGCTCCGGAGCACCTCCACTTGGACAGTCTCGCTTGTTGACGACGCTACTTCTCCCGAATGGAAGCTCCTAGCCATCACTTCCTCATGGCCGTGGCGTTTCTTCCTTATAGCTTCCCTATAAAATGCTTCCCTATGGTACCGAGGCGATGCAATACTACCCTCTATATTCCCCGTTACCATGCCTATCTATGTGCGTCCACCGTCCCGGCCTCGCCTGGTCTCCACGTGCGACCTGCTACCCCGGCTTTGCCAAAGCGACCCTTCCATCGCCGTGCTCTCTTTTGCGCACTCCAGCGAATCCCTGGCCACTGCCGCCCCCCGGCACATGGAGATGGCCGCGACAACCGCCTGCCGCACACTTCAAACCATACTCTTCAGCCCTTCCAACACCATCCTACCAACCTTGCGCATCAGTTCACCATCAATACCCGCCAATCCGCCTCGTCGAGCAACAGCCACAAGGCTGCCGGCGATAACATGTCCATGACGTCCCTCATGCAGCCGGACTACCCTTCTAGATTTGCTCCCTCGCCAGCACCAATGTCGCATCAACGGCCTTAATGCTAAAGCGATAGCCAGGACCCCTGCCTGTCCTCTTGTAGTCGCTAGCCACCGGAGTCTCGACTTGCAAACCCTCTTGGAAAGTTCTCGTGACCAACTCGCATCCTCCTCCTCAGGTCGACCCATATATCCGACTTCACCGTGTCCCAATAGTAGACTCGACACGGTCGGCACCCGCCTCGCTCAGCCGCACGCAATGCCCATCCAACTACCGACGACCGTCAAAAGGGAGTCCTGCAATACTACCATAACCTCTTTCCTTCACTCTCATTCGTTATTGCCCCTTTGCTATCTACTCCATGCAACGATGACACCGAAGGGGACTACTGGACTTTCTTTCTCCGCAGTCTTACCCACACTAACCTTACCGTTCGCCGACCTCCAACTTCTCGCAACATAGCCATCACCCCTACTCAACTTCCAACCCCCGGCTCCCTACTTCACTCACGACCACAGAACCAGATGGTCGAGACTGCTCGAGAACCTCGCCAGCTCATTCCCGCATACCCCCGCTTCTGATCTATCACCTAGGTAGCATTCACTGACTCTCAAGTCTCCCCGACCCGAGCCACGAGCCCTCTTTCGAGCAGCAAGAAAACCTGCTTTATAGGATGCCTACCTCTACTCTGCCTAACCCCTCCTTTACACTTCCACGGTGACCACATCTGCCATGTTCTCACGATGTCGGCCTCCCAGCTCAACGTCGATACCTCGTCCTCCCCGCGGCAACCTCTTGACAGCCAGAAAATGCTGGCGCCGACATGTCCATGATGGCCTTTGTCCAGCCCGGCTGCCCGTCTAGGTTCGCCTACCAGAATGAGCATCGTGTCAAAGGGCTCAACGCAGAAACCCTAGCGAGGGTCTTCCTTCCAACGCCCTCATGGCTGTCGACTCCAGAGTATGCAGCAATCCGGTCAGATCCTGACAATCCATCGACCTGCATCTTCTTGAGCCTTAATATTTCCATATACAACCAACAGATAATCCCCTCGGAATGGACCGAGCAGTGGTTCTTTATGGTCGGCCGTGTTCATCCCTTTGCCCTGACGTGGGAAATCGAGCGACGTGATAGCTTCGAGTCGGAGGATGACAACATTACAGAATACACCATCCCGGCTCTCATCGTCCGCGACCACAGCTACCAGCCGTAGGTGTATGCTCCAGACCTCCGTCACCACTACCATCTCTGACGATGGCCACAGAGTCATCCCTCGCACCCTCGGCTCGGCGGATGCCTTCCCAGCGATACAACCCATTGTCTCCTTCACGGGACCTGTCATCGGTTCCGGCCGCGACCTTCTGCATGGAAACTCGGCTGCGGCCCTTGACGACACCCAGCTGAGCTGTTGCGGCTTTGTCCAGCTCTCGACCTTTATCTGTCCTGGGATTCCGGGCAAACACCCTTCAAGGGCTTTCATCCCTTTCAACTTTTCGTCATCTTCCCATTCACGCCAATCCTTGGACCTCCTATGCAAGAAGATGACCGAGAGGCGCGATAGCCAGTTCCAGCCGAACGCTCTCCTCACCTGCACGGGCAAAATCGCCGGCTTACTCGATCACCAGATCATGACACATGCCCCGGCCTTCGAGCAAGACTATATCTTCATCGTCGTCCCCGATACATGGACTTTCCTTGACAGGGCCATGTCCAACCAGGCTTCTGCGACACAGCTACTGCCGACGACACCCAAGGGCTCAGTCGGCAACCCTCGGACTATAGCGATGCGTTGGCCAGGTTTACCTCTACCAAAAACGCAATGCCGCCCCAAGCGGCGCCTCCCCACGCCGCCTGCATCTAGGTCAGTCGATCCTTATGATGACATCAAAGCGGTCATTGCCCGATCCCGACCAAACCCCAACCAAGAGACCGCGACTTTCTCCAGAAATTTCCACCATAGTCGCCGCCTGTGATAGTCGAGGCCCCGCCAAATCCGACACTTCCTCCTTCTGTCCCACGAAGACCCCGGAGACTCAGAGACGGACACCGAGCCAGTCAATCACCCAGCCACATCCGCCTCTGGCCCTATCAGACCTCCGGCGTCAATCTCTTCCCGACCGCACCGCGCCCGACATCCGCCCAAGAATATTCTGTAAAGCAACGAACGAAACAACACAACATGACAAGGAACATGTTTCATCATCCTCAAACTCAAGTGCGAAAGGCCCTAATGGGATATTTCCTTCTCCTCTTGCTCTCCTTTTCACAAAGACAATCCAGTCAAAACTTCTCCAATATACTCCTTATTCTGTTTATATCCACCACTTATAGCACCTGTAAATCCTCAGAGCCTTCCACTCGCCCACACATGCATTACCCACCCACAACTCTCTTCACCCCTGCCGCCTCTCCACGCCCTTTGCGCCTTTGCAAAGCAAAATCTCCTTGCAGCGGCCTAGGCTGCCTCTCTGACGCTCTGTCTCGATTTCACTCACGATAATGCTCTACGTCTCTCGCCGGATCTCCATCTCATATCTCATATCTCACTCTTCTTCCTGTCTTCCTCTCACTTCCCCTGTCTCCTATCTCCTGTCGCCAACTCTCTCCTCTCCCCGACTTTCTCCTGTCGCCATCGCCAACTTTCGTTCCGAAAGGCCTCTTTGCGCGAGCCGCGGCTGGCGAGCCTTCCCCTCGTGATTCGTGCCTTGAGGAACGAAAAGGCTCTTCTGGACGCGAAAAAAACCCCAAAAACCCCCAAACCTACTTTACCCTCGAAACCCTTGGCTTCTGATTGGAGAACCCATCTTGGCTGCTGATTGGAGAGCTTTTAAATCCCGGCTTCCCTTTGGTCGCTTAATGATTACTTACCCTTTTCGTCCTAGCCCCTTTTGTTTCGCCTTCCGGCGCAGTTCGCCCTCTCCGGTCCTGCCAGCGACCTAACCTCGCGACTAGGACTCAGCTCCTCGTGAAACCGGTTTTTTGGCCTTTTCCGACCAAACCCCTCTCCCGCACCCCTGACACGAGCATGGTGCCGTCCAGCGCCCTGCGCCCGGCATCGCGATAGCTACACGTCCAGGCCCGTGCCTTTAGAGTCCAGGGAATCAACGTCTAGCCATCCCGAGGCCTCGCGGACAGTCTTGTCGCTCAGCTGGCCCAGCCTCGCTTCTGCGTCTGTCATCTCGTCTGGCACCTTGTTGCCCACCAGGTCCCTCTCCCGCAATTTCGAGACCAGCATAATGCCGTCCAGCGTCGGGCAGCGAGACAGCTGCACGTACAGGCTGTACGGGTCGCACTGCGAGGACACGGCGCGTCCGTCGATGTTTGACGTCCGCGTTCCCCGCAGCTCCAGAGCTACACGCTCGAGCGTCCTGCCCTGCACTTTATAGTCTGTGCACGCGAAGGCTGCCGTACAGGGCAGGCCCTTTCGGCTGACGTCGTTCTGCTGCCACGGCCTCTTTCGCTGGCACTGTATTTTGACCGTCATGGGCGTCAACAGGACCGTGCCTGGCGGCATCCCGACGAAGTGAACGTCGTTCGTCGTCTCCGACTCCAGCATTATCCCCGCCGGCGGCCCGAAATGGACCGTCGTGTCTGCCGTGATACGATGCCCCGGGTACGACTTGTCGAGGACGACCTCCAGCGCCGTGTAGCCGGCGCCGTTCACCAGCTTTAGCCCCTGATGGGTGTTATGGTTCACGACGACCGGCATCCCCGGCACGAACATGAAGACGGCCGGCACCGGGATCGCGCTGTCGTCGCCCTGGTTCAGCATCATGATGGCCTCTTCCTCCGTCGGCAGGGCCTCCTTCCACGTATGATCCGAGATGAAGATGCGCATCACTGACCGCTGCTGGGCCCGGAACGCCAAGCTGGCCTCCATGTTGAGGTTCCACCGGTTCCTGTTCAGCGGCGTCACCACGGTGATGCACGTCTCCCACGGATCCGCCTGCCTTCCCGGTAGCATCTTGAGTTGAGGAGGTCCAGATCCGAGCGGTCCTGCACGCCCAGTCGAATCCGCCTTAGCAGCCTCTGCAATTCCGGATCTCCCGCGGCGCGCACCTGCTCGTCCAGCATGACCGTGGTCGTGAATCTCTTCCACAACGCGTGCGCCTTGTCGTGCTGGTGCCGTGTCTCGGCCTTGAAGGAGCTGTCTACGTCCCACGAGACGGCGGTGCTGGGAGGAGGATCGAGCGTTCTTGGACGGGGCGGAATTGGTGGAAGTCTCCGCAGAAGAGGACGATCGGAATACCTCCAAAATCCTGGTGCGACCCGCGCAGCCGGCAGAGCTGCTCGTTCACCGCGTGTAGCGTCCGCGCCCCGAGCATGCTCACCTCGTCGATGACGAGCACGTCCTTCTCCTGCCAGTCCATCCGGGATTGCCCGTCGACGAACCGCTCCGCCTGTTTCGGCAGTCGCACCCCGTCGAGATCCTTGGCCGCGTTTGCGGCTGCCGCGAGATCTTTCGAGAACCCGCAGGCGGAGTGGATCGTAATGCCGTTGATCCGCGCTGCTGCCGTCCCCGACGTCGCCGTTATCATCAGACGATTCGATTGATCCTTGGACGCGAAGAGCTCGACGAGCGCCTCGATGACTCGTGACTTGCCCGTTCCGCCCTCTCCACCGACGAACTGGCACAGCTGGCGTACGTTGCTTTTCTCCCCGCGCCGTATCAGGTCAAGCTGGCGGCATATAATTAGGAAGGCGATCGCCTGCTTCTTGTTTAGCGTGAGCCGCGCTGCCAGGGCCTTGCCCGCCTCGAGGAAGGAGGTTGAGGCACCGAACCGGATCTCCATTCCCGCGCTGGCCCCCGCTACTCCTTCCTCGAGCTCCGCTGCCGTCATCTGGACGTCGTCATCCCCGAAACCCGTGAGCACGCCCCGCACCGCCGCGCGGCGACCAGTCACCGGTGCCGTGGACAGGCTTTGTATGCCCCGTATCATCTTCTCCTCTCCTGGATGCGCGGATTTGCTGCGACTTTATGGCCCTAACCTCACTTTGCGGCGGTATGGTGGCTCCGGAGAATGCCCGCCCGGGATGTTGATTCGTCTTGGGCCCCGTTCGGGTAGTATTGTGGCCTGGACCTCGGAAGAAGAGGACAGCGCCGATTGCTGAAATCGGCTGAGCTCCTGCATCATCGCCGTGAGCTCCGGCGAGCCGGCCGTGATTTGGTTCGGCCCGATCGAGCTTCTGACAACGTCGATTAGGCGATTCGTGCTTCCGCACTGTCGGCCTGGTATCCCGATCCGCTCGACACCCACCTCCCGGTCCCGTCCTCGTCCGGACGTACTGCCGTGGGGTCGCCGTCACCGGACGAGGCCGCCCACTGCCGTGCGTCCCGCTTTGCATCTTCGGCCGACCGTCGCAGCAACTGCACGTTATCGACGAAACATGATATCCTCGGGGCCAGGGCTGCTCGTTGCCGCCCCATATGCAGTTGATGTCGCCCTTTCTTCGTCTAAGAAAGACTCACGGCACGAACAGCGCAAGATGCTGCACAGCCGCTCTTCGCCATGGAAATTAGCCTTCTCGACCCGGCGCCTCCGGCCCGTCGACGACAAACGCACCTTCGGTAGCACGACCCTTCGTCGTCTTCGTCGAAATCCTTGCTCAAATACCCGTCGAGGCAGACCGTGGCCTGCTTGCCCGGTCGCCTGAGCACCTGCGCCCAACGGCCTCCCGGAGCCCAGCCGCTCTCGAACGGGACCTCCCCCCAGCCGGCGGGCCCCTCGTCCCTTTCGTTGCGCTTCAGCCTGACCAGCGAAACGTAGTCGTAGAGACACAGCCCTCGAAGGACGTCTCCCCGATGACGGTATGCCTCGACACGGCAAATCCTCTGGCCTGCTTCTTCGACGAGTATTGACTCGTCCACAGAGCCATCTGCAACGGCTGCGCCGCTTTCGTCGAAGGTGCGGCCATTGTCGGAAGACTTGCCAGTAGAGCAACGATACGTTCAGGAACGCCCAAGCACTGCCATTCGTCAGTTCAGTCGCGCATCCCAGGAGGTCCGCGACGACCTCGACCTGCGATAACGGCCTCTCCGTAAACACGCGATTCGCCACCTTCATCAGGAACTGCCGTGTCTTATTCTGCCTGCCATCGTCACCGGCACCACTGTCTCCACGAACCTCCGCGCCGTCGGCCATTCCGTCACCTGCCCTGGGAGGCAAGAGATCCGCGGCGGCGGCGACGCGCTTCCATACAGGGTCCTCCACCTTGGTCGCATAGTTTGTGACGTAAAAGATGAGGGCCATCGTCTTACGCTGTGTGACGATGAAAGATATGTCATGGTTGTGGCGAAGCCCCACGGCAATGGCCTTGTTCCACCGATTCACCATGCTGTGCGACCTCCGAATCCGCAGCACGCCGTCTCCCGTGAAGGCCGTCTCGTCGACCAGTCCCCACGGCGCCTTGAAACGACATAAATCGCCCTTGCGCCCCCCTTTGCCCAGCGAGTACTTGACGCAGGTCGGGCTGTGGGTATGGATCTGCGTCGCGCCGGCACAGAAGTTCGCTTCCTCGTCGAACGAGGCTGAAAATTGCCGTTCGTCGCCCAGAAATTGCGATATATCTGACGTCACCGATCGCTCGGCCTGCATTGCGCAGAAGCCTTCCTGGTCCAGATCCTGTCTTGTTCGTCAGCTTTCTCGGCTTTGACAGACGGAGGACGCAGGTCAACACGCCGGCCCCGCTCATACCTCGGAAAAGACACTGTCGACGTATCTGACGATGCGTTCTCGGTATGCCGCTTGATCCTCGCCGTCGATATCGGCAAGCATCGAGCTTAGATGCACGTTGCCCTGCAGCCAGAGCAGTCCGTGAACATGGAGCGCTCCACGCTCGTTGGTCTCGACGGCACCGTAATAGTGGCTGATGCGCCCGAACACCGACTCCTCGCCCACTCTCACGTAATGTTCGAAGAACAACGTCATTTCTCGGTGGAAGAATTCGGCCGAGCTTAACGGGTCCGAGATGGCCAGCCGCGCACGTTTGAACGCCTTGTCGAGGCCTTGCAGGAATGCCTCGGCCGCTGCGGGATCACGTGTGCGGTATGCCGCCAGTCTCAGCTTCACCGGGTTCGTGATGTCGTTCGGGTTGAGCGTGAACCAGATTGCAGGCACGCCACGACATAAGATGAGTGACTGGATCTTGCGCCGCATGCTCAGACGGAGCTCCCTCGACATGGGCTGCCGATAGCCGTACAGCGAAAGGCATCTTAGAAGCTCCTTGACGCCATCGTCGGTAGTCTTGCCCGACGTCTCCAGCTCCGCCCTGGCGGCCGCTAACCTATCCGCTGTCAGCGACCGTACGATGCGCTCCACCTCGGCGAAGTTCTTCCGCGTCGCGCTGAGCATGCTGACCCGACGATTCTTCGACCGCACATCCATATTGAAAACGAGAAACGAGAAGATGGTATGCGTCGCGAATCGGCCACCATGGCGCCGCAGCACAATGCCGGCCCAGGTCCGAAGGCTTATGTTCCGAGACGACAGAAGATCTCGCGCCGCCGTCTCTTCTCCAGCAGCCGTACCCCGCCAATTGACCGGCCCTCGGGTCCTAAGATGACTTCCTCCGCGAGCCGTGGTCCTCCAAATCCGAACGGCAGTAGGGTGGGAAAGGTCTTGGCGAAGAACGAGGCGTCGAGCGAGTCGGCGAATTCGTCTCCGCGACAAACGTGGATGTATGGCTCGCGGACATCCGTGCCTTCTTGACCCGCCTCCGCCGACCTTATCCATGCCCTCGGCCCTTGCGGTCGTTCTCGGCCCCATCGCCACCCACGGCATTGCACGCAAAGCGGAGCTTCTCTGCGTCCGACACTTCCGGCGGTCCGTCCAATGCAAACATGCCGGAAGAGGTGATCTCGTTGATCGTTTTGGCTCTGTCATCGGGCTCAGCATCGTCAGTCCCGTCCGCTCCACTCCTCGGATTCTCGACTCCCCTGTCCAATACGTCTTGTCCTTGGAGGAGCTGGGCGAGGACTCCTTCGATCTCCGCCGGACTATCGTCGTCCATGGCCCGCTCTGCGGGCGGCACGACCTGCGCCGTTCGCGTCTTCTCCCACGCAGACGGCTCGTTCCGCTCCATGCGGTCGTAGACCACCCGCGGCACACCGTGTGATGGTGTTCCCAGCTATCCATTTCCGCCCTATCAATCTCAATATCGGCGTAATGGGGGTTATTCTTCTTCAACCAGATAAGCGCTCTCTCGACGACTTGACGCCTCACCGACAAGAGACCCGATAAGTCGCACGGTGCTGGCTTCTCCGCGCCCTGCCACGAGACGTGGATCTCGTCCATTGTTTGCCAGAGCGGGTGCGGGAGCACCCTTCTCGCCAGCTCCTGCACGTTGTTTGGAAACACCGTGATGTGGCCCTTGACATGTCTCGGATACCTCACTGCCTGCGTCTGCCCGCCCGGAATGTTATACCTCGTCACAAAGCCGTAACACGAGTTCAACGAGATGAGCTTCTCTTCGACCGGCGTCAGCCCCTTCAGCTCGTCGGGGAACATGTGCTCGCATCCGAGGCGACTGTGAAGGTGGACCGCCGACGACAGGCTCCCGCGCCCCAAGCATCGGGCACACTCCACACAAACCGAGACGGGCTCACCCCGGAAAGCAGCTTCGGCACGCAAATGGTGAGCGCTCACCCCGAGGAACGGGACTTGATAGCCACTGATCCCACGGAATCTCCTCAACTCCTTCCTTGTACGCTTGCGGTAACACAGCCTGCAGGTCATTATCGGCAAGGTGCTCACATCGTGGAACGCCCGATAAAACTTTCGCACCGTCGATACCTTCCTCTCATGCGGTATTGGTGTGCACCAGGTTTGCTCCTTAGACAGCCTTTCCTTCGCGACGAATTCCCTTCGAGGTAAAGCAAGACACTGGCCAAATCCTCTGCCTGCAGCTCACTCCTCCTCTGCCTCGGATGGCTTCCTCGAGTACGTTTCGTCGGGGTCTGGTCTCGGTCACGCTGGCGGTTCCTCTTTCTCTGTTCTACGGCCTGCGAGGATCTTTCCGCTGCCTCGTCTCGCCACGGCCGATCTTGTTCTCCCGCCGCCGCCTGGCGTGATGGCCGTGGTGGCAACCATCCGGATGACTGCGTATCTCCTGCCCTGCCTTGCATCTCTCTGGGTTGGGTTGGCTGAACGAGGGGCTCCCTGACGACTCCAGACGACATCGTGACAGCGGTTGCCGGCCAATCCTGTCCCGCCTGGCATCCGGATGACTGTATATCTCCCGCTCTATCTTCTATTGCTCTAGGTTGGATTGGCCGAATGAGGCGCTCCCTGACGGCTGTAGACGAAATCCCGACACTGTTTGCCGGCCGACCCTGTCCTTTCTGGCGTGATGGCGGCGGTGGCCACCGTCCGGATGACTGCGTATCTCCTGCGCCATCATCCATCTCTTGAGGTCGGATTGGCCGAACCAGAAGCTCCCTGACGACTCTAGGCGAGTTCCCGACAGGGCTTGCCGGCCGATCCTGTCCTCCTGGGGTGTCCCTCGGAGCCCATTGGCCCTGTCCGCGCACCACGGCTTCGCCTTCCAGACGTGCCCCTCTGGACGCCCTCCACGAGCCCTCCCTTCGAGGAGGAACTATCGACGTTAGTCGTCCTTTTCCGCGGCCAGCCGCCTCGCCGACTTCCCTTGGGCAACGCTCTTTTGAGTGCCTCTGCCTGCTCTCTTCGTGAGGCATCGTCGGCCGCCGCGGCCGGCTTGGCCTCAATAGGCCGGAACCTGGGTGCCGCGTTTCGACTTTTGTGGCCCGACGCCCGCTTCGGCCCTTCGTCCATTGCGATCGGTCTCGCCGCCGCGATACTTCGTCGCAGCAGCGGCCGCTGCTGCTGTCCCCGTTTCGCACTCTCCTGCCACCGATCTTACCTCGCGGCTACGATTCTCCCCATGCTGGTGCTGTCTTATCGGCAAGGCTCCGCAAACGAACGATAGATTAGGAAGCCTTCGCCCGGGATATACCCGAGATTGTCTCGCTTCCTGGCAATGGCGTTCCGCCGCGTTGGCATTCTTCTTGCTAACGGTTATATCCTTCCTTGTTAATATCCCTTTCTGCATTAGACCTCTCTCTCTCGGACCTGCCGGGCTTCCTTTGTACCTATCGACAGGCCTATCTGCCGACAGCCCTAGTTTTCGCCATCCTATGCCGGTAGCCCTGCCGGACACTTTAATCCGCGTCGCCCTTGCTGCCCGATCAGTACCCAGCTCCGCAACACCACGACGCATCTCTTTGACGTCTGCTTACTTACAGCGGCAAGGCTCCTCGCTCTTCCCGGCGAATCCATACCACTATTGATCTACTATAAGTGCGTCTACGCTCGACTTCTTCCCTACTCCTTTCTTGACGCTGAGAACCCGTCCTTTTAGTGCGTGCAAGTGGCCTATCGACCTGCGCAGATGCACTATGTCTTCCTCTCTACTTCGTACCGATATGCCCGCACCGCACCTTCGAAAGCCGCTCGATAGCCAAAGGGCGCTGGCGGTGAGATGTCTATGATGTCTTTTGTCCAGCCGGACTGTCCTGCTAGATTTTCCCACCAGGACGACCACCGCATCAGGGGTCTTAACGCCGAGGCCATGGCCCGCGTCTTCCTGCCTCCTCCCGCCTGGCTGCTCGCGACGGAATATGCGCCCTCCGATCGGATGCCGATGATTCCCGACATCCGTCTTTTTAGCCTCAACCTCTCCATCTACGGCCAGCCTATTGATCCTCCGACTGGACCGAAGAGTGGTTTTTCACGCATGCCCGCGTCCACCCCTACGCGCTCGCATGGGAGGTTGAGCAACGCGACGGCCTCGAGTCTGACACGGGCCGCACCTTTCTATACGATGCCCGCCCTTGTCGTCCGCGATCAGGGCTACCAGCCGTAAGCCGTGCCCTGACCCTTCGCGAGTGCCGACGAAACGGTATATGGCTAAGATGGGCTTGAAGTGTTCTCCTAGGCTCTTTGCCTCCATGGGCGACTTCCCCTGCATCCCGCCTATTGTTTCCTTTACCGGCCTTATCGTCGGCACCGGCCACTCCTCGCTGCGGCGGGACCTACTGCCCGGTCTAGGCGCCGCCCAACTTAACTGTTGCGGATTTGTCCGCCTTTCTACCTATGTCGCTCCTGGGATGCCTAATAAGGTCCCCTTCAAGGGCTTCCACCCGTTCCAGGTCTTCGTTATCTTCCCTGTTCGCGCTAACCCCTGGGCCATCTTGTGTAGGAAGATGGCCGAGAGGCAGGACTCTCAATTTCAGCCTAACGTCCCCTTTACCTGCACAGGCAAGGTCGCTGGCCTGCTCCGTCATGATGTCATGCTCTACCCCCCGGGCTCGGACCGGGACAACGTCTTTATCGTCGTCCCGGATTCCTGGACTTTCTCGACAAGGCCGCCGCCGCCGTCACCACGATGGCACCGCTTCTCTACGCCACAGAGGCAACAAGCTTCCTCCGCTTCCGCGGCCTTCCGGGACGTGCGCGCTGCCTCTTTGTCTTTGATCACCCCTGGCACCCTCCCGCTCAGTCCTCCACCCTTGGCTTCGGCTTCGCCCTCGACCGGCCACCTTACGCCGCCCGGGAAACGATATTGCCCTGAGCCTGCCGATACGCCGACGAAGCGACCGTGTCTGCTGCATAAGGCCCCGGTGATCTCGTCTTCCCCTAAGCCCGCCTCCTCTGCTACCCACTCGTTCTCTGTTTCGGCTGCCTCCGCCGCTCATGAGCCGGACAACCCTAAGCCGGGTCCTGACTTACGGGACTCTTCCCTCGATTCCATTGTCGCCCATGGCTTGGGCTCGCCGGCCCGTCCGCTTCGAAACCGCCACCTATCTAAGAAAGCTACGGAAATGGAATAGCGTACGCTGCTATAACTCCTTAAATGGGAAGTGTTTTTCGTCCAGCCTGGCTGCCCCTTGGTCGTCGTTACCTTTCTGCCTCTGTACATCTGTCTGCCCCTTGTCTAGACGTTTTTTTCGTTCCTCAAGGCTCTTTGCGCAACCCTGTTGGGTTGCCTCTCCCGTAAATAAAAATAAATAATGCCCTGCCCCCTTGCTGCCCCTTTTAGTTCCAGCTGCGCAGTTCGCTTCCAACGCCTCCGTAGACCATACGCCGCCGCAGACCACATAGAGGAAGGTGCCCAAGCCGGCCCGGCTTCTAACTCCGCCATAGACCACACGCCTCCACAGACCACCCCCTTCGCCCGTCCTCCTGGCCCTTAACCTACACTCCTTTACGTCAGAAGTGTGGAAAATGCAGGGCGCCTGCGTTACCTGCGGAGCCAGTCGGCCGCCTCCTGTGTTGTCTGCGTGCTAAGCTCCTCTAGCCGGGCCTGCGCTGCCGTCATCTCCTCAGGCACCCGGTTCCCCACTAGGTCCCGCTCCGCACCTCTGATACGAGCATGATGCCGTCGAGCGTCGGGCACCGCGACAGCTGCACGTATAGGCTATACGGGTCGCACGACGACGGCACCGCCCTCCTCGACCGTCGTCATCCTCGCCCCCCGCAGCTCCAGCGCCACGCGCTCTAGCGTCCCGCCCTGCACCTTATAGTCGGTGCAGGCGAAGGCCGCCGCGCACGGCAGGCCCCTCCGGCTGACGTCGTTGCGCTGCCATGGCCGCTTCCGCTGCGCTGTGATCTTGACGCTGATGGGCGTTAGCAGGATCGTCCCGGCAGGCATCCCGACGAAGTGGAAGTCCTGGTCGTCTCCGAGGCCAGCACGATGCCCGCCGGCGGCCCGAAGTGCATGATGAGCTCCGCCGAGACGCGGTGGCCGGGAAGGCGCGGTCGGGGATGACGTCCACCGCCGTGTACCCGGCCCCGTTCACAAGCTTCAGCCCCTGGTGCGTGTTCTGGTTCACGACGACCGGCATGCCTGGCACGAAGAGGAAGACGGCCGGCACCGGGGTCGCGCTGTCGTCGCCCTGGCCTAGCATTAGCACCGCCTCCTCTTCCGTCGGCACGCCGTCCCTCCACTTATGCTCGGAGAGGAAGACGCGCGCCGCCGTCCGCCGCCTCTCCGGAACGCGAGCGCCGCCTCTAGGTTGAGGTTCCAGCGGTTCCGGTTGAGCGGCGTCACCACCGTCAGGCCCGTCTCCCACGGGATCCGCCTGCCCGGCCGGTAGCATCTCGAGTTGAGCAGCTCTAGGTCCGACCGGTCCTGCTCGCCCCGGCGGATCCGCCCGAGCAGCCGCCGCAGCTCCGGGTCGCCGGCGGCCCGCATCTGCTCGTCAGCATGACGACCGTCGTGAAGCGCCGCCACAGCGCGTGCGCCTTGTCGTGCCGCCGCCGCTGCTCGGCCGCGAACGCCCCGTCCTCGTCCCACGCCACCGCCGCGCTCGGCAGCAGGATCGACCGTTCCTGCACCGGCCGGAACTGGTGGAAGTCGCCGCAGAGGATCACTACCGGGATGCCGCCGAAGTCCCGCGCCGACCCCCGCAGCCGGCAGAGCTGCTCGTTGGCGGCGTGCAGCGTCCGCGCCCCGAGCATGCTGACCTCGTCGATCACCAGCACCTCCTTCTCCTGCCAGTCCATCCGCGACCGGCCGTCGACGAAGCGCTCGCCCTGGCCCGCCAGCCGTACGCCGTCAATGTCCTCGTCCCCTCCCGCCCGGCCGCCCTGGCCGACCGTAAGGCCGCAGGCCGAGTGCAGCGTGATGCCGTTGATCCGCGCTGCCGCCGTCCCCGACGTCGCCGTAACCAGTACCCGGCTCGATAGGTCCTCCGGGCGAGCAGCTCGACGAGCGCCTCGATGACGCGCGACTTGCCGGTGCCGCCCTCGCCGCCGATGAATAGGCAGAGCTGGCCACCACCGTCGCCGCCTGCGTCGTCGCCCTGCCGGATTCGGTCGAGTTGCCGGCACACGATTAGGAGGGCGATGGCCTGCTTCTCGTTGAGCGTGAGCTGGCCCGCCAGCTCCTGCCGGCGGCGACGAACGAGCCCGCGGGGCCGAGCCGCACGCCCACCCCCGCCGCCGTGCCTGCGTCTGCGTCGCCGTCGGCCGCCGTTACGTCGATGTCGTCCTCGCCGAAGCCCCCCATCACCCCGCGAAGGCCGCGCCGCGGTCGGCCCCGACGCCCGCCGCCGCCCCGCCGCCCTGGATGCCCTGGATCGCCCGCTCCGCCCCGCGCCGCGCTCCTCTGCTGCGACTTGATGGCCCGCACCTCTTCTTGCCGCGGCAGTGCCGCCCCCGACAGCGCCGAGCCCGGTAGGTTCACCCGCCTGCCTGCCCTCTCGTCCGCCACCACCGTCGCCGCGAGCTCGGCCGCCGACCCGAGCGCCGACTGCTGGAACCGGCAGAGCTGCTGCGTCATCGCTAGCAGCTCTGTTGACTGCGCCGTGACTTGTCCCGCGCTGGCGGCGTTCCGGACGACGTCGATGAGCCGAGCCGCGTCGCCCGCCCCGCCGGCGCGGTATGCCTCCTCGCCCCCTTCGGCCGCCCCCCTGCCTTCGTCGTCGGCCTGCGGCGCCGTCATACCGCCCTCCTCGGCCGTGGCGGCCCACTGCTTGGCGTCGCGCTTCGCGTCCTCCGCCGACCGCCGGAGGAGCTGCACGTTGTCTGCGAGCCGCGCGACCCTCGGCGCCAGCGACTCCCGCGCCCGTGCCCAGATGTTGTTAATGTCGCCTGCCTCCTCGCCGAGGAAGGACTCCACGGCACGAATAGGGCCAGGTGCTGCACCGCCGCCCTAGATGCTGTTAGCCGATGCCCCTAGCTGCTCTGCCTTCCTCTTAGGCGCCCCCCGTCTTATAGTACGCACCTCCGGTGGCACGACTCGTCGTCTTCCTCGCTGAACTCCTTGCTGAGGTATCCGTCGACGCATACAGCCCCCCCGCACCCCGGCCGCCTAAGCGCCTGCCCCCACCCCTCCCCCGCCCCCCAGCTCCCCGCGAGGGGTCCCCCCCCCCAGCCCGCCATACCGTCGGCGCCGCTGCCGTTTTGCTTTAACCTTACAAGCGATGCGTAGTCATAAAGGCAGAGGCCCCGCAGGAGCTCGCCCCGGTGCCGGTAGGCCTCGACGAGAGGGATCTCAGGCCAGCCTCCTCGACGACGACCGTCTCGTCCGGCGCGTCGCCCGTCGCCTCGGCGCCGCTCGCCCGTCGGAGGTGCCGCCACCGGCGGAAGACGGCCCAGTAGAGCTGGTTTGCGTTTATATACGCCCACGCTGAGCCGCTGCTAAACTCCGCCGGGTACCCTAGGAGGTGCGCGATCACCTCGACCTGCGACAGCGGCCGCTCCGTAAAGACTCGATTCGCCGCCTTAAGCAGGAACGTTCTCGTCTTATTCCCCTACGGGGTCCGCCGCCGTCGCTACCCTTCGGCCCCGCCCTCCCGGCCGGCGTCGCGGTCGGCGCCACTTCTGTTGCCCTCTCCCGTCGGCTCTAGCACAGGAAGGAACTCGGCCGCGGCGGCCACACGCTTCCACACCGGGTCCTCTACCTTCGTCGCATAGTTAGTAATATAGTAGATTAGGGCCATGGTCTTGCGCTGCGTCGCGATGAACGAGATGTCGTGGTTGTGTCGTAGCCCCACTGCCATCGCCCTGTTCCACCGGTTCACCATGCTATGCGTCCGCCGGATCTCGAGCACCCCGTCCGCCGTCAGCGCCGTCCTCTCCACCAACCTCCACGGCGCCTTAAACCGGCAGAGGTCCCCTTCCGCGCCCCACGCCGAGCGAGTATTTTACGCAGGTCGCGCTATGCGTATGGATCTGCGTCGCGCCCGCGCAGAAGTTGGCCTCCTCGTCGAAGGTGTCCGTGAAGCGCGCGACGTCGTCGAGCCGCGACGATATGTCCGCCGTGGCCGACCGCTCTGCCTGCATGGCACAGTAACCTTCTGCGTCTAGCTCCTGCGGCCTCGGTTCAGCTTAGGCCCTCAGCCTGCCCCAGATAGGGGCATCGGGTTTGTGTTAAGGCTGCCGCCTTACCTCAGAGAAGACGCTATCTACGTAGCGGACGATGCGCTCCCGGTACGCCGCCTGCTCCTCCGCGTCCGGGCCGGCGAGCGCGTCGCCAATGCCCGCGTTGCCCTTAGCCAGAGGAGCCCGTGGATGTGGAGGGCGCCTCGCTCGTTGGTCTCTACCGCCCGTAGTATGCGCCGACGTGGCCGAACACCGACTCCTCCCCGACGTTGACGTAGTGCTCGAAGAAGAGCGTCATCTCCGGTGGAAGAAGACGGCCGAGCTCATCGGGTCCGATATGGCCAGCCGCGTCCGCTTATACGCGGTCCCTAGGTCACTTAGGAAGGCCTCGGCCTCGTCGGGGTCGCGGCCGCGGTGCGCCGCTAGCCGTAACTTTACTAGGTTCGTAATGTCGTTCGGGTTCAGCGTGAACCAGATAGCCGGCACCCGTACCTAACGATGAGGATAGTATCTTCTTCCGCATACTAAGGCGGCTCTCCTCGACATTGGCTGCCGGTAGCCGAACACGGAGAGGGACCGGAGGAGCTCTTTACCCCGTCGTCGCTAGTCTTACCTGTGGCCTCGAGCTCGGCCTGGCCGCCTCGAGCCTCTGCGCCGTTAACGACTTTAGTAGGCCCTCGACCCTTGCGAAGTTCTTCCTCGCTACGCCTAGCATGCTGGCCTGGCGGTTCTTAGACCGCACGCCCATGTTAAAGACAAGGAAGGCGAAGATAGGGTGCGTCGCGAACCGGCCGCCGTGACGCCGCAGCACGACGTCGGCCCATGCCTGAGCTTCATGTTCCGCGTCGACATAAGGCCCTCTGCAACCCGCTCCGCCTGGGCGCCCTGGTTCCCGACGCTAGGCCCGCGCTCTCCCGCGGCGTCCTCGTCGGCGAGCCTCGGCCCGCCCAAGCCAAAGGGGAACAGGGTCGGAAAGGCCTTTGCAAAGAAGGAGGCGTCCGCCGAGTCGGCGAAATCCTCGCCGCGTCGCACCTGTATGTACGGCTCGCCGTCGCCGCCGTCGCCCGCCGCCCTCTGGCCGCCGTCCCTACCCACGTCCTCGGCTGGCGCGCGCTCCTCGGGCCCGACCGCGTCGCGGGCGAAGCGAATCTTCTCGGCGTCGGCCACATCTGGCGCCCCATCTAACGGGAACATGCCGGAAGACGTTACCTCATTGATTACGTCCCCGTCCTCTTCGGGCCTAGCGCCGTCCCTGTCGTCGTCCTCGCACGTGAGCCCGACGTCGCGGCTCCCCTCGGCGGGGTCCTGGCCCTGCCTTAGCATCGCGAGGATTTCCTCGATCTCGGCCGCGCCTCCGTCGTCCATGGCCCGCTCCGACGGCGGCACCACCTGCGCCGTCTGCGTCCTCTCCCGCGCCGACGGCTCGTTTCGCTCCAGCCGCTCGCACACCACCGGCGGCACCGTGCGGCGGCGCCCCAGCTGGCTATCTCCGCCGCGTCGATCTCGACCTCGCCGTAGAGCGGGTTGTTCTCCTGAGCCAGGCCAGCGCCCTCTCGACCGCCGACCGCCTTACCGACAGCAGGCCTGATAGGTCCCGCGGCCCGGGCCTCTCAGCGCCCTGCCACGAGACGTGGATCTCGTCCATGACCCGGACCAGCGGGTGCGGCAGCACCTGGCAGCCAGGCCCTGCACGTCGTTCGGGAACACCGTGATATGGCCCTTGACGTGCCTCGGGTACCTCACGCTCTGCCTCTGGCCGCCGGGGATGCTATACTTCGTCACGAAGCCGTAGCACGAGTTGAGCGAGATGAGCTTCTCCTCGAGCGGCGTGAGGTCCTTTAGCTCGTCGGGGTACGCGTGCTCGCAGCCGAGCCGCCCATGGAGGTGCATGGCCGGCGACGCCCCCTCACGCCCGGCCCATCGCGCGCACTCTGCGCAGACCGCCACCGGCCTGCCCTCCGGGAAGCAGGCTTGGCACCCGAACGGGGACCGCCCGCCCCGCAACACCGCTCCGCGACCACCCTCCCACCCTCCCACGCCATCTCCTCAGCTCCCCTTGGCCCGCTTCCGGTAGCATAGCGTGCAGGTCGCGATCGGCAGCGTGCCAGCGTCGTGGAACGCCCGGTAGAACTTCCGCACCGTCCTCACCTGCCTCTCGCGCGGCACCGGCGCACACCACGTCTGCTCGTTGGCCAGCCTCTCGCCCGCCTCGAACTCCTCGTCGAGGTGCCGCAGCGCGCTGGCTAGGTCCTCGGCCTGCAGCTCCTTGGTCTCGGCACCTTTCACCGACCCGGGCGCGTTTCCGCTCGGCCTGCCCACTACTAAGATGGCGTTTCCTCTTCTGCTCTTCCTCGCCTGCCGTCTTATCGCCGATCTACCTGCGTCCGGTTAGCTATCACCGCTACACGCCTTTACCTCGCTCTACGACCGTACCTGCCGAGGCGCTATCTCTGCCGCCAACAAGCAGCCCGGCTGCGGCCGGAGTTGTGGCGGGGATCTCGGCCCTGCTGGCCGGCCGGGACTGGATGGCTCGCGGCGAGTGCTGGCTTCCGATCGAGACTACGGCCGAGCTAGTCCCGCTTGACGGCGGCGAAGGGCCGGCGGCCCTCCAAGTCGGTTGTGGCCGAATATCCCGCGGAACGTCCGAACTTCTCGTCGGCGGCGGCGAGGCCCGGCGGCCTCCACCGTCGGCAGAGGCCGGATTTCCTCGGTGCGCGCTGGCTTTTCCTGAGGCCGAGACGGCGCTAGGCCCGCCTTGCGGCAGCCGGCGCCCTGCCGCCGTCGGTGTCGACAGAGCCTGGATATCCCGCGGCGCGTCCGAACTTCTCGTCGGCGGCGAAGGGCCGGCGGCCCTCCATGTCGGCTGTGGCCGAATGTCCCGCGGAACGTCCGAACTTCTCGTCGGCGGCGGCGAAGGACCGGCGGCCTCTACTGTCGGCAGAGGCCGGATTTCTCTTGGTGCGCGCTGGCTTTTCCTGAGGCCGAGACGGCGCTGGGCACGCCTTGCGGCAGCCAGTGCCCTGCCGCCCTCGGTGTCGGCGGCAGCCAAGTTGCCGCCGCGCTTGGTGTCGGCCGAGGCTGGATATCCCGCGGCATGACTCGGCCTGCGCTGATCCTCCATCTCCTAGTCCTGGCGGTCTTCCCGCCCTCGCCTCGGAGGCGCCTCCTTGACGCCTCTTCTTGCTCTCCGAGGGCGCCGCTAGCAAGTGCCGGCGCTGCTGTGGTCGGCTGGAACTCTGGTCCTGTGTACGGCGCTGCGCAGGCTTCTGGCGCCGGGCTTGCCCCGTCCCCCGCTCCGGACTGGTCCCTTCCGTTGGCTGGCTTCATTGCGACACCGGTCTACCAAAGCCCCACGGACGTCTTGTCTTCCTCTTTGCACCTGCCCTCTTTGGCCCTGCCTACTTATGGTGCCACTAGGCCTGGCGTAAATCCTCGTAAGTGTAATAACAGCGTATAAATCCTTGCCTCGATTATTCGCCCTGCACTTATCTTGCTGACTGGCACCCTCTTGCGCATATAGGATCCTCTACAAAAGTCTATATATCTTACTCGTAGCTCTCTACTATATCTATATGCGTGCTGCTGCTCTTGCATTATACCGGCGCCGCCTTTCTATTAAGCCCGCCCGCCATTGCCTGCTGCTATATGCGATAGGCTAGACGGCCTCGGCCGATCCTTATATGTACGTCGCCGCGACGGCTTCTTCTTGCCTATGCTTTGCATGCTACGCTTTTCCTTCTTGTCATCCAGCTCTTATCAGTCAAAGCTTCCGTATGCCCCTAGACACTTGCCCGCTGAAGTTTAAAACCATGTCTTACACGTGTTGCGAATAGGGCTGCCTGCTTCTCCTCGAATATAGCTTCGCGCGTCCTGCTTGTCTTAAAACTCTCAACATCTTACTAGACCGCCTTTTAAAGTTCTCCCTTCTCTTATTGCACTCTCCTCTATACGCATCTTATAACCCTCTTTTACAAAGGCTCCTTATATAACCTACCACTAACGCCATGTTGCGTCTTTGTTTAGAATCCTTTGACTTCTCTTACACACCATCGCCACTGGCCCTTCTCTTTTACACTAAACTTCCCACCCGGCCCTTGCCGATACGCCCATGAAGAGGGCGCGCTTGCAGCAGCAGAATTCGCCGCCTTCCTCGTCTTCGGACACCGTCAGCTCCGCCGCCCCCTCCTCCTCCCCCGCCGGCCGCTTCTTCGTCTCGACCGAGCGGCGTCCCGCCCGTTCCTGCTCCGGCAGCCAAGCCGGGTTCCTCTTGACTCTATTGTCGCGAGCACCTCCGACCCGCCCGCTCGACCTATCCGCTATCGCATGCAGAAATGAGCTGCCTACTATAAACCTATCGCTCTCTTACGCCTCTTGCCTTTACTAAAATAAACCGTTCTCCCTCTCGAGATGCTATTCCTAACGAAACTTATCGCTGCAAAATTACCATTACTCTACACATTACAACGTTTATCTCTTTTTTGAAACAACAACTTTAGCTTGCGACCTATTTCTTACGATAGTGCCTGCCTCTATTTGTTCTCCGTGACCTTGTTTATGTCCTGCGCGTTATGCCTTGTCCCTTTTACTTTCCTTCCCTCCTCTCCCTAGCTCCCTAGCTTGCCTTTGCCTTGCATCCCTTCTTGTGCACCTTCCAGTCCTCCTTTTGGTGTTGCCTGCTGCAGTACGCCACCGTCAGGCATCGGCTGCACCTCCTCGCCCCCGCCATCTCTCCACAAACCCGGCAGACCTTCCCCTCTGTGCTCTGCGCATCCTGCCCTTGCATTTGCGTCGCGCCCTTGTTTCCGCCCGCCTGCCCCGCCTCTGCCATCTTGTCCTGCATTTCCTGCCTCGTCCTAATTTCGCATCCTTCTTTGCCGCAGAACGACGACACGACCACGAGCACAAACGGCCTCTCTGCGTGTAGGTACGATATCGGGCTCTGTAGAATCTCCTTTGCGAGTCCGCCGCAGCTCTCGCAGCGCACCCCTGCTGCCTTCCGACACGCTGCCTCGTGCTCCCGTAGGATCGGCCTTATCCACTGTAGGAACAGTGCACTGGCTGCGTGGTTCGGCCTCGCCTGGCTACCTGCGTCACGAGCGTCTTCGGGATGCTATGCTTGTACTTCAGCTCCGTGGCCCCGAATTCGCACCAGAACTCCACGGAAACGTTGCAAGTGGCCATGCTGTAGTTGTTTTCCTAACTGCTCGATCGGTAGCTAGGGTAGACGCTTCTGCTCTTGTTCTCCTATTCGTGCCTTGGCGCCCCTCTTATGCTCCCTTCCTCTCGCTTACCCCGCAATCGTCATCACCGCTTTACTTGCCTTCTTGCTTTTTCTGCCTCTTCCCCGCGGCGGGATGGTGCCCGAATGGTCGCTTTCTTTACCTACCTTTTTTGCATGTTTTAGTTCCTAGCGCTACCGCCTGCTTGCGTTCTTTCTCTCACCCTGTCTTTGTCTTGTTTGTCTCTCCAATCTTCGGCCTTCGTTCCTCAAGGCTCTTTGCGCAACCCATGAAGGGTTGCCTTACCTGTGACGAAAAGGTTCTTCTGGTTCCTCCCCGGGGAGAAAGAAAAAAAAAACGCCGCCATCAACTTCCCCCCCCCTAAATGCCGCCCTCTGATTCGTCGGCTGCCGTCCTCTAATTCGTCGGCTTGCTCTCTTCAGATTGGTTTAAAAATACAACCTCACCGCTCTCGTCGCCGCCCCTTTTTGCCCTCTTTCCTTGAAGCCCGTCTTCTTTCCTGGCCCTTTCTTTCAAGCTCGCCCCGAATACGCCCTTTCCTCTTTGCCCCTCCTGGCCCTTGACCTGTGCTCCTTTTACGTCGGTAGCTACGGCAAGCCCGCTAGCCTAGAGCCGGCTGGCCTGTGAAGTCTAAATCTCCGCCTTTGCGGTCCGTCTATATTAGACACGCACCCGTCGATGTCCATTAACTACCTTGAGATTGTTGCTCGTATTTCTATCTATCTACGTTACGCCTTCCCATACTTTTGCTTTCTCCGCCCCTGATTGTGTGCTAGGCTAGTCGTCCCAAGGGCAGGATCTCCTCCGCTGCGAGCGAGACGCCTACGCCGCCCGCGTTACCCGCGGAGCCAGTCGGCCGCCTCCTGCGTCGTCTGCCTGCTAAGCTCCTCTAGCCGGGCCTGCGCTGCCGTCATCTCCTCGGGCACCCGGTTCCCGACTAGATCCCGCTCCCGCACCTCCGATACGAGCATGATGCCGTCGAGCGTCGGGCACCGCGACAGCTGCACGTACAGGCTGTACGGGTCGCACGGCGACGGCACCGCCCTCCCCTCGACCGTCGTCATCCTCGCCCCCCGCAGCTCCAGCGCCACGCGCTCCAGCGTCCCGCCCTGCACCTTGTAGTCGGTGCAGGCGAAGGCCGCCGCGCACGGCAGGCCCCTCCGGCTGACGTCGTTGCGCTGCCACGGCCGCTTCCGCTGCGCCGTGATCTTGACGCTGATGGGCGTCAGCAGGATCGTCCCGGCCGGCATCCCGACGAAGTGGAAGTCCCTCGTCGTCTCCGAAGCCAGCACGATGCCCGCCGGCGGCCCGAAGTGCATCGTCAGCTCGGCCGAGACCCGGTGGCCGGGGAAGGCCCGGTCGGGGATGACGTCTACCGCCGTGTAGCCGGCCCCGTTCACTAGCTTCAGCCCCTGGTGCGTGTTCTGGTTCACGACGACCGGCATGCCCGGCACGAAAACGAAGACGGCCGGCACCGGCGTCGCGCTGTCGTCGCCCTGGCACAGCATTAACACCGCCTCCTCCTCCGTCGGCAGGCCCTCCCTCCACTTGTGCTCGGACAGGAATATGCGCGCCGCCGTCCGCCGCCGCGCCCGGAACGCGAGCGCCGCCTCTAGGTTGAGGTTCCAGCGGTTGCGGTTGAGAGGCGTGACCACCGTCAGGCCCGTCTCCCACGGGATCCGCCTGCCCGGCCGGTGGCACCTCGAGTTGAGCAGCTCTAGGTCCGACCGGTCCTGCTCCCCCCGGCGGATGCGCCCGAGCAGTCGCCGCAGCTCCGGGTCGCCGGCGGCCCGCATCTGCTCGTCCAGCATGACGACCGTCGTGAACCGCCGCCACAGCGCGTGCGCCTTGTCGTGCTGCCGCCGCTGCTCGGCCGCGAACGCCCCGTCCTCGTCCCACGCCACCGCCGCGCTCGGCAGCAGGATCGACCGCTCCTGCACCGGCCGGAACTGGTGGAAGTCGCCGCAGAAGATCACCACCGGGATGCCGCCGAAGTCTCGCGCCGACCCCCGCAGCCTGCACAGCTGCTCGTTGGCGGCGTGCAGCGTCCGCGCCCCGAGCATGCTGACCTCGTCGATCACCAGCACCTCCTTCTCCTGCCAGTCCATCCGCGACCGGCCGTCGACGAAGCGCTCGCCCTGGCCCGGCAGCCGTACGCCGTCTACGTCCCTCGTCGCCCCTCCCGCCCGGCCGCCCTGGCCGACCGTAAGGCCGCAGGCCGAGTGTAGTGTGATGCCGTTGATCCGTGCTGCCGCCGTGCCCGACGTCGCCGTCACCAGCAGCCGGCTCGATAGGTCCCTCCGGGCGAGCAGCTCGACGAGCGCCTCGATGACGCGCGACTTGCCGGTGCCGCCCTCGCCGCCGATGAACAGGCAGAGCTGGCCGCCGCCATCGCCGCCTGCGTCGTCGCCCTGCCGGATTCGGTCGAGCTGCCGGCATACGATTAGGAGAGCGATGGCCTGCTTCTCGTTGAGCGTTAGCTGCCCCGCCAGCTCTGCCGGCGGCGACGAACGAGCTCGACGGGCCGAGCCGCACGCGCATCACCGCCGCCGTGCCAGCGTCTACGTCGCCGTCGGCCGCCGTTACGTCCATGTCGTCCTCGCCGAAGCCCCCCATCACCCCGCGAAGAGCCGCGCCGCGGTCGGCCCCGACGCCCGCCGCCGCCCCGCCGCCCTGGATGCCCTGGATGGCTCGCTCCGCCCCGCGCCGCGCTCCTCTGCTGCGACTTGATGGCCCGCACCTCTTCTTGCCGTGGCAGCGCCGCCCCGAGAGCTCCGAGCCCGGTAGGTTCACCCGCCTGCCTGCCCTCCTCCGCCACTACCGTCGCCGCGAGCTCGGCCTCCGACCCCAGCGCCGACTGCTGGAACCGGCAGAGCTGCTGCGTCATCGCTAGCAGCTCTGTTGACTGCGCCGTGACTTGTCCCGCGCCGGCGGCATTCCGATCGACGTCGACGCGCGGGGCCGCGTCGCCCGCCCCGCCGGCGCGGTACGCCTCCTCGCCCCCCTCGGCCGCCCCCCTTCCTTCGTCGCCGGCCTGCGGCGCCGTCATACCGCCCTCCTCGGCCGTGGCGGCCCACTGCTTGGCGTCGCGCTTCGCGTCCTCCGCCGACCGCCGGAGGAGCTGCACGTTGTCTGCGAGCCGCGCGACCCTCGGCGCCAGCGACTCCGCGCCCGCGCCCAGATGTCGTTGATGTCGCCTGCCTCCTCGCCGAGGAAGGACTCCCACGGCACGAATAGGGCCAGGTGCTGTACCGCCGCCCTAGGCGCTGTTAGCCTCCCCGTCTTATGGTGCGCACCTTCGGTGGCACGACTCGTCGTCTCCCTCGCTAAACTCCTTGCTGAGGTATTCGTCGAGGCATACGGTCGCCCCGCTACCCGGCCGCCTAAGCGCCTGCACCCAGCCCTTCCCCGACGCCCAGCTCTCCGCGAAGGGTACCTCGCCCCAGCCCGTCCCACCGTCGGCGCCGCGGCCGTTTCGCTTTAGCCTTACGAGCGATGCGTAGTCATAAAGGCAGAGGCCCCGTAGGAGCTCGCCCCTGTGCCGGTAGGCCTCGACGAGGGGGATCCTCGGCCCGGCCTCCTCGACGACGACCGTCTCGTCCGGCGCGTCGCCCGTCGCCTCCGCGCCGCTCGCCCGTCGGAGGTGCCGCCACCGGCGGAAGACGGCCCAGTAGAGCTGGTTCGCGTTCACGTACGCCCACGCCGAGCCGCTGCTAAATTCTGCCGGGTACCCTAGGAGGTGCGCGATCACCTCGACCTGCGACAGCGGCCGCTCCGTAAATACTCGGTTCGCCGCCTTGAGCAGGAACGTTCTCGTCTTGTTCCCCTGGGGTCCGCCGCCGTCGCCACCCCTTCGGCCCCGCCCCTCGGCCGGCGTCGCGGTCGGCGCCACTTCCGTTGCCCTCTCCCGTCGGCTCTAGCGCGGAAGGAACTCGGCCGCGGCGGCCACACGCTTCCACACGGGTCCTCTACCTTCGTCGCATAGTTGGTAATGTAGTAGATTAGGGCCATGGTCTTGCGCTGCGTCGCGATGAACGAGATGTCGTGGTTGTGCCGTAGTCCTACTGCCATCGCCCGGTTCCACCGGTTCACCATGCTATGCGTCCGCCGGATCTCGAGCACCCCGTCCGCCGTCAGCGCCGTCCTCTCCACCAGCCTCCACGGCGCCTTGAACCGGCAGAGGTCCCCCTTCCGCGCCCTCGCGCCGAGCGAGTATTTTACGCAGGTCGCGCTATGCGTGTGGATCTGCGTCGCGCCGGCGCAGAAGTTGGCCTCCTCGTCGAAGGTGTCCGTGAAGCGCGCGACGTCGTCGAGCCGCGACGATATGTCCGCCGTGGCCGACCGCTCCGCCTGCACGGCGCAGTAACCTTCTGCGTCTAGCTCCTATAGCCTCGGGTCAGCTCGGGGCCCTTCGGCCTGCTACGGATGGGGGCTTAGGGGGGGTTATCATCTTAAGGCGGCCGCCTTACCTCGGAGAAGACGCTATCTACGTAGCGGACGATGCGCTCCCGGTACGCCGCCTGCTTCTCCGTATCGGGGCCGGCGAGCGCCTCGCCAAGGCCCGCGTTGCCCCAGCCAGAGGAGCCCGTGGATGTGGAGAGCGCCTCGCTCGTTGGTCTCGACCGCCCCGTAGTACGCGCCGACGTGCCCGAACACCGACTCCTCCCCGACGTTGACGTAGTGCTCGAAGAAGAGCGTCATCTCCCGGTGGAAGAAGACGGCCGAGCTCATCGGGTCCGATATGGCCAGCTGGGTCCGCTTATACGCGGTCCCTAGGTCTCGTAGGAAGGCCTCGGCCTCGTCCGGGTCGCGGCCGCGGTGTGCCAGCCGCAACTTTACCAGGTTTGTAATGTCGTTCGGGTTCAGCGTGAACCAGATGGCCGGCACCCCGTGCCTTATGATGAGGGATAGTATCTTCTTCCGCATACTAAGGCGGCTCTCCTCGACATCGGCTGCCGGTAGCCGAACACGGAGAGGACCGGATGAGCTCCTTTACCCCGTCGTCGCTAGTCTTGCCCGTGGCCTCGAGCTCGACCCTCGCCGCCTCGAGCCTCTGCGCCGTTAACGACTTTAACAGGCCCTCGACCCTTGCGAAGTTCTTCCTCGTGACGCCTAGCATGCTGGCCTGGCGGTTCCTAGACCGTACGCCCATGTTAAAGACGAGGAAGGCGAAGATAGGTGCGTCGCGAACCGGCCGCCGTGGCGCCGCAGCACGACGTCGGCCCATGCTTGAGCTTCATGTTCCGCGTCGACATAAGGCCCTCCGCGACCCGCTCCGCCTGCGTGCCCTGGTTCCCGACGCTAGGCCCGCGCTCTCCCAGTGGCGTCCTCGTCGGCGAGCCTCGGCCCGCCTAAGCCAAAGGAACAGGGTCGGAAAGGCCTTTGCGAAGAAGGAGGCGTCCGCCGAGTCGGCGAAATCCTCGCCGCGCCGCACCTGTATGTGCGGCTCGACGTCGCCGCCATCGCCCTCCGCCTCTCGGGCCGCAGTCCCTACCCACGTCCTCGGGCCGGCGCGCGCTCCCTCGGGCCCGACGGCACCGCGGGCGAAGCGAATCTTCTCAGCATCGGCCACCTCTGGCGCCCCGTCCAACGGGAACATGCCGGAAGACGTCACCTCGTTGATTACGTCCCCGTCCTCTTCGGGCCTAGCGCCGTCCCCGTCGTCGTCCTCGCACGTGAGCCCGACGTCACGGCTCCCCTCGGTGGGGTCCCGCCCCTGCCTCAGCATCGCGAGGACCTCCTCGATCTCGACCGCACCCTCGTCGTCCATGGCCCGCTCCGACGGCGGCACCACCTGCGCCGTCCGCGTCCTCTCCCGCGCCGACGGCTCGCTTCGCTCTAGCCGCTCGCACACCACTGGCGGCACCCGTGCGGCGGCGCCCCCAGCTGGCCATCTCCGCCGCGTCGATCTCGACCTCGCCGTAGAGCGGATTGTTCTCCTTGAGCCAGGCTAGCGCCCTCTCCACCGCCGACCGCCTTACCGACAGCAGGCCCGATAGGTCGCGCGGCCCGGGCCTCTCGGCACCCTGCCACGAGACGTGGATCTCGTCCATGACCCGGAGCAGCGGTGCGGCAGCACCTAGCGGCTAGGCCCTGCACGTCGTTTGGGAACACGGTAATGTGGCCCTTGACGTGCCTCGGGTACCTCACGCTCTGCCTCTGACCGCCCGGGATGCTGTACTTCGTCACGAAGCCGTAGCACGAGTTGAGTGAGATGAGCTTCTCCTCGAGCGGCGTGAGGTCCTTCAGCTCGTCGGGGTACGCGTGCTCGCAGCCGAGCCGCCCGTGGAGGTGCATGGCCGGCGACGCCCTCGCGCCCGGCCCATCGCGCGCACTCTACGCAGACCGGCACCGGCCTGCCCTCCGGGAAGCAGCTTCGGCATCCGAACCGGGACCGCCCGCCCCCCGCAACGCTGCTCCGCGACCACCCCTCCCACGCCATCTCCCTCAGCTCCCCCTTGGCTCGCTTCCGGTAGCATAGCGTGCAGGTCGCGATCGGCAGCGTGCCTGCGTCGTGGAACGCCCGGTAGAACCTCCGCACCGTCCTCACCTGCCTCTCGCGCGGCACCGGCGCGCACCACGTCTGCTCGTTGGCCAGCCTCTCGCCCGCCTCGAACTCCTCGTCGAGGTGCCGCAGCGCGCTGGCCAGGTCCTCGGCCTGCAGCTCCTTCGTCTCGGCATCTTTTCACCCACCCTGGCGCGTTTCCGCCCGGCCTGCCCACTACTAAGATGGCGTTTCCTCTTCTGCTCGTCTCGCCTGGCGTCTTATCGCCGCTCTACCTGCGTCCGGTTAGCTATCACCGTCACACGCCTTCACCTCGCTCTACGACCGTACCTGCCGGTGCGCTATCTCTGCCGCTAACAAGCGGCCCGGCTGCGGGGAGTTGTGGCGGGGCCTCGCCCTGCTAGCCGGCCGGGACTGGATGGCTCGCGGCACGTGCTGGCTTCCGGCCGAGACTACGGCCGGGCTAGTCCCGCTCGACGGCGGCGAAGGCCCGGCGGCCCTCCATGTCGGCTGGGGCCAGGTATCCTGCGGAGCCCCCTTGCTTCCGGCCGAGGCTGTAGCCAAACCTATCCCGTTCGACGGCAGTGAAGGACCGGCGGCCCTCCATGTCGGCTGGGGCCGAATGTCCCGTGGAGCGTCCGAACTTCTCGTCTGCGGCGGCGAGGGCCGGCGGTCTCCGCCGTCGGCAGAGACCGGATTTCTCTCGGTGCGCGCTGGCCTTTCCTGAGGCCGAGACGGCGCTGGGCCCGCCCAGCGGCAGCCAGTGCCCCGCCGCCCTCGGTGTAGGCGGCAGCCGTTGCCGCCGCACTCGGTGTCGGCTGAGGCTGGATATCCCGCGGCGCGACTCGGCCTGCGCTGATCCTCCATTTCCCTAGTCCTGGCGGTCTTCCCCTCGCCTCGGAGGCGCCTCCTTGACGCCTCTTCTTGCTCTCTCGAGAGGCGCCGCGACCGAGTGCCGGCGCTGCTGTGATCGGCCGGATCTCTGGTCCTGTGTACGGCGCTGCTCGGGCTTCTGGCGCCGGGCTTGCCCTGTCACCCGCTCCGGACTGGACCCTCCGTTAGCTGGCTTCATCGCGACACCGGTCTACCGAGGCCCCGCGGACCTCTTGTCTTCCTCGCTTGCGCTGCCCTCTCCGGCCCCGCCTACTTGCGGTGCTACTGGGCTCCCGGCGTAAATCCTCGTAAGTGTAGTAACGGCGTATAAGTCCTTGCCTCGACCATTCATCCTGCACTTGTCTTGCTGACTGGCACCCTCCTGTGCGTACAGGATCCTCTAGGAAAGTCTATATATCTTACTCGTAGCTCTCTAGTACGTCTACAGGCGTGCCGCTGCTCTTTACATTATACCGGCGCCGCCTTTCTATCGAGCCTGCTATTGCCCGCCGCTGAAGGCGGCGGGCTATACGGCCTCGGCCGGTCCTTACATGTAGGTCGCCAAGACAGCTTCTTCTTGCCTGTGCTTTGCATGGTACACTTTTTCCGTCTTGTCATCTAGGTCTTGTCGGTCAAAGCCTCAGTACGCCCCTAGACGCTCGCCTGCTGAATTTTGAACCCATGTCTTACACGTGTTGCGAATAAGTCTGCCTCCTTCTCCTCGAACATAGCTTCGCGCGTCCTGCTTGTCTTAAAACCCTCAACGTCTTACTAGACCGCCTTTCGAAGTTTCCTCTTCTCCTCTTGTCGCATTGTTCTATATACGCATCTTATAGACCTCCTTTATATAGGCTCCTTATCTTAGCCTACCGCTGACGCTACGTTGCTTCTTCGTTTAGGATCCTTTGACTTCTCTTATACACCACGGCCATTAGCCCTTCCCTACTACACTAAACTCTTAAGACGGCATATTGGTAGGGAGCACTCCTGCCCCTATTCCTCGCCGCTTATAGCTTCGCTCCGGCAACGTTGCTCTTCCACTACACGGCCTCGCCATGTCTTCGTCTCCGTCGGCGGACAGCTCTGCCCCGCACCTCCGCAAGCCCCTTGTCACTAGCAAGGGCGCGGGCGGCGACATGTCCATGATGTTCTTCGCCCAGCCTGACTGCCCCGCGAGGTTTGCCCACCAGGACGAGCACCGCATCAGAGGCCTTAACGCCGAAGCCATCGCCCGAGTCCTCCTGCCGGTGCCCTCGTGGCTGCTAGAGTCGGAGTATGCACCCCTCCGGGCCGAGGGCGACGATCTAGGGCCCTCCCTCTTCTTTAGTCTAAACCTCTCCATCTACGGCCAGCCGGTCGTCGATACAGACTGGTCCGAGCAGTGGTTCTTTATGAGCGGCCGCGTTCACCCCTACGCCCTCTCCTGGGAGGTGGAGCGCCGCGACGGGCTCGAGGCCGGCCCGGACGATACTATTCTCTACACCGTGCCCGCCCTTATTGTCCGCGACCAAGGTTACCAGCCGTGGGCCCCCCTCCCCTTTTCATTTTAATGCGCCTCCTCACCCACCGCCCCGCTGACTTTGCCCCCTAGCGTCCTGCCGCGCTCCTTGGCCTCTAGCGGCCAGTTCCCGTCTACGCCTCCCGTTGTCTCCTTCCATGGCGCAGTAGCCGGGCCTGGCCTCGACCTCCTACGTCCAGACTTCCTGCCCGGTCTCGGGCCCGACCAGCTCCGCTGCTGCGGCTTCGTCCGGCTCACGACCTACATCGCCCCTGGCCTGCCGGACAGGATTCCATTTAAGGGCTACCACCCCTTCGAGGTCTTTGTTATCTTTCCGTCTACGTTAACCCTTGGGCCGTGCTATGCAAGAAAATCGCTGAAAAGCCTAACTCTTCCTTCCTGCCCGGCGTCCCTTTACCTGCACCGGAAAGGTCGTCGGCCTTCTCGACCACCGCGTTATGCTCTCCCCGGGCTCGGAGCGCGATTACGTCTTTATCATCGTCCCGGACAGCTGGACCTTTGTCGATAGGCCCGGCCGCCGCCGCCGCCTCGGCTTCCCCCCTCGCTACGCCCCTTAGGCGCCAGACCCCATCCGCCTCCTCTACCTTCGATTCCGTCCGCGCCGCCTTGTACTCCGTTGCCGCGCCGGCCTCGGCCACGTCGGCCCCCCCTTCCTCGGCCTCGGCCCCGACCGCCCCCGACCCCGTCACGCCGCCGCCTAAGCGCTCCCACCCGGCCCTTGCCGATACGCCCATGAAGAGGGCGCGCTTACTACAGCAGCAGCATTCGCCGCCTTCTTCGTCTTCGGACACCGTCGGCCCCGCCGCCCCCTCCTCCTGTCCCCCGCCAGCCGCTTCTTCGTCTCGACTGGACGGCATCCCGCCCGCTCCCGCTCCCGCTCCCCCGCCTTCCCTTCTCGACTCTATCGTCGCGAGCACCTCCGACCCGCCCGCTCGCCCTCTCCGCTATCGCATGCAGAAATAAGCTGCCTACTATAAACCAATCGCTCTCTTACGCCTCCTGCCTTTACTAAAATGGAACGGGATACTATTCCTAACGCAGCTTGTCGCTGCAAAATTACTATTACTCTACGCATTGCCACGTTTCTCCCTTTATTAAAGGACAGTTTTGGCTTGCGAACCCGTTTCTTACAACACTGCCTGCCTCTAGACGTTCTCCGTGACCTTGTTAATGTCCCATGCGTTGCGCCTCGCCCCTTCTCTTTCCCTTCCTTACCATTCCCTTCTCTCTCCTTGCCAGCTTGCCGCCGCACCTCTCAGTTGCGTTTAGCGGCGACGGGGGCCCTGTAGTTGCGCCTCGCAAAGGGGCGTCTTTGTTATCTTACATTCCGTTCCTTAGTTGTGCAAGTCATAGGGACGAGGGTCGCCGAAATCGGCGGTTGGTTCTACAAGGGCCGTTGCGGCGTGTGAGGCTGGCCTTAAGGCCGCCTCGACGGCGTTGCTTGCTTCCCCTCACTAGCTCCCTAGCTTGCCTTTGGCTTGCATCCCTTCTTGTGTACCTTCCAGTCCTCCTTTTGGTGTTGCCTGCTGCAATACGCGACCGCCAGGCATCGGCTGCACCTCCTCGCCCCCGCCATCTCTCCACAAACCCGGCAGACCTTCCCCTCTGTGCTCTGTGCATCCTGCCCTTGCATTTGCTTTGCGCCCATGCTTCCGTCCGCCTGCCCCGCCTCTGCCATCGTGTCCTGCATTTCCTGCCTCGCCCTTATTTCGCATCCTTCTTGACCGCAGAATGACGACACGACCACGAGCACAAACGGCCTCTCTGCATGTAGGTACGATATCGGGCTCTGTAGAATCTCCTTTGCGACTTCGCCGCAACTCTCGCAGCGCGCCCCTGCTGCCTTCCGACACGCCGCCTCGTGCTCCCGTAGGATCGGCCTTATCCACTGTAGGAACAGTGCGCTGGCTTCGTGGTTCGGCCTCGCCTGGCCTACCTGCGTCACGAGCGTCTTCGGATGCTATGCTTGTACTTGAGCTCCGTGGCCCCGAATTCGCACCAGAACTCCACGGAAACGTTGCAAGTGGCCATGCTGTAGTTGTTTTCCTAACTGCTCGATCGGTAGCTAGGGTAGACGCTTCTGCTCTCCTATTCGTGCCTTGGTGCCTCTCTTATACTCCCTTCCTCTCTTACCCCGCAACCGTTATCATCGCTGTATTTGCCTTCTTGCTTTTTCTCCCTCTTCCCGCTGCGGGATGGTGCCCGAATGGCCAATTTATTTGCCTACCTTCTTGCATGCATTAGTTCCTGGCGCTACCGCCTGCTTGCGTTCTTTGCTCTCGCCCTCTGTCTTCGTCTTGTTTGTCTCAACCTCAGTCTTCGTTCCTCAAGGCTTTTTGCGCAACCCATGAGGGGTTGCCTTACCTGTTTTTTTTTCCCCCAAACTCCCGTCCTCTGATTGGTCGGGTTCCTCCCTTTTGATTGGTCGGAAAGGAAATTATCATGGTTTGAACGCTTCCCCGCAACCTCGACTGCTTACCGCTCCTTCCTCCGGCCTCCTTTTTTTCTGATGGAACGGCCCTGTTTCGTCCGCCCTCTCGGCCGCCTATCACTCCTAGCCGGGCCCTTTGCCTTTCTTTTGGGGTGTCTTGGAAAAAGACGTATAAAACTTGCCCCCGCCGAGGTTTTGTGAGAACGGTGGTTCTGCGGCTCGGGCCTAATGAGGAAATAGTTGGGCGTTCTATCTATTTATCCCCCCCCAGTCTCGTCTTGTCCCTCCCCGCGGCCCCGGGAGGTCATCGCCGAGCCAGCGTAGCGCCTCCCGACGGTCCTCTCACTGAGCCTCTCTAGCCGTGCCTGCGCCGCCGTCATCTCCTCGGGCACCCTGTTCCTACCAGGTCCCTCTCCCGCACCTCCGACACGAGCATGATGCCGTCGAGCGTCGGGCACCGCGATAGCTGCACGTATAGGCTATACGGGTCGCACGGCGACGGTACCGCGCGCCCGTCGACGGTCGTCGTCCTCGCCCCCCGGAGCTCCAGCGCCACGCGCTCCAGCGTCCCGCCCTGCACCTTGTAGTCGGTGCAGGCGAAGGCCGCGGCGCACGGCAGGCCCTCCGGCTAACGTCGTTCCGCTGCCACGGCCGCTTCCGCTGGGCCTGGATCTTGACGCTGATGGGCGTCAGCAGGATCGTCCCGGACGGCATCCCCACGAAGTGGAAATCCTTGGTCGTCTCCGAGGCCAGCACCATGCCGACCGGCGGCCCGAAGTGCATTGTCAGCTCCGCCGAGACCCGGTGGCCGGGGAAGGCCCGGTCGGGTATGACGTCGACCGCCGTGTACCCGGCCCCGTTCACTAGCTTCAGCCCCTGGTGCGTGTTCTGGTTCACGACGACCGGCATGCCGGGCACGAAGAGGAAGACGGCCGGCACCGGAGTCGCGCTGTCGTCGCCCTGGCCTAGCATCAGCACCGCCTCCTCCTCCGTCGGCGTGCCGTCCCTCCACTTATGCTCGGAGACGAAGATGCGCGCCGCCGTCCGTTGCCGGGCCCGGAACGCGAGGGCCGCCTCTAGGTTGAGGTTCCAGCGATTCCTGTTAAGCGGCGTCACCACCGTCACCCCAGTCTCCCACGGTATCCGCCTGCCCGCCCGGTAGCACCTCGAGTTGAGGAGGTCTAGGTCCGACCGGTCCTGCTCCCCCCGCCGGATCCGCCCGAGCAGCCGCCGTAGCTCCGGGTCGCCGGCGGCGCGCATCTGCTCGTCGAGCATGACGACCGTCGTAAACTTCCTCCATAGCGCGTGCGCCTTATCGTGCTGCCGCCGCCGCTCGGCCGCGAACGCGCCGTCCGCGTCCCACGGCACCGCCGCGCTCGGCAGCAGGATCGACCGCTCCTGCACCGGCCGGAACTGATGGAAGTCGCCGCAGAGGATGACTACCGGGATGCCGCCGAAGTCCCGCGGCGAGCCCGCAGCCGGCAGAGCTGCTCGTTCGCCGCGTGCAGCGTGCGCGCCCCGAGCATGCTGACCTCGTCGATCACCAGCACCTCCTTCTCCTGCCAGTCCATCCGCGACCGGCCGTCGACGAAGCGTTCGCCCTGTCCCGGCAGCCGCACCCCGTCTACCTCCCTCGCCGACCCCCCCGCCTGGCCGCCCTGGCCGACCAAGAGGCCGCAGGCCGAGTGCAGGGTGATGCCGTTGATCCGCGCCGCCGCCGTCCCCGATGTCGCCGTGATTAGTAGCTGGCTCGATAGGTCCCTCTGGGCGAACAGCTCGACGAGCGCCTCAATGACGCGCGACTTGCCGGTACCGCCCTCGCCGCCGACGAATAGACAGAGCTGGCCGGCGTCGCCGCTGTCGCCGGCGTCGCCGCCCTGCCGGGCCTGATCGAGCTGGCGGCATATGATGAGGAGGGCGATCGACTGCTTCTCGTTAAGCGTTAGCCGGCCCGCTAGCTCCCTGCCGGCGGCGACAAACGAGCTCGACGGGCCGAGCCGCACACGCATCCCCGCGTCGGCGTCCGCTGCCGTCACCTCGACGTCGTCCTCGCCGAAGCCGCCCATCACCCCGCGTAGCGCCGCACTCGGTCGGCCCCGGGCGCCGACGCCGCCGCGCCGCCCTGGATTCCTTGATCGCCCGCTCCGCTCCCGCGCGGCGCTCCTCTGCTGCGACTTGATGGCTCTTACCTGCTCTTGCCGCGGCAGCGCCGCCCCGGAGAGGGTCGACCCGCGAGGATTACCCGCCTCGGCCCCGCCTCGCCCGCCACCACCGTCGCATCGAGCTCGGCCGCCGACGAGAGCGCCGACTGCTGAAACCGGCAGAGCTGCTGCGTCATCGCCAGCAGCTCCGCCGACCGCGCCGTTACCTGGCCCGCGCCGGCGGCGTTCCGGACAACGTCGATGAGCCGCGCCGCGTCGCCTGCGCCGCCGGCGCGGTACACCTGCCCGCCCCTCGGCCGCCTCCTCCGCGCCCTCGTTGGCGCGTGCCGCCGCCGCCGGCTCGCCCTCCTCGGTCGTAGCGGCCCATTGCCTGGCGTCGCGCTTGGCGTCCTCCGCCGACCGCCGGAGCAGCTGTACGTTGTCCGCGAGCCGCGCGATCCTCGGCGCCAGCGCCGCCCGCTCCCGCGCCCAGATATCGTTGATGTCGCCCGTCTCCTCGCAGACGAATGCCTCCCACGGCACGAACAGCGCTAGATGCTGCACCGCCGCCCTTTGCACCGTTAGCCGGGCCACGGGCCGCGTCGCCGTCCGACGGTACGCCCTCGGCTTTGCTATACGTACCTCCGATGACATGACTCCTCGTCTTCCTCGCCGAACTCCTTACTGAGGTACCCGTCTAGGCGTACGCTCGCCCTTACCCGGCCGTCTGAGCACTTGCGCCCAGTCCTTCCCGGAGCCCAGCTCTCGTTAAAGGGTATCTCGCCCCAGGCCGCGCAGCCCTCGGCGCCTCCGCCATTCCGTTTCAGCCTTACGAGCGACGCGTAGTCGTAGAGACAGAGGCCCTGTAGGAGCCCGCCTCTATGCCGGTAGGCCTCGATGAAGGAGATCCTCGGCCCCGCCTCCTCGACGACGACCGTCTCGTCCGGCGCGTCGCTCGCCGTCGCCTCTACCCCGCTCGCCAGTCGGAGGTGCCGCCACTGGCGGAAGACGGCCCAGTAGAGCTGGTTCGTGTTCACGTACGCCCACGCCGCGCCGCTGCAAAACTCCGCGGGATACCCCAGGAGGTCGGCGATCACCTCGACCTGGGATAGCGGGCGCTCCGTGAAGATTCGGTTCGCCGCCTTTAGTAGGAACACCCTCATCTTGTTCCCCCTTATAGGGTCCGCCGCGGCCTCCTCTCCGGCTCCGTTCCCCCCGCTATCGTTGCGGTCGGCGCTGGGGATACTGCTCTCTGCTGTCGGCTCTAAGGTCGGGAGTAACTCGGCCGCGGCGGCCACCCGCTTCCACGTAGGTTCCTCTACCTTAGTCGCATAGTTGGTGATGTAGTAGATCAGGGCCATGGTCTTGCGCTGCGTCGCGATGAACGAGATGTCGTGGTTGTGCCGCAGCCCTACCGCCATCGCCTTGTTCCACCGGTTCACCATGCTATGTGTCCGCCGGATCTCCAGCACGCCGTCCGCCGTGAGCGCCGTCCTCTCTACTAGCCTCCAGGGCGCCTTAAAACGGCAGAGGTCGCCCTTACGACCGGCCCCCGCGAGCGAGTACTTGACGCAGGTCGCGCTATGCGTGTGGACCTGCGTCGCGCCGGCGCAGAAGTTGGCCTCCTCGTCGAACGCGTCCGTAAAGCGCTCGACGTCGTCAAGCCACGACGACATGTGCGCCGTGATCGACCGCTCCGCCTGCACAGCGTGGTGCCCTTCTGCGTCTAGCTCCTACGGCCTAGGGTTAGTTTCGGCCCCTTTAGTCTGCGTTCGACGGAGCCGGGAGGCTACGCCCCTAGACGTCGTCCGCCTTACCTCGGAGAAGACGCTGTCTACGTAGCGGATTATTCGCTCCCGGTACGCTGCCTGCTCCTCGCCGCCGGCGCCGGCCAGCGCCTCGCCGAGGCGCGCATTGCCCTTTAGCCAGAGAAGCCCGTGGAGGTGGAGAGCACCTCGTTCGTTCGTCTCTACCGCCCCGTAGTACGCCCCGACGTGCCCGAACACCGACTCGTCCCCGACGTCGACGTAATGCTCGAAGAAGAGCTTTATCTCCCGGTGAAAGAAGACGGCCGCGCTCATCGGGTCCGCTATCGCCAGCCGCACCCGCTTATACGCAGTCCCTAGCTCTCTTAGGAAGGCCTCGGCCGCTTCGGGGTCGCGGGCGCGGTACGCCGCCAGCCGTAGCTTTACCGGGTTCGTAATATCGTTCGGGTTTAGCGTGAACCAAATGGCCGGCACCCCGTATCTGACGATGAGAGATAGTATCTTCTTCCGCATACTTAGGCGGCTCTCCCTCGACATCGGCTGCCGGTGGCCAAACACCGATAGGGACCGGAGGAGCTCCTTACCCCGTCGTCGCCGGTCTTGCCCGTGGCCTCGAGCTCGACCCTCGCCGCCTCGAGCCTCTGCGTCGTTAACGACTTTAGTAGACCCTCGACCTTTGCGAAGTTCTTCCTCGTTACGCCTAGCATACTGGCCTGGCGGTTCCTAGACCGCACCCCATATTAAACACTAGGAAGGCGAAGATGGGATGCGTCGCGAACCGGCCGCCGTGGCGCCGTAGCACGACGTCGGCCCATGCTTGAGGTTCATGTTCCGGGTCGACGTGAGGCCCTCCGCGACCCGCTCCGCCTCGGCAGCCCGGCCCCGCCACCCGGTAGTCTCGCTTCCACGGGTAGCGGCCTCGTCGGCGAGCCTCGGCCCCACGCCAAAGGGAAATAGCGTCGGGAAGGTCTTGGCGAAGAAGGAGGCGTCCGCCGAGTCGGCGAACTCGTTGCCGCGCCGTACCTGGATATAGGGCTCGTACTTGTCGCCATCGCCGCCGCGCGCCGCCCCTCCGGCCGCCGTCCCCACCCACGTCCTCGGCCTGCGCGGGCGCGCGCTCCGTCGGGCCCGACGGCGTCGCGGGCGAAGCGAATCTTCTCGGCGTCCGCCACCCTGGCGGCCCGTCGAGCGGGAACATGCCGGACGACGTCACCTCGTTGATTACTTCCCGCCCTCTTCGGGCCTAGCGCCGTCCTCTTCGTCGTCGCACGTGGGCCTGACGTCGCGACTCCTCTCCGCGGATCCCGCCCTGGCTTAACATGACGAGGATCTCCTCGATCTCGACCGCGCCCTCGTCGTCCATGGCCCGCTCCGTCGGCGGCACCACCTGCGCGGTCCGCGTCCTCTCCCGCGCTGACGGCTCGTTTCGCTCCAGGCGCTCGCATACCACCGACGGCACCCGTGCGGCGGCGCCCCCAGCTCTCCATCTCCGCCACGTCGATCTCGACCTCGCCGTAGAGCGGGTTGTTCTCCTTAAGCCAGACGAGCGCCCTCTCGACCGCCCGCCGCCTTACCGACAGGAGGCCCGACAGGTCGCGTGGCCCCGGCTTCGGCCCCTGCCACGAGACATGGATCTCGTCCATAACCCGGACTAGCGGGTGCGGGAGCACCTGGTCACCAGCCCCTGCACGTCATTCGGGAATACCGTGATATGGCCCTTGACGTGCCTCGGATACCTCACGCTCTGCCTCTGCCCGCCGGGGATGCTATACCTCGTCACGAAGCCGTAGCACGAGTTGAGCGAGATCAGCTTCTCTCGACCGGCGTGAGGCCCTTGAGCTCGTCGGGGTACGCGTGCTCGCAGCCGAGCCGGCCGTGGAGGTGCATGCCAGGCGAAGCTCTCACGCCCGAGGCACCGCGCGCACTCTGCGCATACCGGCACCGCCCGGCCCTCGGGGAAGCAGCTTCGGCACGCGAATAGAGACCGGCCGCCCTCCATGACGGGGCTCCGCCATGGCCACCTCTCCCACGCCATTTCCCTTAGCTCCTCTCTTGACCGCTTCCGGTAACATACCTTGCAGGTCAAGACCGGTAGCGTGCCGGCGTCGTGGAACGCCCGGTAGAACCTCTGCACCGTTCGCACCTGCCTCGCGCGCGGCACCGGCATGCACCACGTCTGCTCGTCTGCGAGCCTCTCGCCCGCCGCGAACTCCTCCTCGAGGTGCTGCAGTACGCTGGCTAGGTCCTCGGCCTGCAGCTCCTCCGTCTTGGGGTTTTCTGGCCCACCGGACCCGGGAGCATTTCCTTCGGCCTGCCCGCCGGGGTGCGGCCCTTCCTCTTCCGCTCTCCCCCGGGCTGCCGATTCATTGTCCTGCCTGCGCCCCGTTAGCCGTCTTCATGCGCCTTGGCCTCGCTCTGCGACCGTACCGGCTTGTTGGCTGTCCGTGCTTCCGACGCTCGGTCCCGCCTCGGTGGGGGCGCCGCGTGGACTCCGCCCTCAGAACCGGCCGAGCCCGATGTGCCGCGGCGCCTGCTGGCCTCTAGGCGGGCCGCCCTCGCTCGGCGGCGGTGTGAGACCGGCTGCGATCGGTGTCGGCCGGGGCTGGATACGCCGCAACGCCTGCTGCCTTGCGTCGGCTTGGAGTCTCTGCTGCCTCGGTGGTCTTCCCCGCCTGCGCTTCGCGCCCTCGTCGACACTCGGCTGCGGCGTGGTGTGGCCGTTCCACCCTATTCCCATATCCGCTTCGCCCTGCCTAGGCTGGGCGATGTCGCCGCCGTTGGCAGTCGCACCTATCGGTCTCCAAGCGTCCCCGCCCGGACCGTCCTCGACCGGCGTCTCCAAGGCGCCACGCGGTCCGTGGGCTTCCTGCGCCGGGCTCGCGCCCCTGCTCCGCGCGGTCCTCCAGCAGCTGACTCCATCGCGATACTGGCTGCCACTACCTTTATAAACCTCTCATCTACCTCGTGCTGCTATGCCCTGACGTGGAGCCTCGTGAGTCGGACGTCGACGTATACGTCCTTTCCTGGGCTGCTCGTCTTGCGCTTATGTTGCTACTCGGCATGCAGCTTATGCGTAACGGACACTTTACATTTACAATGACCTATGTACTCTATATAGAGCTCCGTAGTACGTCTATAAGCATGCTGCTGCTCTTCACATTATACCGGCGCCGACTTTCCATTAAGCCTACCGGGAACTGCCTGCTGCTATCGCATGCAACGGCCTAGGCCGGTCTTTACATGTAAGTCGCTACGGCACCTTCCTCTTACTCGTGCTTTACATTCTACGCTCTCCTTGTTATCTGGAGCTATGTCGCTAAGCGCCTTGGTTCGAGGTTAGATGCTTGCATACTGGCTTTTAACCCCATGTCTTAAACGTGTCGCCAATGAAGCTGCCCTATTCTGTGACAATATGGCTTCCCGTATGTCGGTTGTCTTAAAAACCCTCTATCCCTAAGCAGACCGCCTTTTGCCCTTTTCCCTCGCTTCTCATAGCATTCTCTAGACAACGCTCTTTCCATGTTCTCCTAACCGCTAAAATTTTCCCGTGTTTCCGTTAATATCTATGCTCGTGTTCTGTAGGGCGCCCCTGGCCCTTCACTTCCCCGCCGGTTTCTTCCAACGATACAAAAATAGGAAGAGTTCCTGCTCCTATTCTGCCCCGCTTAAACGATTCAAAACGGCAGCGTCGCTCTTACGCTATACAACCTCGCCATGTCTTCGTCCCCGTCTTCGGCCGCCTCTCCGCCGCATCTGAAGAGGCCCCTTAGTACTGGCAAGAGCGTCGACGGTGACATGTCTATGATGTTCTTCGCCCAGCCCGACTGCCCTCGAGGTTCGCCCACTAAGACGAGCACCGCATCAAGGACCTTAACGCCGAAGGCTATCGCCCGTGTCTTCCTGCCCGTCCCCTCGTAGCTGCTCCCGGCCGAGTACGCGCCCTCCGCGCGGAGCCGGATGCCGCCGACCCGGCTGTCTCTCTCTCTTTAGCCTAGGTAAACCTCTCGATTTACGGCCAGCCGGTCGTCGACCCCGACCGGTCCGAGCATCGGTTCTTCGTTAACAGCCACGTCCACTCCCATGCCCTCCCTGGGGTCGAGTGCCGCGACGGTCTCCACGCCGGCCCGGGCGATACCGTCGTCTACAATTCCCACGCTCGTCGTCCGCGACCACGGCTACCATCCATGCCCCCGCCCTGTATGTGTCTCTCCCGCCGCGTCGCTGACTTCTCCTTGTGGCGTCCTCCCGCGCTCCTTGGCCTCCCGACGGCCACTTCCCCTCGGCCCCTCCCGTCGTCTCCTTCCACGGCGTCGTCGCCGGCGCCGGCCTCTCCCTCTTGCGACGGGACCTCCAGCCCGGTCTCGACGCCGTCCGTCTCCGCTGCCGGCCGGGTAGTCGACCGTGTCTTCGTTCCTCAAGGCTTTTGTGCGCAACCCAGGGGGTTGCCTTACCTCGTTTATTATTGAATAGACGGAATGTGTTGTTGGTTTGAAATATGTATGGAATCAATTTGATTGGCTGGTCTTCTAGCTTGAGCTTCGAGTTAATGTAGGGAATCAGTGAATTATTGGCCCTTCCTATGATTCGGTCCATCCACTCCATGCCGGGGAATCGCATAGCTCCAACCAACATCCTATCCCAACTGTCAGTGACTTCCAAGGCAAATCAGCACCCTTGCGACATACGTACAATGTTGCGCACATGGAGCAAGTTGGGGAACCATTCACTGCGCATGCCTGCCTTGCGATTCATCTCCGCAGCGCTCCTCGTGCTCGCCTTCTCCGCCGCTTCCGTCCATTTCTACCTGCTTTCGCTGACGGGCGGCGACCTCGAATGGATCAAGCAGCACATGGGCACGCTCGGCGTCGAGCTTGTGCTCAGCGTGCTGCTGTACAGCGCCGCCATCACGCTCGTCTACACGCTGCGGCTGCCGAGGGCCTGGCGGCTCGTGCTCGGCGTTATTCTTGTGGTCAAGCTGGCGCTGGTGCGCGCAGCCGACCGGGGCGAGTCCTTCGCCCGGCACGGCAACTACAACATGATCCTCTTCGTCGTCCTCGCCGTGCCGCTGAACCTCGTGGTGTTCGCCACGGTCCTGCTTTACCGGAGCACGCGGCATTTCTGGCGCATCGCCGGCGCCTTCGTCGTCTCGCTGCTGCTGCTCACCAGCGTGTCGCTCGTCCGTCAGAGAGCGCGCTGGAGAGCCGGATTCCTCGGGCGCGGCTACCAGCCCGATGCGGCGGCGTGTCGGTTCCCCGAGCCAAACTGGCCTTTTATTGACCTACTGCCTGCGGGAGCCCAGAATTTCTGGACAGGCTCCCAGAGCTGTCCCTTGCCGTCCATCGACTTCGATGCGCGGCTCACGCAGCACGACGCCCTCCTGACCATCGACGGATGCCCGCCGGGCCTGCCGGTTTCATATGACGTGCTGCCCGACACGCGCAGCTGGCCCGCGTCTGAGAAGAAAGAGTATGTATTGAACCGGATGATTGTCCAGCGCACGGTGCGGCGCGAGTATACCGGCCGGGTGCGCCTCGACGTGCGGTCGACCGAGACGGTCATTGCGAGATGCGGCCACGAGGAGAAGCTGCTGCTGCGCGTCGCCCGCACGCTGCCGCCGGCGCGCGTGAGCCAAGGACGGACCGAGACGCAGCGGCCCAACATACTGCTACTCTCCTTCGACGCCGTGTCCCGCCGGGGCTTTCACCGGCGGCTGCGGCGCACATCCAAGCTGTTGGAGGAGCTGCACGAGCCTGGCCGGCGTCAGCTCTACCAGTTTTCCCGCTCGCACGCCGTCGGCTTCAACACCGACGACAACAGCCGCAGTATGTACACGGGAACAATACGGCGCAGCGGCGTCGACCCTGTCTGGCAGCAGTTTCGCGACGCCGGCTACGTCGTTGCCCACACCGACACCTCGTGCCAGGATTGGTCGTCCCAGTATGAGGACCGCAACACGTCCATAACGGCCGTGGACCATGAGATGCTCGGGCCGGCATGCTGGCCGCCTTACTTTGCGCTCCGAAGTAACCCATATGGCAACTTCAACGGGCCCTTCAGCATTAGGCGCCGCTGCGCCTTCGGAGACTACGTGCACGCCTGGAACTTTGATTTCACCCGCCGAGTCCGCGACGCGTACCCCGACTGGCCCTCGCTGCTCTCAGTCAACTTCATCGAGGGACACGAGGGAACCGGCGAGGTCCTCGCCACCGTCGACCGTCAGCTGCACGACTTTCTCGCCGAGCTCCGCGATGACGGCTCCCTCGACAACACCATCGTGCTCTTCTTCGCCGACCATGGCCTGCACATGGGCCTCAATTTCCTCTTCACGCAAAATGGCCGCATCGAGCACCAGAACCCAGTGCTGCACATACTCCTGCCCGCACATGTTGCGTTACGGCTGCACGCCAAAGACGGCAGCGACGGGCTCTTGGCGAATGAGCAGGCGCTCGTCACGCACTACAACACGCACTGCACACTGCGAGTGCTGGCCGACATGGAGCAGTGGCCTCCGTCGCGTGACTCCCCGTACTGGGACATGTCGCTGTTCGAGCCGCAGCCGCGGAATCTCACGTGCGAGGCGGCCGGTATCAGGTCGATATATTGCCAATGCGAGGAATAGATGCCAGCAAGCCCCTTGCGGTCGTTTGGCTCACATGTGAATTACATGTATAAGCGATCGTTAGCCGTTATATGTACATAGTATTGATTTCAACCCATCACCCTGTCGTCTTCGCCTCGCTCTCTGCATGTGTGACGGGTTGGCAGCTAGCACATCTTTTGCTCTTGGGAGACATGTGAAGGCACCACCGCCACAGGGCTTACCACTACGGCACGATGAGTGCGGGAAGTTGGCATATGTCCCATCGAGTCAGGCCTGATACGCAACACTGAGTCCATGTTAAACCCCATTATTTATCTGCCAACTGGTCGTGTACTTGACAGCGACGAGCACTCGTCCTATTTGTAGCCTATTGCCTACATATATTGCCTACATATATTGCCTGGCAATAAGTTGTACGCCTACAAGAATGCCAGTCCGGCGGCGATGGCCATTCCGATAATGGGTGCCATATTCCCAGCGGCTGTCGGCATGGCGGAGGACATGGATGTTGCCATGTCTTCCTTTCCGGCTCGTGCCGGGGCTGCCACTCCCCTTGCGCCTATCTCCCTCTCCCCAATCGCCCTCTCCTCAATCGCCCTCTCGTAGCTGCGCCTAATCGAGGTGTCAGCTAACAAGAAGCGATCTAGAGGTCTCGGCGTAACGGACTGTTCTATGGCAAGCGCGCTGGCAAACATGCCAAGGGCGACCAAGGCTTGCATGAGCTTCATGGCGTATAATAAATGTTGCGGTTATTTATACCGGCTAGGCTGCAACCCTCATCAGTTATGCTGGTTCGATCCATAAATGGCCTGTCGGAAGCGACAGATACGCACCGGAGCACAAGCGTCTGTCTGCTTATAGTCGTCTCAGAGGTTGCGTGTACGTCCCTAGGTAAGATTGATCCTCGACTCTTATATGGCGAGTTAGAAGCAAGTGGCACTACTTATAGGTTTAATTACGAGCTGGTTACACCGAGGTGAATAGTTTCGCTTTGACGGCGTCAATTGCTAGCTCGCGTTGGAACGAAACTGCAAACGGCATAGAGCTGTCGAGTTAGTTTACTGTACATGTATGTACGTAAGTGGCTGTAGGCTACGTGTAAGTTATAAAGTCAATTTCCTATGGAAACGGCCATTGAACTGCAAACGGCTTGGGCTGCAGAGAGGGGGGGTATAGTCAGTCTACAAGTCGGTTAGGAGCAGAGGGCGCCCTGCTGCCAATGAGCCTCATCATTTCAATACCCGGCTGCAGAGAAGCAAGAAGAGAAGAGCGATTCCGAACCCGAACAGACGGTTCATGACTCTCAGTGAAGCCTTGGTGGCTCAGGAAGCCATTCCTCAAAATAGAAGTCAAGAAATGCCCGTTGTGCTGAATTCTGAGACCGAAGAGGAGGAGGTCTCAGAGACGGAGACAGCTTCAGTGATCGAAATCAAGGCGGCACCTGAGGCCCTTTTTGTCACCACTAGATGTGGGAGAGTGGTAAAAAAGCGCCGGTATAGATAGGGGCGTTCATTTCTCTACAGAATGATACTGTCAGAGGGAGCAGACTGACAGTCTAATCCGCACATGTATAAACTCTGGTGAAAGAGGCAGGTCAGACACAGGGACTTGAGTCAGGTATCGATACAGTAGAGGAACATTGCCCTAATCGGGATACACGGGAATTGGCACTGATTCAGGGCCTCCACGGGTCCCAGATAGGTATCTATTCGTATAAATACCCCCTCAATGTCGCACAGATAGATAGAAAACATGCATCATCGTTTGGACTCAATTGTGCCTGCCCTTATCCTTCCGCCCGCGCTCTCAGCTTGCTGAGAGATACCATTTTCATGTTTTTTATTCTTAAGTTCTGGTCACATTTCATGTACCCGTGCCACGCCCCACTTATTTTCGCGTTCGTTCCTCACCAGCTCCATAAGCTGGTGCTGACGGTACAACGAGAAATCATGCTTCGATATGCTCGCGGAAAGATGGGAAACCTGTCTTTCTTCCTAGGAGGCAAGGCAGAGTCAGACGACGACAAGTGGCAGCCCGATATGGGGGCTGTACGGGCGACAATACAGTTCGCGTTGGCAACGAAACGTTTCAGTATGGACCGACGAGGGACCATGTACTGATCAAGGGATAATCATACTAACACAACAGCCTTCAACTTGGCAGACCGCGCTTCAGTCGCTGAAGGTAGGACGCTGAACACTTGGAGAAACTGACCTTCAAGTAGGCCTGTCATGTCACAGCGAACGAGGCTGGAAACAGATGAAAAGAAGCGTGGGGCTTCAGGTGCGATGGAACCATGTACAGTAGGTACGTAGCTTAGCGTAGTGGCTCTATGGGGGAACCCTCCGGGCGCAATACAAAATAATAATAATAATAAGCTGGTGCTGGACACCGCAATAGCCAGTACACCGCAATAGCCAGATATTTGACTCTTCCAACTAGAATCGCTTCAACCATCGCGTTCCGCGCTCAGAATCACAAATTTCCGCTCGTCGCAGCCTTCCAGATGCTCTCCATTGACGTGTCTTTTTTGCTGCGTCTTCAAACCACCGCCTGCGCACGCTGCGTGCCTTCATCTCTGCGGCCTCGACCACCTTTCTAGCTTTGGCGACCTGGTCTTCTTTTCTGCACCATTTCTCGTCCTTGAGCGACCGTCAACACCCCCCCCGATTGCAATTGCGCATTCTTCACACTTTTTCGTTGTTGTTGCATACGTTCGGCCAATTTTGCCCTTCCCAGATCCCTTTTGGTCTGCACCAATTCGGTGGCCAGAGATAGGGAACCCCGGATAAAGCGACCCAAATCGCGAGAAAACTCGGGATTTAGATCTTCATCCTCTTGCAATACTGTTTCTAGCCGATCTGCTACTTTATTTATTTGCCTAAGAGTTAATGGCGTCTCGAATGGTGAAGAAAATGGTTCTGAACGAGGGGGAGGAGTGGGCGTCCTTTGCATCTGACGAGCTTGCAATATCTCCAGCACCACTTGCGGATTGAGAGGCCATATTCCCGTTTTCCGGAACGCGGATTGAATTGTACTCGATTTGAAGGCTTGCGATCGTTCTTGGTGAATGCAAGATAGAAACTCGAGCTTCGTGATATTGACAAGGCCGTCTCGAACCATCACGTCCAGTGCTTTGGCGTGATAGTGCTTCAGTGGCTGAAAACCCACCACATCGAGGGGCTGGAGTATATGCGTGAGGTTTGGAGGCATACCAAAGGGAATAATGTCATGTTGGTCGCAATACTGAATGAACTGCCTTGTGTGGTGGGAGCCGTGGCCATCGAGAATTAACAAGCGCTTCGAGCTTCTCGAGGTCTTTGTCGAATGTTTGTCAAAATGATGAAGCCATTCCAAGCTGATTTCGTCGTTTGAGTAACCGCTCGACGTGGGTCGGATGGCCGTGTCGGGGTCTAGTCCCGGTATTTGATACCATGAAGTCATATGCATCTGTCCAGACAGGATCAAGAAAGGTGGAATGGACTCTCCGCTTGCTGAGATTGCCTCGATGTCAGTGGCAGATTCTCTGTTCTCGGGGATACCAAAATAATGAGCTCGCTTTCTTTTGGTGACAATTAGCTGATCCTTGCCAACTCCAATGCGAAATCCTGTCTCGTCCATATTCCAGATATCCTCAGGTGGTATGCCCTTCTCTTGGATGACTTGCTGGAGATTTTGGAAATAATGGGTGACTCTTGTGAGGTCCTCCGATGCCTGACGCTCCGAGTGGAGCTTTTTTTGGATCTTCTTGAAGTAACCGTGACGCTTTAGAAAGCGAGAGGTCCACTTGCTGCCGATAACTAAATCGGCTTGACCGGATCGCTCACGCAGAATATTATTTGCCGCATCGGTGACGAACTCAGGACGCACCGCAAGGTTAACCTTATCAAGGCGATCGATGTAGCGACATAATGCTGCCTCTTCTGGGCTCGATAACTTCATGTTCGTGGCTGGTCGGCCTACCTTAGGAGGACGGCCTTCGAGGCGGTAACGCACTGGGTTACCCTCTGTCCCAGAGTCAAATCCGCGCCTGCGTGGTTACCGTCCTGAAACAACAAGGCTGCGACTCAAGATTGGGACGTCATTGGGTAGAAAAGTTCATTCAACGCCATCCGGAACTTAGAAGCAAGGTCGGTAGGCGTCAGGAAGCCAACAGATTCGACTCATTTACTCCCAAAGTAGTGCACTGGTACTTTGACGTCAGGGAGACAGAGTACGGGTGGATCAAGCCGGAGAACACCGTCCGCGCATTCAGCACCGCCTTTGACCGGATGGCCGCCCAGTTCACCTCGGGTCACGCGCTCAACTTCGCCAAGGACTTCTCGCGCGGCTTCTTCAGCCACTGTGACGACGCGCTCAACGGCGCACGCCGACACGCGCGGGCAAGAACGCCACGGAAGAGACGGGGTGGCTGCCGCAGCGACTTACGCCGCTATGACCCAGAAAGGGATGGCGCAGCCAGGGGGCCCGCCCTGCCGGCCCGCCCTGACCCACAACCTCGGTACCGCCGCTCTTTCCAGTTTATCTTCCTTTCGAGGCTCAACATAGGATTTTGGTACATCTTCAAATCTTTTGGCGTCCTCTTGCTATAATTTCGGGAATCAAAAGATGCATCAAGTCTTGCAACAGCGTTGGTGGGATTGCGCCGAGTCGGTGGAGCTGAATCGTTGGACCGAGGAATTCACAAAGACAAAGCCTTTTTCCGGCTGCCCAGCCAGGTCAGAAGCCGCTCGATCAGCTTTTCCGCTCTATCGCCAACATTCGGCATTCTGCAGTTCATCGGATCCGTGTCAGCGCGAAAAGCATCGAAAAGTTCCTCCTCGATTCTGAGGCTTTCGCCATGCTGCAGGAACTTGATGTTATAGGCACAGAGACCCGACGTTGACGACTACGAAACTGTTGGCTAGTATAGGCACCGCTGTTAGTAGGTCACCTGAAGGATCAAGGGAGGGCCACCTGAAGGATCATTATGAGGCCATGTATCGGGGACCCATAAAGACCTCACGTATGGGGCCAGTCTGGTGCCTATGTAAGTCACCTGAGGGTCCCTCTGACTACGGCATAAATAGGGCCCTGTGGCTGATTCTTTCTAGCTAGATCATGCATCTTTATCCCTTCTTGTGCTGCCCCTACCTCATGAGTACCAGAATAACAGTCTATCGACAGAAACCTACACCTCTCAGTAGGGCGCCCATTCCAATTGACGGCTCCCACTTTGCCTGGTGGCTCCACGATGAACAGCAGCGGCGCTTTCCTCGATTGTCAAAGGTGGCAATAGACATTCTCTCATTACCCGCCATGTCTGCTGATCCCGAGCGTACATTTTCCGGAGCACGGCATACGATTTCATGGGATCGAATGCTCCTTGGAGCACCGACAATTAAAAGGGGGAGTGCTTAAAGAGCTGGATTCGCAGCGGCATAACAGCTGGGCTACAGGCAGAGGAGGTCGAACAATATGGGTCCCTGCCAAAGGAGGGCAGCACCTGTACTCTAGGGGACGACATGGAGCCTTGACATCATTTCCCGTATGGGCAATATATGGTTTTAGTTCACCATACGAGAATAAATCATACACCATAAACCATATAGGTCCGTATGGCGTATGGCGTATGATTAAAAGCCTGCCTTAGGTGACCGGCGGTCGTGCGACAGATGATTCTTCTATGGCTGCTGTTGCAACGGGACCCTGCGTGTCCAGAGGGCTACTTCTGTGACCAAATGCCGATGATATTACCCTCAGTGTCGGTAAAGCGCGCAAAGTATCCCATGTCTCCTCCAATCGCCGTCTTGGGGCTTGTGAATTGGCGCAGTCAGCATATGTCCAAATCGCGACGCACAAGATGACTTGCCACTGCTCTTTTCCGCCATGGGCCACGACCTTGGTGAGCGTCTCGCCACAATCGTCGACGCAAAAGGTGGGCAGCGGCGGGAGGATCTCCTTGTCGAGCCGGCCATATTTGACGGCCTGGTAGCCCTCCATGACGAGGAGGAAGGCCCCGTGGACGGCGCCCTTGTTGAAAAAGTGCATGCTCTGGATGCCGTTGCGCCCGTGGGGAACGCCCTCGGGCTGGCAGACCCATCCGAAAACATCGCCGTAGAGTTGTTGGGCTCGAGAAACGTCGTGGACGGGGATCTCGAGCCAGCATATCTCGCCCACCTTTGGTTTCTGTGTATCGTCAGCGAAGGCTTGGCCGGGTGCGGGATCGTGGATGTCGGTACGCTATTGTCATTCATGGTGACAAGAGGGCCTGTTATCCGTATAGTGAAGCTCTCAAGTTGGGAGCGAGCTGGGGAGGACGCCTTGGAGACCTGGGCTGGTACTTGTATGCTCCCGAAAGGACTCCGTTTCGTTTCGGGCCAGGTGCGCTGGCGGGGGTCGCGCCAATCACGGGGCCACCCACAGGACGCCTCCATGTATCGGCGGGTTAGCGTATCGTGAACAAGGCTGCGGGGACTGTGGACCGGCCGACGAGATGCGTTTTTGCTTGTGCCCCGTGTCACGACGGCTCTTGTTTCGCAGCGCGGCGAGCATGAGGCAGGTATATAGGTACCTAGGTACTCAGGGGTAAATAATAAAGCGTGGGAATAAAAGGACTGACCCCGTCAATTTTTCCTTACCGGTCTCTTTCTTATATACTCTGCAAAGCTAGCTATTAATTAGCTAGCTGCAGGGGCTAGCCCCTGCCGCGTCATAGCCTAGACGGCCACATACGCGTAATGAACAAAAAAAGGTACCTAGGTACTCGGTGTGCTGGCCTAGCCAAATGCGGGTCACGCGCTCAACTTCGCCAAGGACTTCTCGCGCGGCTTCCTCAGCTACTGTGACGACGCGCTCAACGGCGCGCCCACACGCGCGGGCAAGAACGCCAGCCACGGAAGAGACGGCGGCTACCGCAGTGACCTACGCCGCTATGGCCCAGAAGGGGATGGCGCAGTCAGGGGGCGGCCCCTGCCGGCCCGCCCCGACCCACAACCTCGGATGGCCCCACACGTCCAGCCGCCTAAGCGCGTCTTCGTGCGGCTCACTGACGGATCCCCATCGTGGGGCCACCAGGGGAGCCCACGTAGCCAAGACGCTCAATATAGAAGGCATGCCACAAGTCGCCCGAGTGAAGACCGGATGGGCCATTCGTGTCTTAGACCGGGAGGCGAGGGACTTGCTGACTGAAAGGCAGGGCGACTGGGCGGCCTGCCTCGGAACCGAAGCGGTTGAAGGCTTCCAGAATTGGCACACTTATACGGTGGCCGACTGCCCCAGGCAGCTCACGGATATCTGGGGGTCTGCAGTAGACTATGGCCAAGCTATCAGAGAAGAGATCAAGCTGCAGACAGGCGTGGAACCAGTAGACGTTCACGAAAGCCAAGAGACACGCCGAGGGCTCAGGCCGGCCTACCGTGACGATGATTGTGTCATTCAAGGCGGCTATACAGAAGAGATGGCGACTCTTCGGCACCGGCCGATTAGCGCGACCGATCACCAAGAACCCCCGACCTACCCAATGTGACAATTGCTTGGACTAGGTACCACTCCCGCTTTATCTGCGACCAGAAACCGGCGTGCCGACGCTGCGGCGGAAAAGACCACCACGGTGACGACTGTGATCGTCCGAGAGGTGCGCGAACTGCTTCGGGCCCTTCCAGGAAGACCACAAGCAGTGCCCTGCCAGACCCAGGCGCTCACACGGCCAACTCGTGCGGCTGTCTAAGATCGAAAAGCACGCAGTAAGGAAGATGGGCTCCCGGCTATATCGGCAAACCAACATGGAACTCGAACGGCTGGCGCCAACCACCTCTCCCCAGTCATCCCAAGGACCGACCCCTTCACCCTGCGCAAGAGCCGTCGAGGCCCGCCAGATGCAGCGGCCGCCTCCCTCCAGCGCGCAAGCGCCCGACCCCACGGCGCTTCTTCCACCTCAGGACGAGATAGTGGTCGCAACATACAGCCCTGAGTCTCTCAAAAAGAGACGTCGACAGAGCACGCGCCCGGATCCCTATGAGTAACAAGTCCCCGAGACAAAGAACCCGCGACAGGAGGACTATCCGAGTTCTCCAGGCCAACGTGGCAAAGCAGAGCCTTATCATAGCATGGCCTTACGACTAGCAGAAGCAGAAGATTACGACATCGTGCTTATCCAGAAACCGAACTTCTGGATAGAAAAGAGAGCGGGACATGTAGGATCCAGACACACCAGACCTTCCACGCCTTTGCGCCAGAACGAGCATGGGATCCAGACCAGGCCCCGAGGGTGATGTCGTACGCCCGTAACGATGCGAATATCCGAGTAGAGCAGATCTGCTCCATACCCACGCGCGATATACTCTGGCTTCGGGTCAACGGCATCCTCATCATCAATTTCTACCGATACGAGGGGACCCCCGAGCCACTTGACTACCTCCTTCCCTGGCAAATGCCTTGTCGCGGGTGACATCAACGCCTACCGCTGCTTCTGGCCGCCTGGAGTGCGGAGCGCAAGATACGGGACGGCCATTGCCGAATGGGCGGCACATAACGGGCTCGGGCTGCTCAACGCGCCAGGCAAGGCCACGCACGTCCGGGGCTTTCAGAGAGTTGCAAGCATGCCTGCAATCGGTTTGAGCAATTGCACTGCCCTGCTTTCGTCATGGCATCACCCTCCGCTGTTCCACTGTACCGAAAATCTGGGTTCCTCATTGTCGGGAAGGTAGAGACTTCGAAAGGGATTTTCTCTAGCATGATCAGGGAACCCCAGAGCGGATGCCCTTAGCAAGACTTCCTAATCCGACTGCTAATTGCCACTCAAGCTGCGGCAGGGTTGAAACCCTTTGCCCGCAACCTATTTCAACTGCGGGTGATCGATCGCCATGATGTGTGAGCCGTCAAGACTACCCCCTGTTCAGAGATGGTGACACATGGTGGTCACGGCTAAGGGCACCCTGCCGGGATGAGGCCGTTCGACAGAGTGCCCACCCACTGGACCCTGTCCCGTTCCTTGTCTGGGCTCAGCCACATGGGGCCCTAACTTGAGATAGTGAGCGTGGAGGCCAAGGAAAGCGTACCGGTTTGGAGAAGTCCACATGTCAAAGCTAAAGCTAATCCTTGTCACTGCCTCCTCCAGTTGACTGGAGACTGCTCTCTTCTTTACCTCAAATAGTTGACAGATCGTCGCCCAAGAAATCCTACGAAATCTAGCATTTCAAGTATATCAAGTTTTGGGCATCGTGAACTTACTTACTTGAAATGCACTGAGCAGTCAACTTACTTGACTTACTTGATATACTTGAGTTGATACTTGAATTGAGGTCATCACTGTACCACACAGCCACTCCGAATATTAATATATTATTACAGCGTACCCTTTATCCAGTAGTAGTAGACGCATTCGTCGCCCATCGTCATCACGTTGGATCATAAACGTCCCTTTCTCATTCATGGCCGTCCTCCATCCCCAGGAATGCTGTCCTGACCATCAGAGTATCCTCTGCGAATCCACAACTTCCCGCACCTCGCCGCTTGCATGCTCTGCCCTTCCCTGAACCTGTCGTGTTGCCCGAGTCCAATCTTCTCTTGTTGGGCACCAGCTGCGCAAGTGGCCGTCGCACTAGTTCAAGCAACATAGCACGCTCAAAGTCGATCATCATCACACCGTCCGTCTCTTTGTTGACCAGCATGTTGGCGCTTCGCACGTCTTTGTGTACCACACCTTCCTCATGTATCGCCCGCAGGGATGCAAGCGCCTTGGCCTCGAGGATTCTTCTCGTGCTGGCTGCGATCTTGGCCTCGTCAATCACGTCTCCTCCCCATGAAAGAAACGTCATGTGCACGACGTAAACCCGATGGTCGTAGTAGTAGGTCCTCTTCAGCGGCCGAAGGTCTACGGCTCCGAGAAAGACGGGTACGTTGACGCCCTGAACCCGCTCTAGGCGCTTGTAGACTGCTGCTTCATGCTCAAGGTCCCGGATGAAGGCCTGCACTGTGCCCTTGCACACAAACGTGTAGCCGTACGACAGAAGGGTCACCCTGAAAAGCACTCCTCGAGCACCGTGCTTTCCTAGCTTTGTGATCCCGGCATCCAGCGTCTGTCGCAGCTGCTCACTCAAAAGTTGCAGCCATGTAGAATGACTGATCGGATGTGGTGCGCGAGTGCATCCTCGAGGGCCGCCATGACACCCCGCGTTGGGACATCGAGGATCGAGGGTACCTCCCCGAACCAGTCCAAGGAGGCATGCTTGGGTGCAGTACCGCCGTTCCACTTCCTCATCAGTCCCTTGGCGGGGTCGGCGTGCCAGGATTCGTTGACTTCGTCGAGGCACATTTGCATCGCCTCGTCCACGTTGTCCGCGTTGTCCACGTCCTCCTTGCCGCTCAGAGGGGCTCGGCGTATCCGGAGGCCGATATCCCGACTCGTCGTCCGATGATTCCGACTGATCTCGTCTAGTCGCAATTGTGTCGCGCTCGTCGCCTCTTCTACCTCGACGGCGTCTCCTCCCCTGCCGCGTAATCGGCGACCGGTCAAAGTCCTCGTATGTCGTAGGTGCCCAGCTGGATGCGCTGTCCGATGCCATTCGGTCGCTCTCGGGAATCGATCGCAGTGTCACTTCGAAATCCTCCGCCCACCTGTTGAGATTCGCCGTCGCCCGATCACGCTCATCCTGCCCATGTTCCACCCGTCCGCCCGGTCTACCTAGCGCCATCAGGCTGAACGTGAGATACTGCCCCACCGCGGAGCTAGACTGCATATGCTCTGGATGAGCCAACACCTCCGGCCCGGGCTCTGCCAGGTGATAATACAACGTCTCAGGCTCGGCCCAGTCCACCTTGAGAAAGACGGTCGCCTCGCCAGTTGTCAGCAACCCGTACTCGAGACCGCCTTCGATCATGTAGTGATACGTTTGTGTGAGGGCAGACGCCGTCAGTCTCTCGGCGTGATATTCAAAACGGCCGTCCGGGTCCACAGATGGCGGGATCGTCTTCCGATTGACGACTTCCTTGTAGATATTCATCGGCCGTAGTCCGGCGCGGAGGTGCGGAGCTGTGAGCTTATGGGGTGCCTTATACTCGGACACGTAGATCATCGTCCGCTTCTCCGGGGATGGGTCATCACCTGACCGATAAATGCAGATTTGGTCGGGCCGTAGCTGATGAAGATCTCGTCGGTGGTCTGGTGCTTGCGGCGGTGTTGACGGGTTCTCCCGGGCGACTACTTCCTCGGCGACGTCGCTGATGGCGTGAGGGTGGTTCTCGAAGACGATCCCGTTTCCCATGTCGAATGCGTCGCACACCTCGTCAATCTGCCTGAGTTGCTCCATGATGACTCTGACAGGATCTTCGACACTATTATGCATGAAGTATTCCAGCGTCTTCTCATCTGCTATCGATCGCTGCGCCACTCTCCTTCCTAGACCGGCTAGGAAGTTTTGGCTCTCGAAGACACGAATGTCGACGGGCAGACATTCGTAGAGAGTATCGAAAACGCTCCCCTGCAGTTCCAGGAAGCGTGGCCAAGGCTCAAGACTAGTAGGGCATAGCTTATTTCGGGGTTGGTGATAGAACCCTTGACGTAAGCCTGCGGTCTCTTTCCACCGTGAACTGGGAAAAGACATGGCGATGACAAGCAGCGATGTACTCGTCGAATGTGGTCGGTCGGGTCTGTTCCTCTGCTTCTTCGGCGCGTTGCTGCTCCTTCTCGGCGCGTTGCTGCTCCTTCTCGGCACGATCTCGCTCTTGTTGACGCTCTCGTTCTGCTTCTTCGGCACGTTGCTGTTCCTTTTCGGCGCGTTGCTGTTCCTTTTCGGCGCGTTGCTTTTCGCTTGCAATGCGTTCTTCCGCCTCACGAAGTCGCCTCTCTAGCTCCTCGATTTTTTTTGTTTCCTGCATGTGGTATTGATGTTGGCTGGAACTTGCTAAACGGGTGTTTTTGATGTTGACGACAACCTTCGTGGGAACGATGGCTACAAAAAGGCTAGAGGCAGTTGAGACGGCAACCATATTATGTCACGTGACTCGCCTGAAATTCTTCCCGACTTGGCCACCCTTTGGAACATGAATTCTCCACCCACACAGCAAAACATGGCCGCAATCGCAACCAACCAGAGAATTCCGTACGAAACAAGAATTGATGTCAAGTGGCGGTGTTCCTTGCTAGGACCCGGAAAGGGTTGGGGACTGGACTGATATATAGATCCGTTACCCACGTCTTTGCGGAGAGAGCTTTGCCGGCCAAGCAGGTATGCTGGTCGAGCGTGTCTTGTGATTCCTCTTCATCGCATCTCGATGCCGTCAGCTTTCAAGGAAAGCGTCTGACGGCAAATAGCATGCTTATTTGTCGCCATCACCACTTCGCGAAGGCGAACGAATTTGGTGTTGTTCAACGCAATGGCTCTTCAGGAAGTCGAGCACGGAGGACACGCTACGTACTTGAGTACCGTACGATTCTTACGGCCAGCCAGAGCCGTCAGAAGGGACTGGGCTTCGCAGGAGGCGGTCCCGCAAGTGCGGTTGCAAATTGAATAGACTCAAAGGAATGTTGTGACTTTCAAAAATGCACAAACACATGCAATAGCCCAACGCAGTGCGCGCGTTTGACAGGATCCTAAGGCATATTCTCGAGGATTTGTGAAAGTAACGTGACTTGCTCTCAACAGGGCTAGACTCCTCTTGGAAAAGGCCCGGGCTTTTGCTGAGGTAAGATCGGGCCGCAATTTTTCCCCGCCCAAGTCGTGAGGGGGAAGAGACGAAAAATCCCAGGAGCGGAATCCAATTAAATACCTACACATCGGTTCATGGGCATGAAAGAGGGCAGCGATACCCTTGAAACCAACGGACAGGTGTTTTGAGCATAAACTGTTCACAAAATTTCCTCCATGAGTGGCATGCTGGGCGATCAAATTTGCGCCCGAGACTTGGACCGTACGGAACGAGAAGTTGTGCAGGCATTGCACCACTGGTTGGTGGCGCACCCCGACGCGCAATGGAGGCCAAGCAAACATGGCCCGAACCATGAAGCATTGTGGGAAAGCCGCAGCACCTCTATCGCCACGAAGGACTCGTCATAACATGCTCGCGAATGAGTTGGCTGACTCTCTTCGATTTGGTCTCGTGTGGGAAAGGCAGCAAGTGAAATTCGCAACCGACACCATATTCGATCGTCAGCACGTATTGCAAGATACGCCGAACTTGAGGCAATTTCCGAGGGTCCTCACATGAAGGCAAGCGAAGGCAACGCTGGTTCGTGGAACAGATATCTATTGGAGGAGGCAGCTAGGGGCAATTACCATTTCAGGGGCTGGTGAAGACACTTAATCTGAAATCAATACGTTTGTTTGTTCTGGAAGGCTCGCAAGGCCCCTTGCTTGCTCCTTTGTGATCTGTAGGCTCGTTGCCTTCTGTGCCCCGGTTCAGGAGTTAGCCATCTTCGCTGAGGCGCTTGAAATTCCGCCCCGATCCTCCTGGAGACTCCGTCATGGACCTTCTGCTTGCGTTGCCTGGTATATTGTGAAGACCCTCGAGGAGAATACTGAGAAAATCTCATGGTGATATTAACTGGCTTTCGATGAGGGAGAGTGAAATCCAGTGCAACTTCTTCGTCATGTCCGCCATCGATGGATCCGTGGGCCTCTACTCGATGGCAGGCACTGAACAAAGTGACCTGGAATGCAAGTCCAGGAGAACAGTTCCCCTTCCCATCGCCACGAGAAAAGAATGATGAGCCTCTCGAAGATCGCTTGGTGCGAGTGTCGGCTGCGTGTCGGTTGTAGGTGACTTTGAAATCTCATCTTGCGCACGTTTGTCGCCACGGCTCGCGCCTTTATATTGGGTCACGGTGTCTAGAGCCTCTGGTGTTGGCGATGCAGGACATAGAAGCCTGCCGAGAGCACGCAGTTGGCCAGTTTGTCCACGTGCAATCGACTCCGTATCCGTATACTCCTGGAACGTCGAGAGGGAGTCAGTCGACATGGCAGGCAGGAGGTTCTTTGTGGGATTCTGCCGTTCATTGGCCTTCTGAGAGTGCAAGAATACGAGAATGATGGGGGACCGAGGAAACGGGTGGACCGGTGCTTAAGTTTCTCTATCCTCCACGCGACTGCAAACGAGCTGTCCCAGATGAGCTTTTCCGTGACTCCTAATGTGGGCTCCAGCAAATCATCCCGTACGTTCTCTGCAGTGCAACTTTGGCCGCCCCATGGCATCTTTCGGCCAGCTGTCTTTTGCCCCTTATTCCTCTTTCGGGACAGTAGTCCGCTGTTGCTTGACTGATGCTTGTAAGCCACCTCCTGGAATGAATGTCTAATAGTCAGCCCCAGCTTGACCAGGACACCTCCAGCTTCTGCATCTACGCGCCGATCACATCCGAGGTTTCTTCAAATCCATCAGCACCCAACCTCCGAATAGGTACTAGGGCGAAGAGTGACTGGGCGGACCGCCTCGTCCGCATGACACGGACAAGCCCGCAGCTCTTCTGCAGCGGGGTTCAGGGGTGAGCGTGACGCAGAATTCTGCCTGCTGATTTCTCTCTCTCCGACTTGGCCCCAAGTGCCAACATGTATGCATATGCATGGGAAGGTCTGGAGGTGGCGAAGCTTTCAGCGTACGAAGCTTCATGGCAAAGAATAATTGCCCTCCTCGGCATCAGCCTTGGAAGAAGAAGGTAACCTCTGTAAGACCTGCGTGGGAGTGAGCGGCTCCCAGGACCTGGTCCAACTGGCCAACCGACCAACCGACCAACCGACTTGCCACTCCCCTTGTTGGGGAACCTTGGTAAGGTGGCCTGAGGTCTATTCGCTTTGCTGGCTTGGACCCGTTACATGGGCTTTTGGCGATGCTTGCGCCTGTAGCAAGGATATAAGGAGAGCCTACTGGTTCGCCCCATAGGGTGGGAAATGCGAGATATTGCGATACTTCCAACCTCCTTTCAAGTAACTCGATTCATAAAAACATGCATTAACAGGCGCAGTCTACTTCCCGTTTAACATAGGGGCAGCCGGACACCCTGACCGTGGTTTATGGCCAGTGCGGTCAGGGGCATAAGTATGGTTCAGGGCCGCTATTTGTGATGCTGCTTGCACTTGGCCCCCATCGCATCTCTCCGCTTGTGAGCTGCCATCAAACTAGACTGATGGTGTGGATGTTTGCCTCCAGATCATATTGTGTTTCCCGGAGCTTCTACCCACTACTGTATATGATCTATTCGCAGCCTTGACCATACACTCGACCTTCTGGAAGACGATGTCGCAAACCGAATCTCCTCCTTTCGGCCCCTCCGCATGTTCGAAAGGTTCTTCGGCTACCAGGAACAGTCCGGTTTTCACTCCGATATCACCACAGCCGCTCAACGGCCCCATTTTCAGGACGATGGTAAGAATGACTTCGTGATTTATCATGACGACGGTTGGCGATTGGCTGAAGTGAAAGGAATAGGGGTGACAGTCACTACTGCAGATGAGTCGAATACTGCAAGTGAGCGCAAGCCTGAGACGGCACGTATCCAAGAGACCATCAACCCCAACGTCGAGAATCTTCATCAAGCTGTTAGACGTGTTCCTGGAATATAATAAGAGTCTCTGCATCACGGACGAAGCTGGGAGGAAGTGACTTATTCGACATCTCACGAAGAGAGCTGGGCAGAGGGTGTAAAGGGGACAATTGGGACGGTAGGGATAGTTGGGGTGCAAAAGTGTTGATTCATTATTGTTCTGTCTTGGATGGCCTCCTCCCTGTAGCGATGAGAATTGGCTGGGCATCTGCAGTGGCTTCCCGAGGATTCACAGTCACTTGCAAGGTGATATTTCGTCAGATGTTCCAAGTCTGCTGGAACCACTTTCATCGGTCCGTTTTACCATCTTGGGTTCAAAAAACACGCAAACAGTCGCTTTGGCCACTTCCTCCTTACGGCCACTAGTCTTGACATGTCACAGCGCCATGAACTTCCTGTGGAGTCGAAAGCGTATAGGGTGGTTGCCGACTCAAAGCGTGGTTATTTCCCTTCGAGTCTAGGCACGACGTGATGATTCAGATTGTAAAAAGCCAGGTCAGTCCTAGGTATGTATCGAAGCTTAGCAGATGACTTAAGCACCTACAGTGCAGGTCCAGGGGCACCCATCTTGCGCCTCGTCAACGTTGATGAAGCCGCGGCTCGGGCCACGCCTCGTCGCCAGTGCCGACGCTCCCTCCGCATGCATTGCGCCCCCTCGGCCTGCTCGTCTCGCCTCTACACACTTCCTTGGCCTCGAATGGGCGGGCGCGTTCCGGCCTCCTCCCTTGGCACCACGTCACGACAGTTGACCGCGCAGCCACGACGACTTCTAGCACTCTGCCATGGCGACGAAGCCTCTTCCGGCTCGCTCAGACACGCAGCTTCGGCCGCGCAAGAACAAGCCGACGAGTCGAATCGAGATAACGCTACGCTCCAAGCCGCGCGATTACGTCCCCGGCAGCGGCCCGCCGCTCCAGGGCATATGCCTCCCCTACATTGTCGAGGCATTCTGCTGCCCTCGCCGGGCCCGGCTGCCGACGGCAAGCCGCTGTCGAAAAGCATGACGAACGTTGTCGGATGGCACGACCTTCTCGCTGCCCGGCACCTGGTCCCTGCCATGAAGATCCTCGACTACGTTTCGCCGCGAGCCCTCAAGGAATGGGAGTCCAACATGGAGGCAGAGCTCGACGGGGACCGTAAGAAGCTGGCCCACGAAAAGCACGCGGGCGGCGAGAAGTAGGGCTGACCGCCCGCCCACACCGGCATTGAGTCGGCTGCCGTTGCTGAGCCCGGATGTGGGACCCCCGACGCGTATCAGAATGGGCGCAATGAGCCTAGGCGTCTACGTCGCACAGGACCAGGCTGGAAGGCTTTGACGGGCTTTCCAACGACGAGGGCGGAATCCCCTCTATGCAGATAGCTCGCGAAGCCCGCTGGTACATGGCCGACGACTTCGAAGTCAACGTTGTTGATGATGGCAAGCAGTCTGCGCTTGAATCGGAATGGGGCACTTGGGGGCTTGGCGCCATTGCGGTCAATGGCACGTTTAGAGGAGCGCATTAGCCAGCCTCGGCCCTGACGAGTCGACCCGCGCCACCTCAATTCGTCTTCTCCGGTACACAAACGCCCACGGGCTCTTGAAGTTGAATATCAAGCCTACCCAAGGGGCCATGCCGTGTAGAGTCACCCGCCCCGCCCGGGAGACTTCACTCGCGACCAGTTCTGATGACGACGGGGAGCATGCGTGGGTGGTCAAGCGACTCGAGAACATGGCTGTCTACGACGTCGAGGGACGCGGGCTGGTGCGCTACCTGCAGATGCGATGGGAAGGCAACTGGCCTCCGGATCGGAATCCGACATGGGAGTCGGAAGAGAACATTCCGTCAAAGATGGTGCGCAACTTTTGCAAGCAAGGCAAAAAGAGAAAAGGGGCCACTGCCGGTCATACAAGGACGCCCCGAGCACTCAATATGTCCTTGGGCGCTGACATTCACTACAAGCCGGTCAGCGAAGCCTTTGCCAACAAGGTTACCGACGATACATTAGGGTCGAACCATGGTGAAGATGGCGCCGATGACGATGTGCGCGACGCCGGCGTGACGTCAGCCTTCGGCCAAGAGGGCGACGACGAGGGTGAGCTGTTTATCATTGAAGAAGAACAGGTCCGTCCGGCCCAGACATTGCAATAATAAATAAATACATATTTTTGGCATATTGTTATGTATTGTTAGGAGTGTGGCTATATTGATATGTATTGTTAAGCTTATCAATAATTATTAGTATAACATTGAATGCTCATCTCCGTCTCCGTTGGCGCCGCCCACATCCATGATCTCGTCATCAACCGCAACGTACAGTTTGCGAATCAAATCGTTCCTCACCCAATTACCCAAGCATTGCAGCTTTTCAGTCCTGTCCGCGGAAAGTCGAGCTCGATCCCAAGAAAGTGTCCGCCTTGTGCAAGAGAACATCCGCTCCGGCTCGTCCGACATCGCTGGGACGCTGAGTATGTCAAGGGCCATCTGATGCAAGCGTGGATACTCGGCTCTCTGCTCCTCACGACACCACCATTCAAGCGGATTGGCAGTCAGCATATGTCTCGGAGGAGCATTGATGAATTTCTCAAACTCGTCTTCATCGCCAGGTTCATCCAGGACACTCATTGACTGCCTTATGCGCTCGTAAGAAGCGACCTCTCGCGCTTCACAACTGGGTCGCACGGTTCTCTCCGACGAAATCGGTCTGTCCTTATACTTCGCCCATTGCCGCTGCGCTGCAGCAATGGCTGTCTGCCGCCACTCTGGTGCCCAATGACGGTCGAGATACCTCCGCCGTTTTTCTGGATGGAGCAGAAGTGCCGTGGCATAGACGGGGTTTTTGTCGGTTTCTTCGTAATACTTTGAAAGAACCCACCAGCCCATGTGAACCGAGCTTACCATGTGGGCGTTTTCGGCATACTTGACCTGCATCGAAGTTGAGCTTCTCTTCTTCAGCCCGAAGGCAATACTTGCAGAGTCTGCGACTGACCTTAGCAGCTTGAACCACGAGTTCCAGCGCGTGATGTTGTCGATACCGAGGGCTTTCCCCGCAATGTCGTCCCATGCGTCGTTGTGAATTGTAGAGTTGCGAATGAACACAGCAATGTTGTGAAGTTTTCCCATTGGACCGATACTCCGCCAACCGGCAATGTCATTTCTTTTCCTGCGCTGGGCGTGAGTTCTTGGCGTAGATTCTGAATGGAGGTGGTCATGCAAGGCGTCTGCAACAGTAGTTTGATTCAGTTCATCGTCCGCCTGTTCAACGGCGGCCTGAAGTGCACTTTCGCTGGTCGCAATGAGAAAGGCTTGCAGGGAAAGGTTAATGATGTGGCCAGCGCACCGCGTTCGAGAGGATATTGGATCAAAGGTCAGCCCATGCTCTTGCGATAAATCGGCAGAAAGTTGACGGAGGCAAGTGTCATTTTTAGCATCATTGTCCCCGGTGAAATAGCCGAGTTTTTGTGTTATGCCGTATCTCCGGATGATCTTCAGTAGGTGCGGCGTCATCGCTGCGCCCGCGTGCGACCGTCGCAGGTTTGGCAATCCCAGCATTGCCTTGCGAGGCTTGTATGCCTCGTCGACCCATTGCGCATGAACAGCGATGTATGCCTTGCGTTGAGGAGAAGACCATACATCCATTGCGATATGCACAAGACTCCGAGCGCCTTCGAGCCACCGACAGACGGATTGTTGATGCGTGTCGTAGGCCCTATCTAGATCCGAAGCGACCGTGTTGCTAGAGTCGACGAGGAACTCCTCGACTGCGGGGTTGATCGCGGTCAAAGTGCCTGATACTCTGGCCACGTCGCGCAGCTCAGTGGCAGATGCCTATTCGCGGAAAGTAGCATCTGTGCCTCTCGGAAAGCATCGACATTGATCACGCTCCGCAAAATATTGACCTCGCTCTCTTGAGTCAGCCTCAGCTGCTTTTCGCTTGTTCTCGCGAAGGCATTCTCGATGGCTACTTGACGCTTGCATCGAGCATTCGTGTCTTCTCTGACTTGTACGTGATGAACCTTTTCGAGATGATAGCGGGCGTTGCCAGAAATGTGGGTTGACCACGATGGATTGCGACAACGTTTGCAGTAGTGGAGTAAATTGCCACCTGCCGTGCGTGGCTCATCGCCTCGAGCCTGTCGAAAGTGATGCCAAGTCGACGTCGCTCTCAACTTCCTCCTCTTGACTGCTGCCGGAGGAATGCTCCGATTCTGAAGGTATACTGGCAGATTGCGAGACACTATCGGAAGGCAAAATTGATGACGAAGGGTTCGATGCGATGTCAACTTCCGGCACACGGGATACGTAGTCTTCCATTGCCAAAGCTGAGATATCGAGGGGGCGTGCACTTCGATCACCAAAAGGAGGGCATGGAGAATCTTGAACGAAAGAATGCTCCCATTCTGTGCCGAGCCCTTTCCTCAGCGCTACGGCTGACGTGTGGAAAGTAAGTACGCCTAAAACAGGCATTCAAGTCAAAATAGGGGCACATTAGCAATACATATTGATAGGGACTTCCATATTGTTATCGATATTGATAAGCAACAATAAATATGCCCATGTCTGGTGCCCTTCCTTGCCGCCCCATTACATGTATTCCTTGGCCCAGGCTATTAGAGCAAAGATGTGAGCAACAACGTCCTCTCTATGCCGGTTGTTCTTTATGTCGAACCACATCGTAGAGTGCACATGCAAATAGCCATCTAGATTGGCGAGCGATTCCTCATAGCTGCGACGAAAGGCGTCAGAAATATGAAAGTGGAAGAATTTTATAAAGTGGCTGGCCGCAAGAATCGTGATGAAGCTATAAAAACCTTATGGTTAGTTTGAGGCTGGCACGTTTAGAGGCAAGAGCTTACTCGGTAGTAGAGACCGCGAGAACGCCTGAGCATCGCACGGCTAACGCCTCTCCCACCATTTGGCCTAGCAGCTCGTCGGAGACAATTGGAATCCGTCGATGACTTTTGCGAACGTCCGTTTGCCTTCAAGCATCGCTACATGTTGGTGATCGCCGTTCGCGTCGATAAACTGGATGCCCCCATCATCGACTGCGTGGATGTGCAGATTGCCCTGCGAGAAAGAATACGTCTGACGCTCGTCACAGAAGTAGAGAAATGGAACTGTCTGATCCTGGTGCTGGCCGTAATTCAGTACGCAGCGGATAAAGCAACTGGCGAGACGGACAGTAGCATCCTCGACGAGTGGTGCTACAAGCCCCTCGACGTAGCCCGCGCTCGAATGAGTCTCATTCGAGCCCGACGTTGCGGGACGATGTTTATAGTCGGGGGAGCTCCCGAAGGTGACCTGGTCGGACGGGACGAAGTTTTGGAGTTCCACAGGTCTCTTTGACGTCCGTTTGGACGCTTCCCGGACTGCTGTGTCCGAGGGGGCGTCCTGAATAGAGCCGGCGCCAGCTCGCACAAATGGAGCCAAGGCTGCCCAGACGTAGCCGAGACTGTCCGGCTTGTAGTGCTGCACGAGCTGAGGCTCCACTTGGTATTTGAGGGCGTCGATGCTTTCCGGACCTTGGACCAGAGCGTTGATGCAGGCGTTGGTGTTTCTTGGGTCGCGAGGCAAGAGCCTGCGAGACTCAAAGAGAGGCAGAGCTTTCTTAGGCTCCTTGCAGAGGACGCGGTGCGCAAACAAGTGTTCGCGACCCCATTGACTGACGGCGCTCTTCCAGTGCCTGGAATGAACCAGAGCAGAGAGGTTATCTCTGCCCTTGCCTCTTTGCGCGAAGGTGGACGCGTCTCTGACTGTGTCGTAGTAAGACATGATTGTTGCATGTTACGAAGAGCAAAAGATGTGATGAGTGTCAGCTGTCCTGCTAGAAACAGTAGTGGGTTGGCGAGGCAAGTGTATCCCCAGCCGGGCAACCTCGACGATATTTAAGAGTGATGGCGGGGGAGCGTGACAAGTTTTGCCGCTTCCAATTTGGGGGCCGTGTTTCATCAAGCGCCGTGTGCTGGGCCAGCCGTCGAGAGGATTGGTGAACATGGGAATGATGAAGGGGGTGGGTAATGACTTGCAGTTTGCAGCATGCATGCAGCAGCCGCAACCTTTCAGGGGGGTTGGCGCTTGCATCTAGGTGCACGTATATCCGTACACAATCAACTTTTCCGACTTGTCCACGTCCTCGGGGCAAGTCGCCGAGAGGAGGAGCGCCAAGAGACGACCACGAAACGTTTCGACAGGTTTATAGGGAATAGTGGATATTTGCACAGCAAGGGAATCAGGCGCCGACGGCTTCATGGCTGGGTTATCGAACATGTTGATGAGGGACGAGGATATATTTACCGAATAGATGTACATAAAATTGCAATCTTCGGTGCTGAACATGAGCTTGGGCTGCCAACGCATTAGGAGGTCAGCTGATCTAGATGAGGGTGTGCATACTTACCGTCACGCCAGCCGCCTGCTGAGTTTTTTGCGGTCCCAACGCCCTCCATTGTAGCTGGCCGAGGGCAATCAAGAGCGCCACTAGGTACGGATCGTGCAACGACTCGGTGGGAGTAACCATCTTGAGTTGAAGCTTGCCTAAGTTGACGGCAGGGGGGTTGTATCGACGTATCGTCGGCCCAACCCTTTCTTGCGTTGAGAGATAATGCGGCTGCGGTCGACATGTGCAGCTACGGGGATATGATCGCCGAGGCAGTAGTAGTGGCATGGAAGAAGGACGCTGCGATAGCCACCAAGATGCAAGTCGAGATCGCAACTACGGGTGCCAAGGTCAGATGACGCCACTTGGTATGTGCATCGACTCACCGCCAAGACAATGGTGAAGGTTCGAGGCAAAGAAACCCGCGTATTGATCCTTCCTTTGCCACCCACAAGTGTCGATTGTCAAAGAAGTAGCGCTCAAAAGTCGCCGTCGACTGGCATCTCGAAAAGCATTCTCTGTCGACGGAAGGTGCATCATGACCGGGGCAGGACTGCATTGGCTAAATGTGCACGACAGGATCTCGAGATGCAGTCTCGTCCACAGTAGAGGCTCGATGAGAATGCGCTTTCTCGGTTGGCGGCGAGCCGACTCGTAGATGGAAAGGGCCTCTGCATTGGCGCGTCGATTCGGGCTTGGCGACGGTTCCATCTTGACCTTGTCGAGACTGGGGAAACGGAACGGATGCTTTCAGGAGACAGAGGAGATGAGTCGGTTGAAGTATTATTGGTAGAGTTACATAAGCAGCGCCCGTAATTTGGCGGCGCATTCGGGTACTTCGTACCCGTCGCCCAATGCGCCGCGTCCGTAATTTGGTACGATGGCGGATCAACTAGCGGGCCGAAAGGACTTGACGTGGAAATGCCTTGAGGAACGAAAGAAGGTGCATGCAGGGTGCAAGCTCGGTACAAGATTGCACGGCTGTCGCAGAGAACTACACCCGCCCACACCGAACGGGTATAGTAACTCAGGAGGAAGGTGCGGAGTAAAATCCTTTCCCCGCTCGAGACCGCTCGATACACTCACTACTCGACACACTACCGGTACTCGACACAGCGCCGTGCTTGATCCTACAACCATGTTCGCCCGAGTGACACCTCCAAGCGTCCCAATCACGTACGACAGCACTCCCATTACTCATTTCTCCGCTTCCAGCAAGGTGCCGAACAGACTGGAAAGAAAGGTATTTGAAGAGATCAGCTTCTGCACATATCACGATAGAAATACTTAGAGGAGACTGGACGTGCCGTGCCTTGAACGTCTATGAGGCGACGAAGCATCGGCACGTCGATGGCGCGTGGACCGATCCTCCTGTCCCGCCCGTGCAGGCCGAATTTCTGGACTGGTGGTCCGATTCCAAGACGACTTCCTCTCGAAGGAACGACGCGGCTATTACTCAACCACAAACCCGAAGGATCTTGTCGGTGCCGAAGCTCAGCGACAAATTGATCTCTTTGCCAAGTAAAAGAATGGGCAGCTGCCAGATGCCGCGCACGACTCTCCGGAGGGATGTCGAAGTGATGGGTGAGCTCAAGGTGTCCAAGAGCCAAAAAAGGCGACGCTAATCTAGATCGGCCGACACGTGCGAGATGTTTTCTCCTGCCAGCCGACGCGTTGGTATGTCCACGCGTTTACAATCTGCGGGCGCGAGATGGAGGTTTGGGTATTTGACCGCTTGGGATGTTACAGTCCTGGCGCGTTCGATATCCATGAGAAGCCCGAACGGTTCATACAGGTGATCGCCGGCTACACAATGATAAATGACGAGGAACTGGGCTTGGACACCTTTACAGAGCTGGATGGCGACAGTCGCTTGATACGCATTGAGCAGGACGAGGCTGCGGCTGGAATCGCAGCCTTTCACCCGTCAACGGGCAATCGTCTGCCGTGGGGCGTCTTGCTATCTCACGAAGCCTCCGGACTCCGAGAATTGGAGTTATGTCGCGAAGTTTTCGTGGACGTCTGACCGGCGAAAGCCAGAGGCAGATCTTCTGAGATTGGGCCGTTAAAGAGAAGTCGAGGGCATTGCTGAGTTGATAGGCTATCGTCGCATAACCAGCATCAATGAAATGCGATCAGGCCTGACATTCACGAGGCCTTACTCCTTCCGAGGTCTTCCAAGCACTGCGTCGAATTTTTCGCATTCTTTCTCCCTGTCTCAGCCTCCCGGTGCCCTTTCTCGGTCATTCAGAAAGCTTCATGGCTTGAGCATCACTGACAAGCCGTTAAGAAAGCGCAAGCCGGTTGATGTCGGCCGGAAATCTAAGCGATCAAGATCCAACAGTCAAAGGTCGAGCCAAGGGCAGGACGAAGTTACATATGATGTTGGGGAAGCTCAGAGGACGAGTCTGCTCGCTCCTAACATCGGACCTTATGATCAGTGTGTCCATCAACCAAGTAAAGCAGAAAATGACACCCTTACTTGACTTGGTTGAAGGATCCGTTTACTCGACTTGGTTTACTCGAAGAAATGGCTGTGCTTTACTTGGTTGGTTGACATTACTTGACTCCGGGAGCCGATTTGCTTGACTCCGGGAGCCGATTTGCTTGAGTGATCTCTATATCTTGTCCGCCTGTGACCTTGGGACGAGGGGAAAAAAAGTGCTCCTCGAGCATGACTACGATAGCATGCCAGATCGAAGTAGGTGCTTTTGGCATTCGATAGCTGCCACGGTGTTGGAGCTGAGGCGATTCCGCTCATCCGTGATGACCTTTTTGGTCTGAGAGAAAACCGCTCACATTCAGCACTCATTGCTGGACAAGTGAACAAGTCGAAAGCCATTTGCGACAGAACTGGGTAGTCTGCCGCATGACAGATCCACCATTGCAAGGGATCTTCGACTTCCGAATCAGCCTTGTTATTCCTAGCCATGAACTCGTCGAGCTCAGAAGTTAGTCTCGCTCTTTTCCTCCTTCCCTTGCCGGACGCCGCAAGCTCAGCCAGCATCTGTCGGCGTTTGCGAGCTTCCTGGAGTGGGTCAAGGGCGACGAGATCATCGCCAGCCTTATCAGCGACGACTTCTCCTAGGGCCAGCGACGAAGCCTCCTCATGGTCCGCAGCGTCCGCTTCCATGTATGCGTCTTCGTATTCTGCGAAAACTTCTTGAACCACGCTCTTTGCCTCACTGATCCACTGCTTGTTGTGACTCCACTCAAGTTCGAAGTAAGCAAACTTATTCGCCGGATGCAATGCGACAGCGCACCGATAAGCTGGGGTGGCATCGGTAAGGCCAAAGTACTCTTCTAGCTTGATGCGAGCAGCATCGATTGCGTGGGAATAATACGTTGAAACCACGTCGGGATGGTCATCGGCAAATCTTCCGGCCTCTTGGAGCTTTTGAAGAGGACATCGAATGATTCAATCGTTTCATGAAGGAGCCATGTGATCCTTCCAGGCCAGCTTTATTGGCTCGGCCCTCCATGCGTTTTGTCAGATCTTTGAAAGGCTTCAAGATGTCGAGAAAATGGTGCAAGTCAATCCAATCTTGTAGGGTTAGTACGTCTTGCGAAATGTCGTACCCTACGCCACCGTAGCAATAGTTGAGGAAGAACAGATCAATCGCATGACGGAGCTTGACCGCCCTCTGAATCATTGCATATGCAGAGTTCCAGCGGATTCCGCCGTCGACCAGGACTCTAGTGTAGAGCAGTTCAATGCTGCCTTCCTCGTAAGCCTGCAAAATATACCGTTTCAGCTGCTCCCGCCTTTGGTCACTTCTGTTTACCCAAACACAGAAATTGTGAAGTTTACTGACGAAGCTATGCTTTCTCCAGATTTCAAAACGCTCCACTTCAGACGCGCCGCAAAGCTGTTTCTCCAACTTGCCGACACCCTGCCCAAAGAGAAGGGCTTTGACGATTAGGTTGAGCATATGGCCGACGCAGCGCAGGCGACTCTGAGGCTTGATGACAGGATAGCGCTTCGCCAGCTCTCGAATGCAAGTGTCGTTACTACTTGCGTTGTCCATCATGAAGAAACCAACGTTCTGACCGATCTCGTATGACCCCATGACCGCTGCAAGGACTTTGGCGATATTCTCGCCAGTGTGGGGGCCCTTCAAAACTGGCAAATCCAGCAAAGCCGTTTGCAGCTTGTATGCAGCGTCTAGAAAGTGAGAAACTATAGCCAAATAGTTGGTACCTTCTTCAGATGTCCAAGCATCTGTCGAGACGTGGATCTTGCTTTTGGACAGGCGGAGCTGTTCTTTCAGCCAGGCGCGCCTGCCGTTGTCACCGAACCATTTTTCGCTGACCCAACTGCTCAGCGCTGACGGGCTTTTCGGCAAAACTTTGTCGATGTCTTCCAGGCACAATGCAAATATTTCATTTGTTCGTCGGTGAGTCGCTTGGCGGAAAGTCAAATCAAGATCAATGACCCAGTCGGCAAAATGACTTCGAAACTGGAGGTCATTGAACACCATGCGTCGGCTCCCCAAGTACGACGCGGCCTTGGTGGCTCCTTGAGAGATACTGAAGGGGTCGGACCCTGCCACTTTGTAACCGAACTCGGCAAGTTTGTGGTGGTGCCTAAGGTGATAGATGATGCTCGTCGTACTCTCGCTGGCAAAGAGCGCTGTGTCGTGACGTCCGCTCACATGGCAATATTTGCAGAGCCAGTACTTGTTGTCGCCGTCTGTCGTGAGTTGCGCACCGTGTTTGTAGATTATCGATGGTTGCGCCTTCGAGTTCATTGCGCGCTTGTGAGGCTGACGATATCGTATGGTGGCCAACTGGTGGCCAACGGTTTTCTGTCGTAACGAATCTTCTCCCAAGATATAGGGAAAACGCATTGCGATGCCTTTGGCAAGTCCCTTTCATGGAGATGCTTGGCTCGTCGGGGACCGACTGGGAAGGCGTCTTGGGAGGCGTGACGTGCCCGAGATGATTGCAAGGATCGAAAGCTGAGTGAGAGGGCATTGCTGGCTTCCTCAGCGTTGAACAGTTTCTGCAGGATGTTGATGAATCAGGCACGAAGAAAGTAACTGTAATCACCAAGCTCAATCGGCGAGAGGAAAGGGGTTCGTCCACTTTCATGACATGGGTATCACGAAATTGCCTGAAATCAACGCTAGTCAGGTAACTCGGAGTAAACCCGAGTAATGCAGAAAGCTTTACTTTTGCTTGGTCGGAGAGATCGTTACTCGTGATTGACTGTTATGTAATCAACCAACTTCAAGCAACCAAGTCAAGTTACTTGATTGATGGACACACTGCTTATGATAGTCGAGTCTTTCGATGTCTAGTGATCTCCCCGGCAGGCCGAGCGATCCACAAGTACGAAAAGATATCGTAGCTCCTGGGGGCGCTCCGCGACGCGATCAAGGCACATAAGTACCTATACCTCAAAGGCAAAGTTTCGCCGGCAATGTTCACATAGTCAAGTCCTGTCTAAGACAGGAAGTAGCCTTAAGTCGGTACGGTATCCTACCACTCATGTCGGGATGTAGAACGGGCGCGATTTCACCATGACGAACGGTCCGGCTTGGCAAGACAGCGGAACGGCCTGGTAAGATGCAGTGAGCAGGCTCAGTGAGACAAGCGTTGCGGCTTTGCAAAATAAAACGCCAATCCTTCGATGCGTTCGCGGTCGAAAACATGGCTACCGTCTACGTTGACAGCATGCATTTCGCAGGGGAATGGAAGTAGAGAGTATGAGTCAAATATGTTCATTGTTATCTGTCTGAAATGATTGAGAAGTTCTCCCCTTCTTATACTTATGTGGCTGCCTTGAGGTGGCGATGTCACCACTTAGTCTGCTTAGGTGACATTGTTTTCTAGAAGGTTCAATAATATCGCTTAATAGCGACATTATCGCGCACTTATCCAACATATGTACCATGAATGCGACAATGCAATTGGCAATATATGGCCTACAACAGAACTAGCTTGCTAGACCGTCCCAGCATAAAATAGAGCGACTCGCTGCGTTTGGTACTGTGCTGAACTAAACAACATGCGTGTTCAGAGTCGGACTACCCGAGCCAGGAGCATTCACTATGTGGCGGCCAAATCTGAGATACCGCTGTACCAGCCAAGAGCCGATAATAGTCGAGGCTAGCTAAAGTGGATATCCCGGCATGATTTTCTGTTCAGCAACACAGCGCAGTTCACTCAGCCGTTTCCTCATGAATTCAACCCGTGGCGTCCACGGATCAAGCCAGCTCGGTTTTCCCCGTCTCCTCTTTATGATAATGGTCTTGTAACCAGTCCCGTAGAGGGCAAACTCACTGTGCGTCTGGTTCAACCTAGCCCAAGGCATACAAGGATCGTCCGCAAGCCAAGATTGGCTGACTTGGCACATGCGATGAATCGTGGAGCTGTTTCGGTGCAGTCGTAATGCGCATGACGTGGCCGAGCTCGTTCTGGACTCATATTTTTATGGTCAATGAGGACGATGAAAACCCTCCCGGCGAGCTTTCCTGATCGACCTAGACCTCGCCATTAGAACCCAACGTGAAGATGCCTCGGGAGCGAAAGGGAAGACAGGTACGAGGGCATTCATGGCCATCGGGGCACTGTTAGGCAACGAGCAGCACTCCTTCATGCACGACCTTGAGTCATTCTTCTGGGTGCTATTCTGGATTTGCGTTCACTACAACGGGTCAGGCAAAGACGTTGGAGCTACAGAATATGACAGCTGGAATTACGAGAGCGACAACAGGCTAATCCGTCTGAAAGTCGGCACCATTGGTGTCAAAGTATATTCCTGAGGATTGCGGAAAATTTCACGCCGTACTATAAACCGTTGATACCGACTGTCAATCAGTTGCGCAAGAAAGTATTCCCAAACGGGGAGATTTGGAAAAAGCCGGATTCAGCGTTGTACTCTTGGATGACGGACATCCTTCGCGAAGCTTGCAAGGATGTAACAGCGGCAGATACGTAGCATTTTGTCGAGATCAACAGCACGATTGATGGGGCGGGGTCGCAGGACTCCTGTGGTAGTACAAGGCGTGCTAAGGCTGAGTAACTATCACCAACAATGGGTCGGCACATAACGAAGGAAGCCCAAGGGCACCTGGGAAACCTAGGCTGTCAGCCCATCTCAATCTTGCATCGAAAACCACGGCCGCACACAACAGAGATGATCAGGGCTATCACCCACCAGGCTCCGAGATCGACAACGGTCAGTGGTCACTCCCGGTTTGACATGCGCAACAATATCGACGCCATGGGCCTCGACCAGGCGATGCTGCCGAGGCGCACTTATCATGTTTTCGTCTGGTGGGAGGAGACTGGGTGAATCTGCGTACGAAGTTCGTGGACTGGTCTGGGCGCTCGCGAGAATCGGGCTACTCGCGATTGCGTCAAGCTTGTCGCGCACGTGCTTCAGTTCATCGCCTATCTCCTTCATTTGTCTGTCCAGTTCTGGTATCGTTTGCTACTGTCCGTTGATAATATCGCCCTGCTCGGTCACTGCTCGCTTCAGCCTCTGAATTTCGTCGCGGGATTTGCTTAGAAACTCTAGGGCCAGCTGGACCATCGCCCTGCCTTCGTTGACAGTGCCGCTAGTCCGCTACTGCTGACCCTCCGCCGCTCGGTCGTGCCGTTGGCTGCAACCTCATTCAGTGTCGCTCGCGTCGTGATTCTGGCGCTCTTCTTCGTCTTGTCCGCCGTGTCTTCGAGTTGTCGCGCGGTGTCTCGGACCTTGCTGCTGGGCTGCGCGACGCGACTCGATCTTTCGTGGGTGTCGGAGGGGGTGCCCCCTGCTCCACCATGATCACGGCATCGGCCGGCTCATCCATGATGAAGTTCCTTAGCTGCTACGTCGCTTCTCGGCAGTTTCGAAGTGTTCACTCCGCGTTCAGAGCGTGTTTTGGAATGGGCCCTGACGGCATCAGCTTCGAGTGGTTGGGCTCCAAAGCTGCTCAGGCTCCACCGAGGGCTTTCCCAAAATGGCCTGGAGCTTCATGTACCCCGCTTTCACGTGATAGTTTCCCGTTCTGCTTGTCCTGCCCGCGACAACGCAGTAAACTCTTGGATAGATCACCACGCCGTCCTAAAGTCGAATCTTGAGCAACAGACCTTGTACGAGCACAAGACAAAATACTTGAAACGCCATGTCAGATCCTGTCACGGCTGCGGTCTTAGTACGCAAAGGTCCCCGCCTCGAAGAGCTATGCTAATATTGTTAGACGAGTCGTCGCCGGAGTCTTCAGGTGTCGAAAGATGTCTTCCCAAACCACAAGAAAGCGATAGTATACGTTAATGTGGATAATACGAACGAGCGGACATACCACTTTAAAGAATGCGAGAATGTTCTATTCCATACCAGTAGTGGCGAGACTGTATGGACGACGAGCGGCGACTTCACGATACCAATCCCCCAGGGAATAGGAGCGAGGGTGATTTGGGGAAATGTGCTTTCGGCTATGGATGCGGAGGCAGAAAAGAAAAAACAGGAAGAAACCAAGCAACAAAGACAGAGGTAGAATGGGCCCATAGGCCTCTCCCCTCCCTACTTATCCGGGCCCTTGTACAGTTCCATGTCGATTATCGACGAGCATAACGTATATGCCAGGCGCAAGCAAAGTGTACCATGACCGAGGCCGCCGGGCCCCACAGTCAGTCTCGCACAAGCCGTTACATCCTCAATACGACTCTTTCGTTCCCATTGTCGAAGCTGACTGTGGTTCATTGCTTCCAGAAGGACAGTCGGAAAAACAGTCTCTAAGGCGGATACTGAGGCCGCTTCTAGTGTCGCCCTAGTACCTGATTGCGCGATATGTAACTGTTGCTGCGCTTCTGGAAAGAGTTCGATAGCAAGCCCATTGCTTAGTCCGACGTCCAGCCATAGTATTATGTCCTGGTAAACCCCGTCAGGTAATATTGCCACGGCACACTCTGTTAAGAGCCTCATGTTCGGATTGAGTTGCTCTCCGATCCGTTTGGGCGAGTCCAGGACAGCAGCATAGATCCGGTCCCCGAGAAGTCTTGGTAGAACGGCCATGTCCGCTGCACCAAAGCGAGCAGCTTGCACACCAACGTGGGGTACTGTATGCCTTGTCAACTTCTGCCAGAACTAACTCATCGCGTGGGAACACGAACCTTCGAATAGTAGGCTCATCCATTCCAAGAATTCAGGATGGCTGTGGATTCCTTGTCTTCTCGCGGATTTATCAATCGTTTTCCTGATGTCGTCGCCAAGTAATACTGGATATTTCTGCTTATATGATCGAGTAAACTGCAAGACGTTGAAGGTGGTGCAGGCCCTTGGCCCTACTGCTAAGACAAACGCCAAGAAATCATGAGGGAAACGAAAGATAAATTCTCGGTACTTGAAATGAGCTTTGCGTCGTCTACATTTGGCGGCATTCTCGGCCGAACTCCGTGCCACCGGAGCGTTGGGGAGCCGGCTGCAGACCTCTTCGAAGACCAAAGGAAGGCGTTGGTCCAGTCTTCCTTCGTATTCCAGGGGTATTCGCTGGAGATCCGCCAGCTCCTGGGAGACCTTGGAGAAATTCTTCATCCACGAGGCCATTCTTGTCGCGTCACCGAGTTAGATAGAAATGATTCGTGGTGCAGTGGGCAAGGTTGGTAAGGTATTAAAGGACTCCGTAGACGCATGAAGGAATCTGACTTGCGCCGCTGCTCGCCCGCATAAGGAGTACCAACTACCAAATAAAATACGGTAGTTGTCGGGAGGTCTGTACTGCAGTAACGCAATGGGTTGTATTCAAGATGTCTTGCTAGGAAGGGAGGAAAGGGAATGAGGGGGCACACTACGTGCCCTTTATACACGGATCCCCGAGGTCCATACACGTGACGCTAAGGGTCACGTGTGCGTGTGTGCGCACCTCCCTTACAATCCTACTATAGCTATATGCTACATTCCCACACTGGCAAATCTTCTTTTATCGCTGCAATCGCAGCAGTAGCAGCAGGTGCGGGAGCGTAGCAGCAACCGCAAGGGTGCGAAAAGAGTGACGGTTCGAGCGGCAGCTAGCGGGAGGGCGTTCGACTGATCCTTCTATCCTAATCGTAAGGCTATTGGTCTGTGATCTTCCGTATCGTCGTTGCTAGTGATATCCCAATATCGAATCCGTTGACCATGCCGTAGATCTCTGATGCTAGCACGCTTCGGGTGACCCTCTTACACTTCGTTGAGCTCCAATGGAGGACATTGCCCTTGATCCCGAATTGGTCTTTGGTACGTGCGGTCTCGGTCTCATTGACTAGGGCAATGACGAAGCCTAGCTGTGACGATAGGTCCTTATTGTTCGCAAAGGAACCGTCGGTAAAGATGATAAGCTTGGCATTGGCGAGGTCAATAGGGATATACGTTAGGCCTCGCTGCTGGTGGTCTTTCTGCCATTGAAGCCGCTTGTTGAGGTCGTGCAATCCTCTTCCGTAGGGGTTTGGACCTGGGCAGCAATAGAGATGTCGAATGAGGCCTCTGGTTGACAGATTGAAGCCACATACGCGCCACGGGCACGCTGTTCCACGTACTGTTGGGCTCGATCGTATGCCTTGATGCAGTGTTGCTAATAATATAAACAATACGTATATTGGCAATATGGACCCCTCGCAATATTATTGTATTGTCAAGAGGTGCGTATTGTATTGCGCAATATGGCATTGGTCCATATTGTATTGTATTGCCAGTGACCAAATATATTGCCAGTAAAACAATATATCCGTATATCCCACGTGACCCTCATTATTCAACCGTCGTTGCTGAAATATCGTCACCCTGAAAATCCTGTATCCCAAACCATGACTTCAAGCACTCCAATGCCTGAATTACATCACTCCCAAGTCGATTTCGACGGTCTGTGATGGTTATTTTTGCCCCAGAGAAGAGTCTTTCGGGCTCAGCAGACATTGGGGAATTGACAGTATATCCACCGCCATTTTGCTCAGGTATGGGTAGTTCTTTTGCTGTGTTTCCTCCAGCCACCATGCGAGGGCGCTTGTGAACCCATAAACCCGTTCAGACTTACAATATCGCTCGTACTCGTCTGTGATAAGTGCTGGTTGTAGGTGCTTGTTTCTCCAATTCAAGAACTCGTTCGTGGTCGTCAACGGAACCTCAGATAGAGAAGGCGGCTCCACAGGTTTATAATCATCCCACAGTGTCTCCATCAGCTTCTTTGACGAGTCAGCCCACTCCTTCTTCCAGTTTTCGTGTATGTAGTGCCATTTATGCGAAGGGTGAAGCACAATCGCAGCGACGTAGGCAGGCGATTCGTCAGTAAGACAATAGTACTTATCCATCTTCGCCCAGCCCGAGTTATACATTGGTGCCATAATCGGATCGTCGATATGTGCCTCTTTTCCTGCTTCGAATTGCGCCAATACGAAGTCCATAGCCAAGAGAACATTGTCAAGAGTTGCAAACGATGACTCAAGGGCCTTTGTCGTCATTTTAAGCTTCTCCAAGAAAGACTTGATCTTCTCGAGGATGACCCACTCCTCGGGAGAGCTCGTCTCCGGCACAATCTCCTTCCACCCATTTGTTGAAATATCCCTCGACTGCGCCTCTAAGATGCAAGGCCGCTCGTAGCATGGTGTACCACGAACTCCACCTCGTGTCATTATCTCGCGCAAGCTTGCGATTATGGCTGATGGCCAGAAACTTTTGGCGACGCTGAACACTACTTTGGACGAAAACCACGAAGTTGTGGAGCTTGCCAAGGGACCCTTTTCCGCCACGCCTCGATCTCTTTTAGTGTCACATTATGCCCATCACGTTCGTCGTCTTTGAGCTTCTCATTATCGGTAACGAAGAGGAAAGCTTTGGCGGCAAGGTTGATAATGTGACCTTGGCAGCGGAGTCGGTGAGATTTGGGATCGTATCGAATGTCATATCGACGTAGAAGGCCTGTAAATGTTAGGGCCAGTCAGAAAAACAGTGCGCCGTACTTACCAAGGAAAGAGATCTCATCATTGTATCGTTATTGCCTGCATTGTCCATCACAAAATATCCAAGGTTGGAAGCAAACCCCAGTCATCAACCACTTCCAAAATTGCCCTTGCCAGGTGATATCCGTCGTGCTCACTGTCGATGTCTTTCAAAGCCAAGACATGGTGTTCCAACTGACTGTCTTCTGCAACGTAATGAGCAACTACGCCTAAGATGGCCAAAGAGTTGGGAAGTCCATAGGTCGCAGCTGATATGAATTTTTGACTTTGCTGACTGGATGCGCTGCTTGACCTTCTCCTTCTGACCTTCGTACTGCCGCATAATCCATTTCTTGATGGTCTCGTGTGTATCTGGAAGCCAAGTATCGATATCGGCGTTGAGGTAGGCTAAGAATGCTCGGAATTCTGGGCATTCCACAAGCCTAAATGGGAGAGAACAGGACGTAATAAACCTTACGTATAAAGCTTCGAGCTGGTCTGGGTCGATCGAGTCTCCGGATTGATCGTTGAGCCGACGGCGTTTTCGGGGATGTTCTTTGGCCGTAACACGAGCTATCTCGAGAATAGTTCGTATATTCGTGACTTTGGCAGTTCGTGGCGCGCCTTTTGGGAGGCCGTGACCGTCAGGAGGAGGATCCGTAAGGTGCTTGGCTGGGGCCGCAGTTCCACCGGAACAGCAATACGTTTTGTCACAGTGTTTGCAGCGCCATTCTTCTTTTCCGGTCCGCTGATTGTAGTATTTCGTCTCTATGTCCTCGTCTGGCATATGAGAAAAGACCCATGATGTTCTTGGCTTGGCCGAAGGGTTTATGGAGGCCGTGCGAGGTTGCGACGATTGGCATTCAGTGGTTTGGGTCTCATCTGGATCATGCAACCGTGGGCTGGAAATCTCCGAGTATTCGTCTGATATTGACGAATCCCGTCGCGGCGATGTTTGAACAAAAGGCAGGCGTTGTTGAGGCATCGAGATTGCTTGTAAGTCCTGGGGTGGGAAAGCGGGGTTGAGGAGGAAAACAGTGTTTGTGTTGGATCCACCTGTGCACTAGGCACCGATCGCGCACGTATAACTAATCGACCGCGCTAGTCACGTGCGAGTAAGAGGTGAGACACAGGGAGGAAGGTCTTTGCACACAGTTTGTATGGGACACGTTTCCCTAGTTACACAAGATATAACCAATTGAACCAGTTCGAATAACCTCACTGCAGTGAAGAGCCTGTCCACACTGATCAGTGTCGCCCGGCAAAGGTGACACAGAACAGCAAGACGGAAGAGAGCTAACCTATCGTCACGCTCTGCAAAGCGAGCTCCTGACGGTAGGATAGTTGCTACAACGCGCGGATTGCTACGAAGACTCTGCATCAGAGCCCACTCTAGTTATCCAACCGTGCCTAAGCTTTGCTGTCATCAGCGACCCTTAGGCGTGCCCTATCGCACATTGATAACCTCATTGACACCCTGTGCCCTGTTTCTCAGCACACAGCCTGTCAATATGTCTGACAATTCATCTGCCGCACTAGCCCCGGCAACAGCCCAGGATACCCCGGCCAACGTGTCTCTCGAAGACAGGCAACTCGTTGAACGGAACCTGACGATCGTGGAGCTCCTTCACTCCCGATCAGGCATTTCGACGCGGATTTCCTCAACGAACCTATCACCCAGAGCTCCTCCTTGTCCACCGCAACAGCTTCTTCTTAGGCTGTGTGGCAACATACACGGTGGATAAACGTAACCACGGAATTGCCCTGCTTGGGGATCTGTATAACGACTTCACGGGATGGAGCTATGATGACTTCGAACTAATCAACCCACGCCTTAGATCAAGACTCCGGACGCTTCTCAGAATTAGGGGGATCTATATGGGCAAGGCCAACTCTAGCATCTCTCGAGCTTTATGTGGCCTTCTAACAAGTAACGAACTTCCTGAATGGGATGAGAACGAGTTGCTTGGTCAAGAGGTTGCTGAAAACACCGTGGCATATAAGGTGAAACAGAAGCTGCTCCAAGGAACTGTTAAAGCGGCTATATCGTCACCGGCACCGGTAGTAATCCAGCAGCCAACTATTACCCGACCGGCGGAACCGGAATCCCCTCAGATCATTGAGACCCATCAACCCGCTCAGCAAGAGCCTCAGCATCAATGGCGCGAATCCCCTCGGTATCAGCAGACGCTCCCGTACGGACTACCAACTTCCGAGATGCATACACGAGCATTCCACCTGTTCGATTCGAGAACGAGGAAGTTGAGGCCGATCTCACGATTAGATTCATTAAGATATGGGACAAGAAACTAGCCTATACCGGCGAACCATACGATATCTTCGATGACAAGATCCGGAAATTCATGAGCGTGTGCCGTCAAGCAAACATTCCTCCGTCTAAATTCCATGGTGTTTTCCCTTCGATTCTGGCCAAGGAAGCTCAGTCCTTCTTTCTACACGAAATCAGCACTGATTTAACCTTCGCTGAGATGTATCAGAAGATGAAAGAGCACTTTGACACCGAAATCAACCAGAAGATGTATCATACCCACTGGAGCACCCTCACCTTCAGCCGACTTCGGGCTGAGATGCCCGGTAAGTCATCTGACGAGGTCCTCCAGGCCCTTCTTACGAAATTGCGGCTCTGTAGGAGAGCACTCGGGGATAAGTCTGGCGGCGAAGGTGGCCTGATCGATGCAACGCTCAGGGCGTGCCGTGGTGTGCCTGAATTCCGACTCGCGATATACTCTCCCGCACCTACATTTGAGGGATTGGCATCACAGCTTCGATCATCGCTATCTGCCATGCAAGATGAACGATCTGAACAACCCAGTGGCCAATATCCCCAAGACCTGGATAGAGGACATGATCAGCACTTCGTGGATCGCAAATTTCAGCGAAATTCCGGCGGAACAAGAGGTCAATCACAAAGGCGTCAGCCAAATTGGAAGAAGAAATGCTACGTTTGCGGCAAGGAAGGTTGTTTCTCAACGAGACATCCTGAAAACGAGAGAAAAGCAGCCAAAGAGAAGTATCTACGAGAGAGGCTTCCACGGTCAATCTCGTTCGTATGCTATGTTCTTGGCTGACTATGAAGGAATCACAGGATCAGGATGACTCGAGAACCGAGGAATCCGATGATTCTGACTCCTCTGACCCTTATGAATCGTTCTACGCTGCTGCGACCTTTCTGTCCAACGAAGCTTTCCATCATCGGATCTCTCAGTAGGCATCAAGTTATTCAACAGTGACGAACCCACACAATTCATACTAGATCGTTACTCTCAAGACTCGTTCCAAGGAATCATGCCGGACACAGGTGCGGCATGCATATCGACGGGAGGAATCGAACAACTGCGTGCTCTCCAACGAGAGATGCCCCCAGTCCAATTCCGTGATGATCGCAAGCCCGAACCAGTTAGATTTGGTGCAGGAAGATTGGAAACACCACTTGGCGTGATCACCTTGAACACACCAGTGGGAGAGGTTGATTTTCATATAGTCAACGTGCCAACGCCATTCCTCCTATGCCTAGCTGATATGGATCGGCTCGGCGTATATTTAAATAACGTCACGAACGAGCTCGTTGGCAATGGTGTGAGCGTTCCAGTGATTCGAAGATGGGGTCACGCGTGGTTCTTCTTGCGGAAACAAGAGGCATCAGTGGCATATCTCACGGAGGCTGAATTGCGGCGCCTCCACACGCGTTTTGGTCATCCATCCGTGTATCGGCTGCACAAGCTGCTGAATTCGGCTGGCCATGATGTGGAAATCGAAGCTCTGGAAATGATCAAGAAGTTCTGCCACTACTGTCAGATGAAATCCGACCCGCCACGAAGGTTCAAGTTCAGCTTGAAGGATGATTGTGACTTCAATTACGAAGTCATCGTTGATGTCATGACATTGGGTGGCAGACCAGTCCTCCATGTTGTTGATCAAGCCACTGCCTATCAGGCAGGAGATTCCTATCCAACATGACGGCCAAGGAAACGTGGCTCGCGTTGAAACAATGTTGGATGGATACATACCTTGGACCACCCGATGTGATCACTCATGACGCAGGCACGAATTTCGCTGCTGCCGAGTTCCAAGCAGAAGCGAAATTGATGGGAATAACGTGTCATCAGGTGCCTGTGGAAGCACATTGGGCTGTTGGGAAGGTTGAGAAGTATCATGTGCCCGTCCGAAGAGCATATGATATATTAAAGGCAGAGCTGAAGGATACCGTGAGCCCTGATCAAGTCCTTCAAATGGCTTTCAAGGCTGTCAACGACACAGCCGGTCCGGATGGCCTCGTTCCAACCCTCCTCGTCTTCGGTGCTCTGCCTCGAATGACGATGGATTCGCCGCCTACACCTTCCGCAATGGCAAGAGCTAAGGCGGTGTGGCGAACGATGTCAGAGCTGAGGAAGATCAACGCCCAGAGGAAGGTTCAGACCGCGTTAAATACGCGTAATGGGCCTGATACAGCGTTGCGCCTGCCCTATCCCTGGCGCTAGGAAGCGAAGTTCGCGTATTTCGCGAGAAGCACGGATGGCAAGGCCCATATAAAGTGCTCGAGGTGACGGATACGGAAATCGCAGTTGACCTGGACAACGGACCAGCGAAATTTCGCAGTACATGCGTCCAACCGTACTATCGTCACCCGGAATCGCTCCTTCCTCAGTTGCAACCCGACCCTAGCCCTAGCCGCACAGACCCATCAACACAACAATCACTCCTTCCTCAACACAATCCGATCAACAACATCCTCTTCAAAACCCTCTTCCCTTCCACCCACAACTCAACAACCTCTTCCTCTTCCTACCACAGAAGACCAACCCAAACCTTTCGAATACCCTGAGCCAAAGAGGCCGCGCAGGCGTGGCCGACCTAGGAAGGATGCTGCACAAATGGCACATCAGAATCCACTATTGTTTGCTCACCCGTTCAATTTATCGTTCATCATGAAGCTAATGCGTTTCTTGTTCGAAAAGAAATGGAACATCTCGGCCTAGCCAAGCGGCTACGAGCTGAAGGAAAGATCACAAGCACCGGTTTCCCATT